ATACTATTATTAAGAATATTTATATCCTGCTAAAAATTACTATAAAGCTAAATTATAGTTTATTATAATTAGTTTATTCTATATATAGAATAATAATATTATTAAATAGTTTTATATATATTCTAATATATTTTAAAGGATATCTTATAAAAGATTATAATTATTTCTTTAAGCCTAACTATTAAGAAGTAAGTCTATATGCCTATTTAATAAATGCTAACTTTACCTTTATTTAAGCGATTAATATTATAAATAAGGAATAGGCTATTTTATAGAAGATATACTTAAGTCTAATTAGTAAATATAAGAAGACTAATATATTTTATATTAACTTAATTATAGTACTGCTAGTATAGTTAGCGCTATTATCCCCTAATAAAGCTAAAGAATTAGCTATTTAAGGTAATAATCTAAGCTTTAAAAAGAAATTTAATATTAGTATTACTATTTATAGGCCTCTAGATATTATTAATAAGCTTAAGAAAATAATTAGAGCTTATAATATCTAGTTAGACTATAGATTTATTAATATTTCCCTAAATTAATAAATAATAATCTTATTAAAGGAAGATTAAGAATTAAGTATCTTTAAGTATATTAAGATTTACTCTTTTAGCCTTAAGAACTATAAAATTATTAATTAAACCTTTAATAAGCTATATTACTAGAGTAAGATAGAATATACTATTAATTATATACTAAGTAAATATCCTGTATTTATTATCTAGCGTAATATTAAGTATAATAAAATAATAATCTATAAAGGCAAAGTAGTTATAGATATCTATAGGCTAAATTATATTATTAAACTTAATACTTACTCTCTTCTATTATAAAAGGAGATTATTATATTTATAGTAAGAAAATACTTTATTTTAATATTTAATATAGTATCTTTTTAATATTAATAATATATCTAATATAACTATAAGAACTATCTTTTAATTATATCTTATAGAGAATAGGAGATTTTTAATATTACTATTATAGGCTTTTATAATATACTAGTATATATTTAGCGCTAGATAAATTACTATCTATATATTTTTTATAAATTTATAAGAATATATATTAATAATATTATAATCGCCTTTAATATAATTAATAATTATTATATATATCTCTATAAGATCTTTAAGAAAATGCAGGAACTAAATATTAGGCTTAACCTTAAGAAGTTCTTTATAGGATTTTTCTCTATATAATTATTAGATTGCTATATTAACTTATTAAAAATAAGTATTATTAGTAAAAAGATAAAGGCTATAATTAATATTCTATTTCTTTATATAGCTTAAGCCTTAGAATTATACCTTAGCTTAATAAGATAGTTTAAGCAGTATATTCCTTAGTATACTAGGATTATACAGCTATTTTAAGATTAGAAGATAGTGCTTTTTAGCAGAGCTCTTATAAAAGGTAAAGTATAGTAGAGTTTTATAAAAAATATAATCTTAACTATATTTTTATAAGCTAAGATAAATATTTATAATATTATTTAAAAGCACTTTAATAATTTATTCTTTCTTATATATTATAACCTAAAGCGCTAGCTCTATTTTAATATTAATACTAGTATCTCTAGCTTTAGTATTATGCTATATTACCTCTATAGTAATATTAAGGCTTAACTAAATAATTATTATCTTTCTATAGTTTATAAACCTTTTAAAGCTATATCTAATTAATTAAAAATTTAGCTAATTATATTTTTCTTAAGGCAGCTTAATATAGCTAAAAAGAGATATTAGCTAATAAAAATAGAGATAGTATATTTAATATAAATACTATATAAGATATACTATATTATTAAAACCTATTAAATACTATTAATTATTTTTATAAATTATAATACTATAATTATAATTACTAAATAAATATCTCTTTAATTAATATTTACAGATTAGACTAACTTATACCTTATCTTAGCATTATAATATATATAGAGATTTAACCTTATATTTATATATAAGCTAAAATATAATAATATTATTGCAGACGCGCTATTATATCTTAAATTATTCTCTATTAAGCTAAATATCTCTATATTAAAAGATATTAGATACTATTTAGCTATTATATTTCTTAAGACTATTTATACTAATAATACTAAGAATAAGCTATAATATAATATAACTCTTATTAAGTTATTAGAGAAGTTTAAGACCTAATTAGAGAATAGCTATAAAACTAATCCTTATTAATCTAAGATCTTTATTATGCTATAAGATAATATAAACTCTATATATTTTCTTTTTATAATTTGTAATAAACTCCTTTATATAGTTAATGCTAATAATATATAATATCTTTATATATTATAGTTAGTCCTTAAGAATATTTTTACAATAACTTATAATAATATAGAATACTCTAGGTATTATTAAATAGTTACTAATATTTATAACTTTATAATCTATAGACTTATAAAATAAGTTAAAGTATATATTAAGCATTACTATTTATACTAAATAAATTAAATATATTATTATATATCTTATAGCAGCTATTAGCTTATTTTTATACTAAATATCTCTTTTTATATAATTATTATAGATTTTATTATAAGATTACTAAATATAGGGCTATATAATTAAATCTTAACTATTACCTGTAAATTTATAAAATAAGTTATATTTATATTAAGGTAAAATATATAGACAGTTAAAGACTAGGCATTAATATTATTTAAATAACTCTAGATTAATAATTAGGGCATTTTATTAGTAATCTTATTAAATTATAATTTAAAGTTTCTATTAGAGCTATAGAAAGGCCTATTTAAATATCTTAATACTAAATTACTTTATTTAATAGTATATTACCTATAGACTAATAGATAGTTAGAATAAATTAATTAAATAGCTAAGATTACCCTATAATATTACTTAATTATTCTAGAAGATATTATAGCTTAGCTTAAGATACTGCTATTAATATAACTAGTATTAAATTTTAGCCTATTATTTATTATAATAAAATTCCTATATAATTTAATATATAGTACTAAATTAAGTAATACTATAAATCTCTATAATAAGGAAATCTAAGACTTTACTTTATAATTTAATATATGTAAAGTATTCTATTTAATTATTATAGACGCTAAGTATATATAATAAGAATTATTAGCTAATTTATTTTACCCCTAATAATAAGGTCTTACTAAAGTTATATTATAGATATAATATCTTTAATATAGCTATTCTTAATAGGAAGTTATTAATATAATATATAGGACTACTTATAATTAAGCATAAGATTAAATATCTTATATACTAGCTAGATATTCTAGCTTATTAAAAATATTATAATATTTTTTTATTACTTATCTAGAGCTATACTATATAAATAATTCCTTTAAATATTTTATATCCTTTAATAATATTCCGCTGCTATATATTAATATAGAGAATACTAGTATTAGTTATTATAAGATTAAGATATTATTTAACTATTATATTTAGTAAGTTTAAGGTAAAACTATTATTAAGTATTTAATTTACTAGAAGAAATATAATACTTATTATAATATATAATATTATTTTAAGGATTTAGCTAATACTTAAGAATTTATCTAGAAGTATAATTAATATCTCGGACTATTAGCTAAACTATAGAAGCGCGGGTAATTCTATAAATAATATTAATTTTAAACCTATAAACTAGGCGCAAGAGGAGATAAACTATAGAAATATCTAACTATATCTTATATTATATCTATATATATATTTCTATACTCTATTATTAAGGATAATAATATTTTTTTTAAAGAGAGTATATTAATATAAATATAGGCATATAATACTATCTTAGCATCGCCTGCTTATTACCTTAGTAGGGTATAAAAATGCGAGATATAGAAGCCTCAGGTAATAATTAGCTATATAGTTACTTCTTTATATAGCTAATAGAAGAATAACTTCTTTATCCCTTATACTATAATAATATATATACTATACTAGAGCTAGTTATAATAACTTAATTAATTAAGCTATTAGAGCTTATATAAACAGGTAAGATTATAATTATATTAATTATAAATAGAGATTAAGATTAGCTTAATAAGCTATATATACTTATTAATATTTTAACCTACTCCTATAGATTTATACTATAAATACTATAAAGAGCTAGTATTAAAGTTTAAAATACAATATAAAAAAAATATAAGCAGATAAAATCTCTATAGTCTTAGGCTTTATATTTTAAAGAAGCAAGATTAATAGCTTTAATAAGCAGATTAAGCTATCTATAATTTCTATACTAAATTTATTAATAACTTTTAGAATATACTAATAATTTATTACTTTCTATATTTAGTTTAAAAGCTTATTTAAAGAAAGCTTATTACTAAAGATAATAATAATAGAGATTTAGATCTTAATAAGATTATAATCTCTCTACTTAATAATAATATTATATATAATTACTTATTCTATAAAAAATAGCAATTACTATACTACTATATCTTATAGCATTACTAGCTTTTTAGCAATATCTTAATAAATAAATATTAAGACTGCTAATATAATAAATAGGAGAAATCTAGATTTAAACTATATAAAAAAATAATAAGAGACTATATAAATAAGTAAGTAGATAAAGAAATTAATATACTATTATACTAAAAGTTAAAAATTTATAAAATTTTAAATAAGCTTTAAAATATTTATTATAATTTAAAAATAAATATTATTAATCTACTAGTAGAGCTATATAATTAGCTTATTAAGAGATAGATTAAAGCTCTAGATCTTATTATTAGCCTTATTTATTATAAAGGGGTTAAGCAGTTTAAAGCAGAATTACAACCAGAGAAATAGAAGCTATTAATAGATTCCTAGCAAAAATCCACTAAGAGGGCGTCTCCTATTTAGCTAGATTTAGAGGAGCTAAAGAGATAAATAGGAGTTAAAATAAGAGTTATTTTAATATAGGATTTGAATATTTGAAAAGCTTTATATTTTAACAAAACAGTTAAATAATAGGGCAGACGTGCTCGCATTAAATTCTCAAAATAATAGGGGATTACCTAAGGAATTTAAGTTTTTTAGTAGAAAACTAATTTGGGCCGGCGTCAGCTAGGTGTCGGAATTATAAGACGTCCCCGCGGTTGTAGCCAAAATACCAGTTCTGAGTCATACAATGTCAACATTTATATAGAACCATACTGGGTGGTGACAATAGGCCATATTTTAAGCGGGACCGAATGAAACCGCTTCCTTTCCATGAGTCAGCATTTCTACGTCCTCGACAAGATCTACCTGTCCCTTTCAGAAAGAGTATATAACCATTGAAGCCTCGCCTTATCTCGAAGACTTGGAAGTCTTCGATTTACATTGCCAAAAATAGTCACCATTTTCAGGCATATTTCCTTGTCTATATCAACAATGTCAATGGTACAATTCGATGAACTCGCCGGCTTGAGAGCCTTTACTCGACCTCTATCCGTATCTGATGTGGAGAGCTGCGTTGAGGTCGAGAGCGTATTCCCGCCGCAAGAACGATGCTCCAAGGAGAAGGTTTGACATAACCTCACACTGTTCTGCATTGACTATGACAACACATATATTGACTTACCACCAATAGTTTGTCTACCGCCTCACAGTTTGCCCAGAGATTTGCTTAGGGTTGTTTGTTGAGACGCCTGAGGATGAAGGAACGCCTACTCTAATCGGACATGTGATTGCGAACCGAGTCTCCCACGGAATAACTGATGGGTCAATGGAACTTCCCCAAAACTGGAGTGGTGGCAAAGATGTTGTTATGGTTGATGGACAGGTGATTGGAAATGACCCGAATGGTCGTAAGATCGGTGTCCATTCGCTAGCAATCAGGTCAGAGTACCAGGGCAAAGGAATCGGAAGAGCCCTCATGAAGGAGTATATCCATTTTCTTCGAGGGTCCAACGAATCTGCAGACAGTGTTGTACTCATCACTTATGATCGTCTGGTCCGGTTTTACGAAAGCGTCGGTTTCAGAAACCTGGGAACAAGTTCTTGTACTTTCGGTGGTTTAGTTTGGAATGCCTTGGTGAGTTTCCCGCAAAGCTCTCAAGGTATAATTACTCTCATATTGACAAGATTCAGGAACTGAATCTTTGATTGCATACACGACACCTGCTGAGAGACTGCTATAGCTCCTTGGGGTTAATGGGTGGGTTATATATGCTGCCATGATAAAACAGTGCGGCGTCGATAGAATATCAAAAGTTTCAATGGATTAAGAGGAGGTATTTACTCATATGTTTTATGCCAACAATAGAAAACCCTGTTAGAGTTGTTGTCGCTACCCGGATTCTGAGCCAAGGTTCGACCTCTCTTGTAGCACCTCACCACTGCCATCCACTGTTGTATGAGATAGAGCTGACCGCGTTCATATTCGGAAATAAGGACAACATCATCTCTGGCAGATACCGTCTTGACCACTGCTTCATGTCCGGTCTCCGCTGTCCATGATGAAGGTGTAGAGTCAGCCTGATTGATTGTGCTGACTAATGGAGGGAATCTTACCTAGGTACCTAGTTAACTAAGAGACAATTTCCTTCGCAGTTCGCTTTTACTTGATTATGCTATCCTCCTTGTGCTTTCCAGCTTTGTGCTTTTCTATGGTAATCTCTATATATCCTTCACCTGCCCCTTCTTTCATTACCGCAAGAGATTATCGTGCTTATTGTAAGCAAACTTGCATTAGCAAGGGATATCCTCAACTTCCTCCAAGTGAATCACTTTTCTTACAATCTCCTTCTCCATGAACTCTGCAAACGAGACATCCGTGTCACCGGTGGCTTGGCCCTATCGTTCTATGCACTTTGGGGCTATGATGCCAGAGTTCGAGATATGCTCGCTCTGGGCGCTGATGTTGATATTCAAAACCCGCGTTGGAGAGATAGAACGCCGCTAATGCTCGCTATCAGCCGACATGAGATAGCAGTAGTTCGAACTCTCATCGAAAACGGGGCCAATCTCAATTTCACCAAGGGTGTTAAGAACGGCCCTTTAGACATTGCTATTTTGAACACTTGCCAATACGGTGTATATCAGGATGGTCTTTCTTTGATAGAATTGCTGCTGAATTCTGGGGCCGATATCAATTTAAGGGGTTACCAAGATCGTACGCCTCTATATACGGCTATTGTGTCGCAGAGTCCTGCTATAGTGGCAATGCTTCTTGCTCGGGGCGCCGATATTCATGTTCGAGAGGAGAAACATCAGAGAACCCCACTACACTTTGCGGCTGGAGAGGATGGACCTTCTGAAATTGTGAAAATCCTCTTAGATGCGGGTTCTGAAATCGATTCCAGAGATGGAAATGATATGACGCCACTGCAGATAGCTGTCAGTCGAGCACCAAAACATGTGCAAACGCTCATCGACTACGGAGCTGACGGGGCATCTCACATCGTGCGGAACTAACTAAGGACAAAGAACATTGCAGCATGCTAAAGTGATAGCAAAATTGGACGTCAGAAGACAGCCATCTCTCGTTGGAACTGGAGACCCTGAATATTTCATTAGAGGCAGCGATTCCCTTCCTAAGTTCGAATATCGCGGCTCTTCCATCCATCAAAGTAGATAAACAGTCCCGGCCATAATTTCATCTGCGCGGTAATAATAGCCATGATTGACGGTCTTTTCGTCTTTACAATATCCTTCCTTGTCCGAGACACGATATATTACAATAGTCGTGGTTGGTAGTTCTGGAAGCATAGAGTTAAGCAATGTTCATTCCGATCTCTCGACCATGCAGGCGATAGTTAAGCGTGGGGTTTCACGACTCGAAAAAAAAAATGGAATTGGGAAGCTTGTTTTCATTGGAAACTGCTTAATTACTGGATAAAATGCAGAACAGGGTTTTCTGAAACTGCAATATTTCTGAGATTCAACATCGAGTTGGCAATATAAACTTCAACGCATCGTGCACGTAGGCTCCCAACACCAGATATGACTGGTATTCTCTAACAACATGCATTCATATTTTCATCCACTACCATAAATCCTCCTTCACTATTTATTCTTTGAAAAATATAGATCCAAATATACCGAGTCCATGTTACGGACGTAAACGGCTGGCACGAAGGGATGGATAGCGCCAAGAACGGGATGAGTCTGGAACGGCGTAATAATTAAGCAGTTATTTACAGTACAGTAACGAACAGGAAGAAACGAGTCACTTTTCGCCCATCGCGAAACCCCCCAGAGAACGAGCGAGGGAAAAAAAGGAAGGAGGGGAAAAGAAGAAAAACAAGCAGAAACACAGACAAAAGACGAAACAGACTCACACAAAGCGCCACATCCACCATCGTCCCCATTGTCTCTTCGCATTCACTGGGAGGCACCAGGCCTCGAACTAGACCATGAGCGACGGCTGGTCTTCTCCCTGAAGCCCATCATGACCGTCCGATCGAGGTCGTCGCTGCGCTTCTCCGTGCGACGAGAAGACCACAGTCGCCTCGCGCACGACGAGGACAGCACGTCTGCCTCGAATCTCGTCCAGAAATACATCGAGCACTCCTCCTCGACCCGTCCGGAATCGCTAGGAAGCACGAAACCCCCGCTGCAGTCGCGTAGGTCCCGGTCGCGACGGCGGTCTCCGCTGTCGTCCCAGCAGCCGATCGAACTCGACCACGTCGACGAGCACGAACGGCCCTACAAGAAACCCCGGCTGGAGGGCCATTTTCGCGAGAGCACGACGAGATATCCGCTGCGCGACCAGGACCAGGACCGAGCGGAATCGCCAGATCCTCTGAACACGATATCGTCGCCAGTTGACACAGCCCCTGCGCGCCCGCCAGCCCGACCGTCGCAGCCCGCGTTTGTGACAGTATTACCGCCTTCCGGCGTAACGCGCGCCACCCGCCGCTCGCTGCGACAGCTCCCCGTAGCAGTGGACGGCGACGCGGAGAAGCACGACCCCGTGGGGTTGGCAGAGGGTGATGCTGATGATGATGCCAGTCGAGCTACCGGCATTGACGCTGCTTCCCAGGCAGAAACAGGCCAGCCTGCCTCAGATGGAACTGCGACAACCGCGGAGAAGCGATCGCTGCGCTCCCAGGCGGGCGGGTCCCGCTCCAAGAGCGAGCTGGCGATGTACTTCCAGAACTACGAGCAGATGCTGAGTCTTGAACCACCCAAGCCTGGTGAGTGACTGTCTGGCGGCATGGCTGCCATGTTTGGTGCGAGCTGGTACTAACGGGCATCTAGAATTTCTAACCGGAGATACGACCGTCGTGCTGGTCGACGACTTAACCGAACCCCCACCCTCGTCGCTGCCATCTCGGTCTTCGCCGTCTCGCAGTGCAGAATCGCCATTTGGGAATCCTCTGCTCGATCTACATGACTGCGAGAAGGTGACGCTGCCAAAAGCTGAGCCCGGATCCGACGTAGATCCGCTGGGAAACGAGCACTTCTTCAAAGCGCACCGTCGGGTCGAGCGACAAGAAAAGCAGCTGCGGAATATCGAGCGGGAACGGGCGCAGCATGAGAAGATCCAGCTGGACCGTCTCTTGGACGAGCTGCAGGGCCATGACTGGCTTCGAGTCATGGGGATCAGCGGAATCACCGACACGGAGAAGAAGCTATACGAGCCCAAACGAGCTCTGTTCATCAAAGAAGTATCCGCCTTGATCGACAAGTTCCGCGTGTGGAAAGAGGAGGAGAAGCGCCGGAAGCTGGAAAAGGGTCAGCAGCTACGCGACCAAGATACTCCAGCCCCATTCCCAGATCACGAACCTTCTGTCGAGGAGGCGGACGACGAGAAGGGAGGTCTTGCCAACGGCACGGCCTCGTCTGACATCCAGAGCTTTGGAGAGCCTCCAGACATCAACGACGTTGATGCGTGGGCGGCCCGCCAGCTGCTCGAAGAAGCTCGATCCGCCTCGGGAGGCAAGCGGGCCAAGGCTGCACGCTCTCCCTCTGCTCCTCCTCCGCCGCCGCCGCTGCCTGAGCCGGAGAAGCCATTTACATCCTTCTACGCCAAGCGCTATCTCCGTGATGCTGCCCTGGGCCATCACCGTCGAGGGCGCACACGGACTGCGTTTGGCCAGCCGATCCCGGACATGGAGGAGCGGGAGTTCCAACTCCCGCCAGACATCCTGACGGAGGAAGCCATCCAGGCGTGTCAGCGCAAACGACGGCGGATGAGACGGGCGAGCCAGGTGTAGCTGGAATTTCCTAGTAGACATGATACCTCTTTGTTTTGCGTTTATTGTTTGATTCTGGCAGGCCTTGACGGGTCGGCCTGTTTGCGTGGGTGTGCTATGGTCTGGCATAGAGCACTATATAATACCTGTCTAGGTTGCTGGCCCTGACGGTATAGTCGCCGACTCAGCACTTTGATTATATATCCTATTAATAGCCCCGATCTAGGGGGAGTATATCTTCGCGGCAGTGTTAGCACGCAGCCCTGTATTATCACAAATTCCAATTCTAACTATTCCGTTTCCCTTCCATCCCATTATTAAACAGGATTCTCTTATCCCCTCCTAACCGATCTTGGCATAAAACCCTCGCATCCACTGTGTATTCAGTATCTAGTATGTAAAACAGATCGGCCAACAGTCCGACCACCACGGGTCCTTTTCCGTGCCATGATCCATCCCATTTTCCAACCCCAGACTTTGCACGTATCCACCCCCATGCTCTCGGCGCCACATCAATACTTAAACGGCGTGGGGGTTTCTTTCCCCCTCCAAACCAAGCACAGCATATTACAATAATAATCAATTAACCCATTATAATAATAGTTTCTCTCCCCGCAAGATAATCTACATGGTATAATATAATATAATACATCCCTGCTAAATTGGCAGCGGAATATCAATAGGGCAGTTTATTCCGTGCTTGGTGGGTGCAACGTGCAGCGTGGGGGTTCCCCTTCAGGCTTCTACTAAGTATAGTAATACTCCAGCGATGCAGGTGTGGGATGAATGAATGAAAGCTAGGATGCGGGGGTGCTTTCGTCCGATGCAAGCAGCTGCATAAGTAGGTATTTATCCGGAATTTACCTATATTTCCTAGCTACCTAACCTACGGACCATGATACGATAACCCCGTTCGGAGAAATATGAATAATTATTGCACGATGCTACTAACTATGTATAGGGAACTAGTAGACTAGACTAATTGGACTCAGGAGCGGGGTTATTCATCCTGGAGATTAATAGCTAATAAATTTATTACTCCATAGAGTAAGTAATATGTAACTACCCAAGGACAATAGGATAGTGGGGAGCGGGGGGTATATTAAGAGACGCAAATCGCATTGATTCTTTCTCTTCTTACTCGAAACCTTTTTCAGCAATTCCCTGTTTCCCAGCCTAAGTATCTAGGTCGCGGAACGAAGTCCGGGTCATTCTTTCTGTAATCAATATAGTTGGGATTCCATTCTGATTCAGGTAAGAACGAACGAAGTCACTATTATTTACTGATTTATTTATCATATTCCAACAATCCCATTCCTCATTTCTTTCTTTCTTCAAACCATCAACTAACTCCTCTACTCTACTCAAGACTCTATCCTCTCTCTCTCTCTCTCTCTCTCAAACAGCTACAACCCTACAAAAATGGCCCCCCGCCCCCTCCACCCGGGCATCTACGTCCCAACAGTCGCCTTCTTCGACCCCACCAGCGAAGAAGTCGACATCCCCACCGTCGAAAGACACGCCTCCTACCTCGCCTCGACGGGAATAGCCGGTCTCGTCGTCCAAGGCTCCAACGGCGAAGCGGTCCATCTCGACCGCGAAGAACGCAAAGCCATAACCCGCGCGACCCGTCGTGCCCTCGACTCCTCTCCCTCAACATCCTCGATCCCCATCATCGTCGGGACAGGAGCTCAATCGACCCGAGAGACAATCACGCTCTGCAAAGACGCCGCTGAAGCAGGGGGTGATTATGCGATTATTCTCCCGCCATGCTATTATAAGGGTCTGGTGAATAATGCTGCGCTGCTAGAGCATTTTCGCATTGCGGCCTCGGAGTCGCCGATTCCTGTTATGATTTATAATTACCCTGGCGCGGCAGCCGGGGTGGATTTGACTTCGGATGATGTTCTCGCGTTGGCGGAACATCCGAATATCATCGGGGTGAAGCTTACGTGTGGGAATACGGGCAAGTTGGCGCGGATTGCGGCCGGTGCGAAGAAAGGGTTTATGACGCTGGGGGGGTCGTGTGATTTTACCCTGCAGACGCTGATTGCTGGTGGTCAGGGGGTTATTGCTGGTACGGCGAATGTTATCCCTCGGACGTGTGTGGAGGTGATGAAGCTGTATGAGGCCGGTCGTGTGGCCGAGGCGCAGAAGTTGCAGGCTATTGTCGCCAGGGCTGACTGGGAGGGGATCAAGGCGGGCTTTGTCGGCGTCAAGACGCTGTTGCAGGTGCATCGCGGTTACGGAGGCCCGCCCAGACGGCCTTGCGTGGCCCATTCTCCAGAGGAAGTGACAGCGTTGACGGATGGGTTTGCGGAGGCCATGGAGGTCGAGAAGTCGTTGGAGAAGTAGATAGCTTTGCTAGTTATGATAAGATGAACACCATGACAGAACCTAAGGCTGAGCTGGTCTACGTCACATTGGAGTAGATCTCTGGAAACGGATATGCCAAAATATGGAAATTAATTATCAACTGCCGTTACCAATTCATCCAGTTCATCAGATGCAAAAATATACACAACGCAATCAGTCTATGTATGAACCCCCAACACCAGATGCATCAAGAATGCCAACGACACTTCGCCCAGGGATATAGTAAGCAACCGCCCGTAATAAAACAACGACATGACGGCGTCTCAACTTGAAGTCACCAAGCAGTGCATGAACTAATTGACAGTTCGAATAAATGCTGTATACACATAACACAACAATGCATCAAACTCGCCTATACATTACTCGCGCACGAAAAACTCGCGCTGCTGGGGTTGTCATGGATCGCCTTGCCAGAGACGTAGAGGCCCAGGCCGCACAGACAGCCACCAATTCCGAAAATAATGAGATTAAGGATCGTCAGACCGATCTTGCGGGGAGAAGAGAACCATTTGCCGCGGTTCAGGAAGAGCCAGAAGATACCGCTCATACCATCTATTATCGGGTCAGCTAAGGGTACTCAAGACAGAAAAGCGGGAGATACTCACAAGTGAACCAACTAGCAAACAGCGCGGTAATCAAACTCAAAAGGTTGTTGAAGACAGGTATAGCCTCTGCGATAACCCAGGCGATGACCCAGAGGGCCAGAGTGATGCCAATCCAGGAGGCCACCGAGACAAAACTGCGCTTGTGCATGCGGTCGGTACCACGGAACAGACGCACGTAGATGTACTTGGCAGCAACATGGCCGTTGATGACTCCGGCAATGACAATCTGGTCTGAGATCAGCACAAGCCTAGCGGTGATGCTTGACGGCATTACTTACGGTTGGGATAGCAATTCCATAAGCCACCTTCCGCAAGATGGGGCCAGTGGATCCCAATGCCGGCGAGGCGACATCCTTGCCGCCATAACGGTAAATGACGATAGCTGCAATCAGGTACATGCTGGTATCGATCGACTGCAGCATGTATAGAGTCTTGGGGTACTCCTCTGCGCGCTTCAACTCAGAGATGAAACCGAAGAAAGCGACGTGACCGGCTGCAGAGGAATCAGCTACGAACAGGCAAGATCGTCATCCAGACCAGACTTACCATAGGCAAACACTATATTGGTCACGGCCAGGAAGCCGTTGTACAGATCCGTCTTCACGGTAGCGTCGACATGCTTGCCAGGATGCTCAATGCCGATACCAATCATCGTAATCAGGAGGGCCGAGACGATACTGATAAAAGCTGTATGAAACCGCATCAGCAATGGATCCAACACAGCTGACACCGTTCGAGGATTACTCACACACAATGGACATCCACGACACATTCTTCATGGTGCGCGGCAGGGCACACACGAAGGAGACGACCATCCCCACAATGCCAAAGACAATGGAGCAGGTGCCATGCTCAGTGACGGTGTTCATCATGACGGTGAAGGTCAGGAGGTGGCTGCCCATGATGAAGATCAAGAACAGCAGCTGCGCATTTCCCAAGAGCTCCCGTCCAAATCGACCTAGCATGATCTCACCGGCATCAGCCATGCTGTGGACGTGGGGGTAGCGCAGCTTGAACTGGCCGATGACATAGCCAGTATATGTGGCCAGCAAACCCAGTCCAACGATGAGGATAATCGCCCTGTTTGATATTAGCTGCTACGCTCCTGTTTGGCTTTCGCACATCGAGAGAGTATTGACGTACGGAACCAATCCCAGCGATGCGACTGCAGCGGGCAGCGACAAAATACCCAAGGAGATGGTTTCTGCCACCATGACTAGAGACGGGAGTGGTCAGTTGCAGCTGGATCTAATTATTGATTTATTTATTATTGCACGGAAGGACATACTGATTCCACATTGCCTGTCAGACGCATATCGGATTAGCCAGATGATCTCACGACTTCGAGAACTGATAGATCCACGTACCACCACTCCATCGTCTTGTACTTGACCTCGGAGAATTCTTCGTTGCCAAAAGGATCCGCATAGGGCGCCTCATAGTCGGGCAATTCGGGATCGAGGTCCTTCTCGTTGTGCCCTTGGGAGCTCTCAATGTCGTCCACCGTACGATCGGGGGCGTAGGCCGCCATGGTTGCGTCTGGCCTGTCAGACAAGTGCTGTCGTTGGATTTGGATATAAGGTATTAGATCTCAATATGGGATACGTAGTTAACGACCCTGCAGCCCGACTCAATCGCACAGAGACACAGAAAATGATGACAGTGAGAGTCCACCATGACAGGGAACCGACCAGCGTAATAGAGTCCGAGAGCTCGAGATGTTCTTCTTACTAGAGAAAACGCCCCCCCGCCACTGGATGGCTCCACCCAACAGGTGGCAGCGAATCACGGAATCGCGACGTAAGACGAACCGCAGTCAATTTCTGGCGAGAAACTGGGGAAGCCCGAAGCCGCGATCGAGCGAAATCTCTGCGCCGATGCCGGTGGTCGTCGAGTCATTCGTATATTCTTTAGTCTTCTTTTTTTCTTCTTGTTCTTATTATTGTGAGTATTATTATTATTATTACTATTATTATTCTATTTGGTGCTACAAGAGTGGGAAGAACAGACAGCAAGCTGTGATGCAATGATCGTCCGTATGCATGCGGTAGTTTTCCACCAGTCTTATCATAGATAAGTACCTAGATAAGGCAGTATGGTACTTAGAGCCGATATCTACACTGGAGTAACTCTCCTGACCCATCAACACCATTTCCTCCGCCGTATTATCAGCAGTAGAACAAGCTTAAAAGAAAAAGAACAAGAAAAAAAAAATCGAAATATCATAAAATCATAAAATAATTACAGCTCTAGACCCCCGTAGCCTACCTTCAGATCTTAAGCTGCTGGGATGCCCCACAAGGCGTTCGCATAGCGGGCCCGATAACGGCCTGTCATCTATTTCACCCTCGCCAATGCTGACGAGATCTTCTTCTTTTCCAGAAAGACAATACAGCCAGTCAGCTTGAAAGCAAAAGAAAACCGCAATCCATCTCGGGCACCAACCCTGGACGGTCCCTTTCCCGGAAGCTTATGCGTCGTCCTTGGATTTGTCTGTCACATAATCACCCAATCCTGTTCGCTCACATTAAGTTAGCTACTGCTAATAGTTACTAACTTTTCAACATACAAGTAGTGTTTTGACTAAGACATTTCTATCTAGTTTCATCTCTAGGGGCCACGTGCTGGCCGGTGTCCAGATCGAGCTGTTGCTGTCTAGACTCGTCTCGGACCCGAGATGGCTACTCAAGAGTATATCTCGAGTTCAACTACGGAGTAATAATAATGAATAGCTGAGCTGTCAGTTATATCTCATCCTTGTATCCCACAGCTTACACCAGTTCAGTCTCAGTGTACATAACATACCTCCCAACGTAAGGTATTTCCATCCCCTCTCAGCCCGGGCCTCGAACACATTTCCTGGTTCCACAGATTTGGAAAATGTCATCAGCCCATGGGGCATCGCGACGCAACACAGAGCTGTAAGCCTTCGCATATATACGTACAAAATCAGCAAACGGCAAGCATATGAATCCTTCAGCAGTAGTAGCATGATGTCCCGTCTTTCCGCTGTCGTCCGTTTCCCCAGATTTTCTCGCGTCGTGTCCATGTTGTTTGGTCGTGGAGTGGTCAGCACTTTCTCCGTGATGCGGCTTAATCGGCTTGTTTCACTGAGCCAGACTCTTCTGTTTTGCCCTAATTACGGTTGTTACATGCTTTGCTTACATAGTGATACCTAGTCAATAAGAGCACTGAATAACGCTCACCGTCAAAGCTTTGGACAACCCCTGCTCTGTGTACGGTCGTACAGCATCAAGGCTGAGACGTTCTAGGGAGATGTACATACATCCCTGTGGGTTGCCAATGCTTTCGTTGTTCAGCTTCAGCTTCAGTTCCGTATTCAGAAAGGGAGAAATTGCCTCTCATCCTCGTGGTTCATTACAGGCATTCCAATCCTTCGAGTCTTGCTCCAGCGCTACCATGACTTCTCGAGTATCACACTGGCTCCTATAAAGAGCTCCTGAATTCCTGTTTTGATCATAACTCAACGCACAGAATAGAACATAGTCTGCTTTCCAGGACTATTCACTCGATCTGAAAAGAAGTAGCGTCTCTTCGCATCATACCTCTTGAAACACTAAAGGATGCATTTCTCTGCCTTCGTAGTCCCCGCAGCCCTCATGGCTGGCGTTACCGTCCACGCAGCCTTGCCCAAGGCCAACGAGTACAAGTCCGGGGACTGGTAAGTTCATCTCATTCTCAGCTCTGTCAGCTATACTGGTCGCTCATCGCACGTCCTCAGTTCGGGCCCCATCAACTTTGGCCATCACTCTATTCTACTCCGTGATGTCACCATGGACGACACAAGCCACTCAGTCTACCTTGCAGGTACAAACTGGGTCGGTTACTCGGACAAGACTGGTAACGGCGGGAGTTGCACCGGAGCGGCTTTGAGAATATTGAATGGAAAGTGTAACAATCTTGATACAGCTGACCCGGGGACGCGCATCAGGTGCGTCAGGAACATTGGCTAGATAGGTCGATGATATGTATCGAAATCGGGTGGTATCACCGCTTTAATTCAAAATTCCGATCTGTTACAATTGGATGATTAGCAGGCATTCATCTAGTCAGGTGATTTGTCAGATGATCAGTGAGTCTATCATACCGCCAGTTCTAGGGATTAGATACGAAGACACCTTCATCGCTTCTACCACGAGGAGGGGGTCCTAGCTAGGAGCTCTAGCTAGCATCATTCATTCATTTCTATCATCAAGACCGTTCCCTTGTCAATATGATTCCGGCAATCTTTCGAAGACTTGGGGGAACCTTCACCATTGTTAGCCGGGTTCGCCAGACAAGAAGTCAAATCGCGGAAATGAAGAACGCGTTGAATTCAGAGAGAAGATTAACGTCGTCAATGCCTTACACGATTCATATAGAAAATGAATTGGTATGGCGTCCGACTAAGGATGACGATAAAAGGATTTCATCATTGTAAACGCATGAATTTCGAAATGATTTTAATAATAACTCACCTGAAGCATCAACCCTCATAGCCATCAATGTAGAAGAGACCGTCTGACTAATCGTCAACGGTCTGCGGAGTCTCAACTCAATGAGGTGATGTAGGATCACTTGGATCGAACAGGTCACCTAATACAGGTGCACAGTTTCGATTATTGGCTAATCATCGTAGGAGATGATTCTCCTCCCCGCGAAACGGGAAGCAGCTGCCGCCGCAGCATCGTCCCTGGTATTAACTCGGTAAGAAGAGTCACCATCATAATCAAGACCAGATACTCCTTGATCACCCTTTCGGTGATCAGAGCCACCGGACGACTTAGGGACGCTAGCATCTGTCTTCCGATCCATCGACGTCTGGTCGGGATTTATCGAGTGCACTGGTCCTTTCTCGCTACTGCGGCCAGTTGCGTCCTCTTCTTCTTGAAGCCTCCGCTCCTCTTCCAACTGTCTCTTGCGCAGAATGGCGTGTATCTCACTATGTCGAAATATACGGATCTGTTCGTCGGTAAGGGTTCGCTTCACGCCATCTGGATAATATCCTAGTCCATCATCTTCTTCTTCATAATATTCACTCTCGCCAAGCTGAGCATTTTCGTGGGCAAAGTTCGGCATAGGGGGTTGACCCTGTCCGGGGAAATGCCGCGTATGGAAGGCTTGGAGTTCATCCTGTTCGGGTAGTTAATAAATCAAACCATAGATATGACGAAGAGCGCAAATGATCTTACCAGGCTGATAGACGGGGCCTGCAACTGCCCCGTTGCACCGGTGGCCATCTCCGTTAGAGAAGATACCGGAGCGTGACACCTAGCTCATCAAATTTTTCGACCCTTTCGCAGCCTGTCTCTCGGTTGCAGTTTGGCGCAAAACTACGCTCGAGGCCGACAGGAGCTTAAGTAGAGGTTGGCGAAGAGAAAAGGAGGGAGCTACGTAAGCGGGAGGAATTTAACGCGAAGAAACGCGGAGCGTCGGCGTCGCCCAAGCCCGCCCGCATCGACCCACGGAAAAATTGCAGACATGAGTATGGAAATCGATCGACCACTTCAGATGACCGCGTGGTTGTTGGTTATTATAAAGCGATATCGAATGGCTCTGTTGTTGTACGCAACCATTTAACTATTCAATTTTCATTTTCACGATATCAACATGTAATCACTCATTAAAGCCCCACGAAACCCCTCTCTTCCAGGGACTTCGTTTGGAGATCTATATTCGACACAGTATTTCCAATTTTCGCCTTGACCGAGAGAAAATGCACTTTCAGTTCTTTTACCTTCCCAAGATCTATTGAGCTGACACGCACTCTATCCTGCGGAGATGGTTCCTCGAGGTTCCATCCAATAGATATGTGAAAGAAATTCGAATAATCCATAGTAGACTCTGTAACCTCTCTCTGGGGATCTTCCTTTCTTTTCCCGCGAGAAGTACCGCTTTTATCCTTCCCACGCGATAGAGAAGGATACTTGGCAGCGCTCTCGTACAGCGGCGGTTGACCGAAAGAGGCTAGACATTGGTTCGATATCCGTAAAAGGCGGTTCAAACTGTCATTTTCCGGCTTGCTCACGCGCAGAACCAGGAACCAGCGCGTTTTCTCATAATTAGAAACCCAATCCAGTTCCTCTAGAGTGACGTGAAACCTAAGGTTGCTGTTAGACACCTGCATTTCCTGCAAGAACCGTGTACTCACGGTCGTATATCCGAATGTACAATTGCTTTTTGATACAGATCCAAGAATTGCTGTCTCTGCTCAGTCACGAGGACTACGGGTCTCGATAGACTGATGTGAAGCGGAAGGTAAACTCCCAGGTCATTCTGGAGCAGACTGTGGACCTTGATATTGCTCTGGCCAAGCTGATTTCGGACTTGAGAGATGATATTGTTCAGAACATCTAGTTCTGGTTTTGATGGATACCCTGTGTTATTTCAGCCAAAGCACGGGCTTATTACATGCCGCAGGATAGATGCTTACACTCGAGATATAGATGGGTCGGCCAGTTTCCCTCGACGTGAGGAATGACGCGCTTGCGGCCGCCATGAAGACTAGGATCGTCTTTCACACTGACTCTCGTGCTAGACGCGTACAGATCGTGAAAGTTTGCAGGCAGCGCTGGCAACGAAGACGTTTCTTTGGGTTTTGAAGGGCGACTATCTTGCCGTAATCTCTTTGCCGGTCTAGGTGGCGAGGCACTTGAGGAGCGACGATCGTCCGTGTCAGATTCGGAATCTGAGTATTGTACTAGAGCCATCAAGATAAAGTGCCAGCCATACCTAACGTATGTTGATTGAGAAAATGGTCAACGTTCCAAGTTGTTCTTGTCTACTTATACATGATAGCGAATCAACGCGGCGTCGGAGCCAGAAATGTGGAGAATCGTTCCTTGGCCCGTCAAGCGCTAAACCATAGTTATTCGGTGCACTTCGGGCGACTCCTCTGGATGTCTGTCTTAAACTGTCCGATTACAGGTCTCAGGCGTTGATGTACTTGCTCAAACTACGGCAGGCAATACGGTCGGCTTTGAGGAACATTGAAAATCTCTATTGACAGCGCATCTGAGAGACAAGTGGAAGAAAACGTATATCCCTATGGTTTTTTCAAGGCATACCTCCCTCAGTGCTTTCAGTCTTACATGGTCTATGCGGGCGCTCTTGGTCTGTGATATCGTAGTCAGTGTGTTATTCTTTGTGGAAGAGAGGGTTCAGAAGTACAATGGCAGTATATGACTATCTGAGTTGCCTGAAGTCTCTGGCAATATTCATTTTTCCACTAATTCCTCAGCATATTCTAGTAGCTAGTGTTGGCAGTGCTTGTCCTGGAATCTGTTTTATTGTTATGGCTCCCCACTGAGGCCAATCTGCGAGCGAGCCACGCAGGAACACTGTTTTGTATCTACTGCTGGGAAAGCTACCAACTGACAACAGTCGTGTATCTTTCCAGTTCCAGAGTGCACAGGATATATACTGAAATTCGCGGTCGAAGCTATGCGATTTCAACCTCGTTATAAGATGTGCACTAGCAATAATCAAGACCCCTTCCGGAGGAATCTGCAAATCCTTCGATGGGCATGCCTCTTATGACTAGCAAAACCTCAAATTTATCGCCATTTCTCAAAGTCCCGGCTTTTGATGTTTAATGTGGCCCGCATTTTCGATATGCCAATGTCCATGTGGATTCATTTGTGGGGGTGAGCGCGGCGTCATGCAGCCCCTTCCTTTAAGGTATCGAGCGTAGTCCAAGTTGCAAACTGCGATTTTCAAGAAGATTCCTGGCTCATCTTCAGAGACTAGGCAGCGCCTATAGATTTACTGTTATGAGAGATGATCAACAAGAATACGTAAAAAGGGGGAGAAACTGCCACATCCGTATTGTTGTTGGGGGATCTGTTATGATCCATGCCACTATCTCGGCTACTTGTTGCGTGATAAAGGCTTTGGAATATCAATAAATGATATGGGACAGCCACGTAGCTAGTGTCCCCTTAGAAGTTAGAGGTATTCTTGACAGCTTTTATTCCATGAGGGACTAAAAAGGAAGGACCGTTCAGGGGCGGTCGTGTTATGAATAAACGCAACAGACGAACTGATGGACTCCATATGAAGTCTCTAGAGGCCAAGTGACGAGGGCCCCATATATGTTTAGCTGTGTAAATATAAAATACAGAGTAGCGGGAGGAAGGTAAGTAGAGGGGGCAACGAGAAGGTTGAGGAAGTCGTGAATCCGCAAGGGTACTTTCCTACAACTGAATCATCGATAATCTCAATGCAAAATGGTGCTATATGGCCACATGATGTCTCAGCTAAAAAGAAGATCTCCATTGAAGTATGACCAATCTAACATAATGGGTAGATTCCTCTATTCCCTCTATGAGCTTGGGTTAGACACAATAATAATCTATCGCAGATACCAATCGAGTGACCGTACTTTTCTATCGGAGAGTCCATATTAAAACAAAGCTCTGATGGAACTGTAACGTAGAGTACCTTGGTTTAATGCCCCGTAAATAGTAAAGTATCAATTTTGAGAAAACTACATGACGCATTGGAAGATGAGTACCATATAGTGCTATGGTAGTGATATCACAGACTCCTCCGTCTTGTTGGCAGTCGGTTGACGGCAAGACCCACCGATGAGGTCAACGTAATGGTGTATTTTGGATTCGCTTCCATTGACTTCAGAGTGTCTTGATCCGGTGGTATTATCTTAAACTTCCAGGTAGGAAAATACCCTCAGCAGGTCCAAGAGCCAGGTAAGTTAATTAACGAAGTCAGTTTACCAGCGGTCTCTTCTAACTTTGGTCTTCGGGCCCGAATTCTGCGCCTGGCAGTAGGCTGATCTGATATTCTTCTACCTCAGTACCAAATTCTTGATCGGACTATGCCTGTGTTGTCTTTTTTGATTCTTCCGAAATAGCGTTGATATGCCGCTGCTAAATCCGTTGTCGGCCGGTTCTTGCACACTAATTTCTCCAACATGCAACAACAGAGTGACGCACATTTCGTTCGGATATCATGACTTGAAGGACCTTGGGGCGAAGAGCAGTACGATGGGTTCTAAAAAAAGGTCAGTTCTAAAGAATTCGGTCTTCTGCTTCGTTGTTGGTTAGCCAATCTCTGTATAAAAGAAGAAAAGAACATTCTTTCCCAGTAGAGAAGTTCCATTGTCCGACACATTCTGTTCTAGCTGGCTTCTAGAGCGCCGGGGGCGGGAACGCTTGGGCCATCCGATCGCATAGTCCGGACAATCCTCAGCGGCAGTTTCACATCAGCATAATAAAGCTTAGCACAGCATACAGTCGGATGCCTTCCTCTTTCTGTCTGTCAATGATGCTATCAGCTGGCATAGAATCCGGTTGCTTAAGATGCCGGTTCTCTTCTGCCGACCGGTGCATAATGCTGACGTCGGGGCCATCCCGAGTGTACCGATTGTGGTGAAGTCAACTCTGGGAGTTTAAGTATAATTCCAGCGCGCAAACAGAGTTAAGCAGCATTAATTCATTATCCAAGTCCGGTCAGCCTTACTACGCGTCGCTGCTAAACCCAACGGCGGCGCGTTAGTACAAAACCATCGCTGGAACGGTGGAGAGAGGCAACAGTTCGTCCCGTCGGTCGAGCCCACCATAATAAGCATTGGGCACGGCGTACGCAAGCCATCCCACACGTCACCGAAGTCCAGGCCCTTTATATATGCTCCCCTACGCCTTCTTCCATCCGTTTTCTTCCTTCCATTCTACATCTCTCTACAATCCCATTCAAACATCATTTTACATCGTCTTACATCTGCATATACCTACCGTTCGAGCATACAAAGCAAGGCAAAACACATTCTCATCTCTCTTGTTCTTACCACTGACGGTGGTAACCGAATATATATCCCTGCTCCACTATACAGATTGGATTGTATAGTCTTGATCACCACTTGTACAGAAAGGTGGACAACATGATCAACAGCAACATGAATGCTTCTACCAATCCATTCCGTTCCTCTACCAATCCTTTCCGTCGGCCCCCAGGGGCAAGGCCCATGACCATGTTCGAGCCTGCTTACTTCCCCGTGAATCCGTTCGACGATCCAATTCCGACTCCCAAGCCAGTCGACTCCAAGGGCCGTACGAGCCCCGTGAAGAACAATGGCAGTCTTCACCGCAGCCGCAGTTACCAGAGCGGAAACAGGGCCGGCAGCAACCGTCACTCGAGCCGGAGAGATCGGGTTCGTCCAGATGTTATCGACAGACTGGACGACGTGGCCGACATGCAATACCACCACGAGGGCCCATACGATGCCGTCTATCCGGAGCGCAACAGAAACAGCAAGCGCAGCCCTGTCGAGGCTGTGAAAGAGTCGAATGCCATGGCTCTCCGGGCTACCCATCCCGACAAGATCGTGGATAGCATCCAACGCCACAGGCCTCTGGATGGTGTCGCTTTCTTCCCTCCCGGATCCAGCGACAGAGATGGGCACCTCTATGAATACGAGGAGGGCTCCAACATGGTCGGTGAGGAATATGGCCAATTTATGAGGATGCCACCGGGTTTCGTAAGTAACCTGCAATCTCTTCCGTGAGCCACGAACGAGTAGCTAACCTTTTTTACAAGAAATTTACCGAAGAAGACTTCAAGAACGACCCGTTCTACAGGAGGGACTTCCAGCCAAAGAGGCGCATCAGCCTTCGGAAGGCCTTCGGCATTGGCCGCTCTCGCCGGGTCGCCGCCTAAAGCGGCTCCAATTGAATAGTCTTCGGACGTATTTGACACGTCCTTTTCCAGATTGCACGACCTTCTTTTCATTTCGGTGGTTATTAATTCTTGGTCATACTTCTTGGTTATACTTGCTACGGCAGACTTTCTTTTTGACTAGGCTCTGCTGGCTGAGCAATGTCGATACAATGAGCGAGGGAGTTTTGCATATGGCCAGCAGGGGCCATCCCTCTTGGGTTCTGCTTCTTCATACGGCGTTTTTTGGACATGGGATAGATTGGGACCGGTTACGTGACACGGGATACGATACCATGTACCCATAGATGTTTGGTTTTTCTTGGGGTTCTTGCTTACGGATATGCATCTTCATTGGGTGCTTTTTTATTGTCTTGATCTTCCTACGGAAGACCTTTTACCCCTGGACATATATTCTTACATGAGACTGCACAAGAACATGTACTTTTTCTTGGTTCGTTATATATATTCGTCTCATGTACCATACATTAATGGATGCATTCTCCATGAACAACCAGATTGAATCTTTAACCATATTCATGAACGTGGGATATCCCCAACGCCCCCTTTTCCCACACCCTACTTAACACTCCATCATCTCGACGATCCGACTGTGCCGCGCAATCCGGATAGCCAGAGCCGCTCCGATCCGCCTACCGCATACAACCACGCTGATCGTGAGTAATACTCCGAATAAATTTTGCGGTGGTCCAGAGCTCCGGCTATCCGCGTGATCCGGGAATTGGTGGCCTTCGCGAAAGAAACTAGTCCTCCGTTGCCTCCGAGAGATCCATTTGGGAACAACTAGTTTAGTATTTGGTCCATAATGAGACTTTTTGTCTAGTCTAGTCTAGTTTTATTCTCGTGGAGGAACAGTCAATTTCTCCCTCTCTAGTACGAATTCGAGAGCGATTTTTATGCTGTAGTGAGTCCTCTAGCGGACTCTAGCGTCACACATAGATCAGCGCCCGATCGACAAAAAGGGTCCTCTGATTCCTTGCGTGCGTTGACGCGTCCGTGCGGGCCGTTAGAGTACTGAAGGCGCCGATCGATCATCCATCCTTTCCCCGTTCCGGCGATTCGACGTTTCCCTCTGGGGTTTAAGTTAGTACTAGTCGATAGTCTAGGCTTCGGGGTGGCGGACGCATTGCTGAGGCTTAGATATACGACTCCTGCATGACTTGCGCGGTCGGTGAATTTCGTCAAATTATGTACTTGGAGATATGTCGTCTAGTAAGTTAGATAAATGAAAACGATAATGTACGTACACAGACGTATAGCCATGTACACGCCATACATACTCGTATTCATTCTATTCATTCTTGTCGGGTCAGTCAAGACGCCATCAGAGCACCACTATCATATTATGGCTTTTAACTATCATGATCAGATCACTTGCCACTTGTATTCTGGACTGTGAGTACCGATCATTTCGTTAACCAAGTTAACTTCCCTTGTGCTGCTGAGAAACACCCGACTCATGATCGCTCACCAGCTAGGTAACTAGTGGGGTGATTTGGCTCTGATGTCATACTTAGCATACAGGCCTCAAGATTCGATTCTAGAAACCAGACTCATTTAACCAAGGCAATTGACCTTTCTCCAGAGCAAACTCGAGTGCAGGGTCTATGACCGCATAACTGGATATTGTCAAAAAAATCTTAATCCATTCTAAGTTTGTGGGTCACCACGATGCATCATTCATCACTTTTCCCAAGTCGGCCGCGTTCGGAGAAAAAAAACTAACCATAAGCAAAGCGGGATAGAGTAACAATTAACCGAGTCGTCGGATCCATGATAAGAATTTTCTAGAGTGTGGTATGAGGTCTGGACTCTGGACTCTTCTCCCTTGAGTGCAAAAGCCACACCCCGCATTCTTGGCTGGTGGTGAGTAGCTTAAATCGGTTAGAGTGTTCATGTTTCAGATATTTGATTACTCTATTAAGGGATGATATCCTTTTTGTTTGCTATATTGTAAGATTCTTCGACAGCGCGTGGTTTAGAGGAATAGGTTTGGTTCGGTTTAACTACGAATAGGTACCTAGATACACAGCCCGGTTTAGTGCCTACTGATTAACTCCGCTGACGTTGCTGCGATAGATCCATACTATATACATCGTTAAGGAATCACTACATCTACACAGGACGCCTATTACAGAAACACCTATACCTATATTATCGCTGACATCTCCCATTCTAATCTCTATCCTGCCCTCTGTTTACTTGACTCGCCTTGCCATATTGCGTCATAACCGTCAGTCTGAGATCACAAAGGCCAACTTCTCTTTATATACAGCATGAGATGGACCACCAAGCAGCAAAGATTCTGGTAACATATCATGTATTACTACTATTATTATATTCATGATTCGAATTTAGCAAATCCATGTCACACTGCATTCTACGAAATAGTCGTATCTCTTGGACCTCGAGTTTCAAATTATTATTAACTTCGCGTAAAATGGCGAGCACGCTTTCCCACACACCCGCGAGCTTAGGACCATTACACCCCGCAAAGGCCCAGACAGCCGCTGTAAAACCTTCAGTTGCGAAGTCTATCGGGATCAGAGTAAAAGATCCCTTGGATCATGAGGCGCCTGCGATTCTTCATGAGCCCCGGAATTATAATCGACAGCAGGCGAATGAATCCGCGGTGGTTCTTATCAGTGGTGCTGGAGGGGGTGTTAGTGGACCTGCTGGTATGTACTTCCGGTCGTCCCTTTTATTTTATGTAAATTAAAAGACGGGTGATTGATTGATTGATTGATCGATCAATACATACTAAACTCAACGGCAGGTATATACCCATCCCTAGCAGATAAATTCTCCCTTCTTCTCAACATCCCCTGCATCAGACTCGATTACCGTCAACCTGCACGCGAAAAGTACTGCACCGCGGACGTGGTCGCTGCATTCGATTACCTCGCCACTCACTACTCATCCAAGAACTTCGTCATCGTCGGCTGGTCCTTTGGCGGCAGTCCCTGCTTCACCGTAGCTGCACGAGAACCAGAACGAGTCCGCGGGGTCGCTACCGTCGCATCTCAAACTGCTGGGACAGAGGGCGTGAGACAGCTAAGTCCTCGTCCAGTCCTCCTTCTCCATGGAACGGGTGATACGTGTTTGTCGCCGGCGTGTTCGCAGACGCTGTTTCGACAGTATGGCGAGAAGGGAGAGAGGGAGTTGAAGCTTTTTGAGGGCGACGATCATGGGTTGTCAAGGAATGCGGTTGAGGTCGAGAGGTTGATCTTCCATTTCGCTGCACGGTGTTTGGGGCTTGGGGGTATGGTTGATGAGCCGATGAAGGAGGAAGCGGCTAAGGATTTGGCGGGGAGTAGGAAAGAGAGGGTTTCGGAGATGCAGGAGGGCCATGATTTGGAAGGTGGAGAGAGGTTGTAGGGATGGATTTTAATCTCAAGGGTAGGTATTATTACTATGTAGCATGTCCCATAGGCGGTCTCTTGATTTATGTATAGAACAGCGTTTTCTTTTTCTGTTAAAGGTACTTCCATTGAAATGAATAGACTCACAATATTAGACAAATCAAACAGGCCATGGATTGTACCTAGGAGTCCCTGGACTCTGCATGAGCTGAGAGAGATTATGGTATAAGATATAGTAGCTCAGTGGGAGGTATGTAACGACTAGTGGGCAACTTGAATAGCTTATGTGCAGTCGCAAAGATAGGGCTCATTTGTATGAATCGCAAGTTGTGAATATCGATAATTATTATTCTGTATGTAAACAAGCATAACATGTGGAGTAAGAATTATGTAGATGAAATATCGAAGAAGCACGGTGGAATATTCGCGTCTGATGCAGTCTTGGCGGCAGCACCGCCACAGCCGGGCCGGATCTTTCGATAGCGATGCTGCTGCTTGATCCGCCACCAAGGCCAGATGTCATCTTTTAGTTTGCAATCCATGGACGTTGTCAGGCCACATAGACCTCTCTGCCTTTCTTCTTGGAATTACAAGGGTGCCGCTGGTGCTGCTTTTTTGCAGCTTTTTAATTCCACGTTTGGCTTTGCCAACCCCTTTCCTGGTGCCTGAATTCCATCTGCGCTGGAAGTTTTTAAGCTCTAGATGATGCGCCTCATCTGCGCGTTTTGCTGATAAACTATTTCACCGGCCACATCGACGTTCTCGAGGGCTGTTGAAGTCTATTTCATAGACTATACGGCGGCATTCTTTAGCTGTCCCTGTTCTCGATTGCATAATCTATTTGTTGCTGTCGGAGGAAAGGTGTCCCAAGATGCGCTCTGCCGCGAAGATATTCTACCTGGCAGTCTTTGCGCTGCTGGGACCTGCTAAAGCAGCCAGCCATTATGGATCTGCTGATACGTGTGCTGTGAGTGACAAGTTTCTCGTTTCGTTACTTATAGGTCTACTAACTGGAGATATTCTCAGATCGATCCCAAGGCTACCGTCTCTGACACCTGCGCCTCCTACGCGAGAATCGATACGCTCAATGACCAGATATACCCCATCCTCAATTCTATAACTCATGACACGGATTTCTTCTCGTACTACCGTCTTAACTTGTTCAATAAAGAATGTCCATTCTGGTCAGACGAGAGTAGCATGTGCGGGAACATTGCATGCTCAGTCCATACCATTGAGTCGGAGGAAGATATACCCCCAATTTGGAGAGCAGAGGAACTGAGTAAATTGGAAGGTCCCAAGGTCGGACATCCTGGTCGAAAACAACAGGAGGAGCGGCCCAAGGACAGGCCGCTTCAGGGGGAACTGGGCGAGGACGTCGGAGAGAGTTGTGTGGTTGAATATGATGACGAGTGTGATGAGAGAGACTACTGCATTCCCGAGGATGAAGGCGCGGCCGGAAAGGGCGACTATGTGAGTCTAGTGGACAACCCGGAGCGGTTCACAGGGTACGCAGGTCCCGGAGCTCATCAGGTGTGGGATGCGATCTATCGTGAAAACTGCTTTGTGAAGCCAACGCCTGAGGCGCAAACTCCATTTAACCAGCCATTCCGCGGTTTGCCTGAGGGAGGCCTCCAGGCTGCCAATGACTTCAGAAATGTCCTCCAACAGGAAATGAAGCGTAGCGACAGTCTGCCGCTGGACAATGAGTGTTTGGAGAAACGTGTCTTCCACCGCGTTATCAGCGGAATGCATGCGTCTATCTCGACTCATCTTTGCTGGGATTACCTGAATCAGACGACGGGTCAATGGGCACCAAATGTGCAGTGCTACAAGGAGAGGCTGCACAACCATCCGGAGCGGATATCGAACCTCTATTTCAATTACGCCTTGGTCTCTCGGGCTGTCGCCAAGCTGCGAAAGCATTTGGAAGGATACACCTTCTGTACCAGTGACCCAGTTCAGGACCGCGAGACGAAGCAAAAGGTGTTGGATCTCACCAACGAGCTCGCGTCACGGCCACAGGTCTTCGACGAGACCGCTATGTTCCAGGACCCAAGCGCGGCTGGCCTAAAAGATGACTTCCGCCACCGATTCAGGAACGTCAGCAGACTGATGGACTGCATTGGATGCGACAAATGCCGGCTCTGGGGAAAGCTCCAAGTCAATGGCTACGGGACTGCCCTGAAGGTCCTGTTCGATTACGATGAGAATAACACCATCGACAATCCACCACTTCGACGCACAGAGCTTGTTGCTCTTATCAACACATTCGGTCGCATCTCCCACAGTTTAGCCGCAGTGCGTAGTTTCCGACAGGCAGTGGAGTCTGGCAAGGAGGATCTGCTCACCGTTCACCCCCCGGTGTCAGAGCCCCTCAGAGCACCAGGGGAGAAGAAGGGAGCAGAAGCGAGACATTATTACAAGGACGGAGGGTCATCCTTTTACGCGGAAGATGATGACGATGACTGGGACTCTGTAGACGACTATCGGCCGTGGGAGAGGACTGAAGATGATGTCGCAGATACCCTCCTAGGAATGATCAAGGCAGAAGTCAATGTCTTTTGGCGGACGTTCACTTGGGTTCTGCACTCGTGGGTGCAGCTTCCCCGCACTATGTGAGTAAACCCTCGATCATCACGATTCAAGAATGACTGTATACTGATTGCTGCTTTAGATGGGAGATATCGATTCTGGAACTGGACCGCCTGTGGAGTTACTGGCTGGGTCTGCCAGTGACGCCCCGCGCCTGGAAAATCCGATTCCCTAATCCACCTTCTTCTGGTGACCGGGAGCTGTGACCATGGTCGCAAGTTCTCCTGCGTTTCAATTTATTGTGCATGGTATATTCAAGTCCGAATTGGCGTTCGAGCTCTCTCTTTTCATTCACGCGCACATTAACAACGCGCATGGTTCACTTACTAGGCATTCCCCTTGGAGTCATGGGTAGCACTACATGTATATAATACTACTTTGGGCTGTGACAGTCACCTCGATATCTTACTAGACTCTTCTCCGTTGCATCATCCGAGAATATGAAGCTCTATTCGCTGAGCATGATTTTCTTTTCCACTCTGCAGGTGTATGTATTTCGATCCGCGGAATTAGCGGAACGGCATAGAGCCATGATGTATGATTCGTAAAGATTCGTTCTGCATTCTGTCGGCGTACAAAGCAAACGCCAGGTGATCTGCAATCATCCGTTACACCAGGTTCCCGCATGGAATTGGATCGAACCTACTAGATTACTAGATTACTAGGATCTAGATTCTTTGTATGCTAGAGATAAATATGGGATCAAATCCCCCCTAGACCTAGAGTCAAGCAAGCAATTCAGATCCTGCTCCCGTGCTGTTTAGGTTTCGACACATTCCTCGAAGAAACGACGAATACCGCAGTTTGGTCAACATAAAACCTCCCTTGACCGCACAGCATGTATAACTAGCTATAGATGTTTCAAATATATTCGGAATATCTTTCTTGTATCTTTCGTGTTTTTTCTTGTCTACTTACACACAAATACAGTCCTGTAATTCACACAGTGGGGGACATTCGTCACTATGGACAACTAGCTTGATGCCAGTTCCATCGCAAAAGCCTCTCAAAAATTCGAGATTTTCTTGAGTCTCATCTGTTGGGAACCAGAAAGATTCCGAGCCGATTTTAAGAGTCTTGAAGTGAGGGACGCGCGTGCTCCTCTCTCCGATCACTTGCATAAAGTCTGCTATTAGGTATGCCAACATATTAGGGTAAATGTTCATAATGTCAAGCACCTCCAGGGAGCGTGGGAGGAGATCGATGATATGGTATTCTGCAGTACCATCCACCCAGTCGTCGCACAAAAAGTTGACCAAATCAATGCGTAGTTCCCGAAGAGCAGAGAACTCCTTGAACGACCCGAACACGAAGATATCGGCTGGCTCATCGTATCCATTGGTGAAAGTGCTTGTGGAGCAGTCGGGGCCTGTTACCCATATGGTTTTCAGTGTTTTTCGAAACGACAGGAGAGATCTGCGCAATTCCTTTGCTCGAAATATTTCCAAGGGCAACTCTAATGGGTTACCTCCCTGCATATATAAGAATTTGAATGTCTCCAGTTTGCTGCAGGCTGCAAACCAGTAGTCCATTTCTTCGTCATATTCGCCACAGAGCTTTATTTCCGTGACTGGGCTTGTACCCTTCGTTATCTCTAGACCATCGTGTTTCAATACCTCGCAGAGGTCCCAATCGATCACACTGTAGCCACGGATCGTGCGGACAGCAGGTAAATTAAAAAATGGCACAACAAAAGTTGCCGCTACCCCGTCCATTTCATGGCTAGGAGAAAAGTCCACGGTATGAAGACGGGAAAGATGGGGTGCTTCGTGAAATGGATACTGCCGTGTGGCAGCCTTGAGTAGGACTCGATTAAAGAAAAACGGTTCGTCCCAGTCCGCATGTATGATGCTCATCGTCTGCAGATGAGAGAGTTTTGCCAATAAAAGACTCGACCAAGCATCTACGGAGCCGCGTCTGAGATATCTGACCAACTGGGATCCTTCTTGCTCGGTCTCCCATATCTCCTTCGATATTTGATCAAGTAGCGACAGGTCCGTATGCACGAGACCCCAGAAAGGAGGCACATAGTATTCCACGAGTCCCTCTGATACGCTGTCGCTTTTGACATTGACCTCCAAGTGACGTACAAGCCTTGCGAGATCTGGACGACGGCAGAGGTCCTGGATGAGTGCAAATTTGCTCTTCGAGTAACTACCAACACGGTCTTCACAATACTCATCCCTGGTACACCGGAATGAGAGTGATGAATATAGCAGTGGTAGAAATAATCGATGAAATCTCCGCGAACATTGTATCAGGTTGTATCTTGTTTCGAGATCCTCAATGTGCTCACCAATCATCCAGAGCACGTCGTCTGATGGACACCGAGCCATTATGTCTGCAGTAGAGGCTTTTCCTTGAAATCGCTCATGATACTCAACGGTTGATCCTCCCCATCAGTGCGCAATCCTGTTGAATGGCGAACTAGTAGATCATGAGGGATCCAATAAGTAACGGTATCTTGGATGGCCAGGGCAGCAGAGCCGAGGCTCTGTCCAGATAGGAGACGCCTGTGGTGATATGCATCACATGACCCGCTAAAGCGCCATCTGCAGTGCTGGGATCTAGTTAGTTACCAGATGAATAGAATGTAGTTTATTTTGTCATTGCAAGTTAACGTCGCCTCATGTGGACGGCTTCTTGAGTACCGAGACATAACGCTGAAGATGGTATATGCCTGGTTTGTCTACTCTCTGTTCCCTATAGAAAGTTGTCGGGGAACGACCCGAATACCGGGAAGGGAACCGAGCGGCAATGGCGATGATGACTCAGCATATTTGCACAACTTCCTTCTGTTGATTTCTTTCAGTAACAGACCGGTTGGTGATAATACTCGTAGATCGCACAAATTCCTTCTTGGCAGTGAGCCCGAGTAGTGGTATTGATCTAGTAGAAGAATAGTTATAAAGAAACGATAACTATCTAGTTATCATCATTATTATTACTTGCCTACAGAGTCAACCTCGGCTCCTGTGTTCGGCCCAACCCCGCCCTCGACCCGTTTGGTCCGTTTCCCCCGGCCTTTTCTCGCATCTGACCGCCCCGTCAACTTTCTTTCTCCACTCCATCGCGAACTCGACTCCTCCATCTCTCTTCTCGTCGTCGGCTTGGTAGGGTGAAGGGTCGCTGTCCTTGCATCTCTCTCCTCATCTTGCATTGACGCCCTAGCCTGCACTTCGACTCAACAGTCAGGTCATCTCCATGTCCGCCTGCTGAACGCGCCTGTTGACTCGATGGCGTCGGTATCGCCACCCAAGCCGTGGGAGAGGGCGGGTGCTACAACTGGTAGGTGATCAGGGAAATCGCTGTCGTGAAGGAGATTAGGTTTATATGGCATCTCTCCGTGGTTATCATCACTAACTCCCCCTCTTGTGAATAGGTTCGGCCTTACCAGCACTGCCGGCCAGCGGTGGTACCACCTCGACCACGTCTACAACTCCAACTACTTCAACAACATCTGCGTCTGGATCGATGGCAAACCCTCCGGAACTGCCGTCGCGCCCGGATTCTCTCAATTCTGTTGTTAACCGCACCGCCTCGACATACTCTCCGTACGGCGCATCGCGATTGGGAACAAGCCCTTATGGAGGCTACGGCGGATACGGCGGATACGGTGGCTACTCATCGCCATACTCACGTTTGGGTGGGATGGGATCGATGTACGGTGGCTACGGAGGGTACGGTAGCATGTATGGAGGTATGGGGGGCATGGGCGGGATGTATGGCGGAATGGGAGGCATGTCTGGGGATCCGAATGACCCGAACAGCTTGACAAACTCGTTCAGTCAAAGCACGCAGGCCACGTTCCAGATTATCGAGAGCATCGTTGGCGCATTTGGTGGGTTTGCGCAGATGCTAGAGAGCACCTATATGGCCACGCATAGTTCCTTCTTTGGTATGTTGAGACGTCGAGTCTTATGTCGATTCTGGGGACGAAACTAACTTGATATTGTAGCCATGGTGTCTGTCGCGGAGCAATTTGGGAATCTGAGAAATACCTTGGGTTCTGTTCTGGGAATCTTCACACTGATCCGATGGTTCAAGACGCTCTTCGCCAAGCTCACCGGCCGGCCACTACCTGCAGATGCAACAGCCCTGACGCCATCTGCTTTCTCTGCATTCTTGCACGGCAGATCGGCTCCTGCATCCCTTCCTGATGGCTCTCCCGCTCCCCCAAGGCCGTCGAAGAAGCCCTTCCTCATGTTTATCGTCGCCGTCTTCGGCCTTCCCTACCTGATGGGTAAGCTGATCCGCGCTCTCGCTCGTTCTCAGGAGGAAGAGGCAAAACGCCAACAGCTCCTGATGGGATCTGGCGAACCTGGCCAGCAAAGTGCGCCTCTCGATCCCTCCAAGCTGGATTTCTGTCGCGTCCTGTATGACTACACCCCGGAGACGCAGAACACCAACGGCATCGATCTTGCCGTGAAGAAGGGCGACATTGTCGCCGTGCTTGGTAAGTCTGACCCGATGGGCAACCCATCAGAGTGGTGGCGCTGCAGGGCCAGGGACGGTCGTGTCGGATATCTCCCCAGCCCGTACCTCGAAACTATTCAGCGGAGACCCGCGCAGCAGGCGATCACCACTGGCAGTGCTCCCGCTAGCAGGACTGGTACTATGCAGAGCACAACTGGTGCGGCTACGGAAGCCCGATCTCAGAGCATGTCTGCTGTGTCGCACCCGGAGGAGAAGAAGCCGGAAATCAAGGGCAAGATGGGTGACATCTCTCCGGAAAGTTTCCAAAAGAGCACCTTCTACTCATGAGTTCATTATTCCTGTCTTGGATGAGTTTCCCTTTGCTTCGGATGCCCTCGATTCTACCTATTATTGTCTTATCAGTCTTATATGATTATCAGCGCTTTATTTGCTACGTTTAAAGAGCGGATATCCGTCTCCTTATTTACCTTTGTCTTTCCTTATAATGTCCTTGGAATTGGTTTCCGAGTGTGTATACGACTGGGCTAGCCTTCTCATATCTTCGGGAGGAGGGCTAGAATCTGATCGAATGGTTGATCTTGGGTGTTATTTACCGGTTTTCATAGCAAAAGCTAGTCGATTTTACGTCTATCACCTCTCTATGGTACATTCGTTCTGACGTACGATGATACTTTTGAAGACCCTTTGACTGTATGTCCTGAACAGTCGCATCCTGAGTTGAGTTGCTCCTACTTCATAACATACATTCTTCTAAAATGCTCATGGTGGCGTCTTCTGGATACTATAGAAGTCTGTCCAAGGTATCACTTTCCAGTCAGCTGCCATCATATCACCTGCGTAGAGGCGGCACCCACAACGTCATACGAGTATGCATTACCATAAAGCATGAGTTATCAAAGTTGACAACATAGAGAGCAAACTTAAAATTTGTAATCAATCTAAATTATTTTGCCTATTCTGATGCCGTATTAGTACAGTGGAAAATATCTCTATAATGTGCGACCAGTAGTAATACTCTCTTTGTCTTTGTAGTCTTGTCTAGTGTTTGCTAACTACGGGACACCTAGTTATCCGTTGTTTGCTTAGGGATTAGTGCCAAATAGATGTATTTTTTGTAGTTATATTTGCTATCAAGGCCAGCATTTAATTCTAGATACTTTTTTATTTGTTACAGGATGAGGATAACCCTAATAGCAAGCATGCTTGTGTAGAATTTGCAGTATAAATAGGAGCAAGATATCTCCTAAACTGGACTTACATCTTGACCAGGAGCACACGACTGAATTATATACAATGGAGGTTGAGTCAATCCACTTTGTCTTTCTCGTTCTTTATAATCTTTTAATATCTATATGACCATGCCTGCCATCTGGTATTCTTTTTGGGGGAGGAAACTACAGTCACGTATAAAAAAACCATGATTGAACTGGTAATGCAGCTTGCCTTTCTTTCTCGACGCAAGAATAAACGGTTAGGGCCATCCCCACCCTTTGTCGAGTCCAAAGCACAGAAGCACGGTCGTATCATTTGAACCTGCTAACTAATGGCTAGATGGATTGCTTGGCTCTAAGCCTATATTTATCTCCATCGCATACAAAGAATCTAGATCCTAGAGATCGAGTAGGTTCTGCCCTATCAATAGGATATCAAAGAACCTGCCGCTAACGGATGATATGGCAGATCACCTGAATATACGCTTTGTGCGCCGACACACTTCTCGGGAAACATCTTCAAAGCAACATCTACAGGAAATTTTATTCATTGTATCTTGCAATACTTTCTCGAGTTACTATTTATATGGTATGTACCATCCATGCCATCACTGTGAACAAGGAATTTCCCTTCGAGAACCCACTCACTCACTTGTCCTAAGTCACAGATTATGTGTCATCTGCACTGCATTGATCTTTCCAGATGGCGTTCACCTTCATGAAATGTGTCATCGAAATGAAGGTGGAGTCAGAGCATGCTCCAGGGAGTACATAAATACCGGGTCAAGTTCTCTATAGCTGTCTTTCTTTTTCCTTCTTTTTTCCAGTCTTCTCGATAAACATATCTTATGTTCTTTACTGTCCTCACGGTCGTCGCTGCGGTTGCTACTATATCCTTGTGGTTCACGAAGACCGGTGATCGAAGTCGAGAACAAGTCCCTGAGGGTCCCGCTGCTACCCAGTCCACGCTGTCATCAACCTAGACAGCCATATACATCTTCTTTACGAAGTCTGCTTCCACATACTTCTCTTCGCGCTCCATAACACCACAATGCCTACCAACAGCTTTCCACCGCTGTTTATCGAAGGGCTCGGAGAAATCAGCCCTACATCTATATCCTACCCGTCAGACCCAGACGTCGACGTCCCCGAACCATACCCCAAGCACCCCTACGCCGACCAACACAGCCGTACATGGACCCAAGTCAGTTCCAACAGTAACCCACTCTTGCCAGAGTGGGCGGCTCTGAAGCCTCAAGTCACCGAGAAGGTGCGCGCCGCGGGACTGATACCCGTGGTATACGATATCCGCGTTGCGTGGGACAGGATCTGGCATAAGACTGTCGCGAAGGATGCTGCCCAGCTAATTATTTTCGTGGAAGGGTTGCCGATGCAGAACGAAGGGGAGCTTTATAGGAAGACGCTGGAGGCCATGAAGGACATTCATGAGTTGTGTGGTATGTTTGTTGTTCCTTACGTTGTCATTCTATCTTAACGGTGATTTGTTGATTTTCTGCATTGTGATTTTCTTGCTGACATGTAATGTATTCAGGCGTTGGCTTCGTTGTCCTCCAACAGTGCCCCAGAGGACGGGACCCTAACGGTCAGTTGCCTGAATGGGTAAGGGAGATGGGAGATAAGATTGGATATGCTTAGCTTCTAGATTGATCATACTCGAGGTCTCTATTTCCCTTTCTCTTTTTGTGGAGCTACCAGCATAATCTGGATTTTGTGACTTGGGTGGACAGTTGATACATGTATGGTTCTAAGGAATTGGTTATGGTATGGTTGTGTGAAAGTAAACCGGCGAGATATTTTATTTACTCCACTCAATAAGAATGAATATGATGTACACATCTACAACATGCCCTCAATACTTCAGAGCAAGATGTACCAACTCAGAGGAAACAATATATCTACCACACACGGTGAACGGTGATGCTTTAAATGCTTATCATCATTGCCCAGTCGTAGATTATGACAAAATGATGCTGCTTGGTTGAATAACATAGATTAGGTATGTAGTATGCTATCATAGAGCTTTGATATTACGGAGCATCGTTGGAATAATCTGTTAGTTAGATCTGGATTCGAAGTTAATTGGTGTCGTTGCTTGTGATATCTTTACTTCGGATAAATGTAGCTCGTAGTCACTAGACTCTTCTGTCGTGAACTGCTTCATCCCCGACATCTGCATTCCTGATCTATGTATAATACGGCATCACCAATCTACATCCACTTCGAATGATATATATGGTAATGATAGAACATGTCGATCGGATGCCGCGCTATCCATTTTAGAAGGGATGTAGTAAGATGTACCGGCTGTTTCAGTCAACACAGGGGTAGAAAAAGCAAGTCCGAGGATTCTTATCCGATAAGCTAAGTAGTAATCGCCTTAAAAGAGCGACTTAAGCCTTCACGAAGCTTTGAAGCACTGGCCGCTAAAATTCCCCCCCCCCCCGAGGGGCATAGCAAAGCTAATGCACATCAAGTTAGAAAAGAAAAGGTCACGATTGCAACGAGATCGGCATTTTTGATTTATAATTATTGATATATCTCTCCTCTCTTCTCCGTAGTTAGGTATCGAAGAAGTTACATCAATACATCAGTGCCGGAATAGTTAACGGCCCCGCCATGACACGAAGAAAGGGTCTCGAACAATTCGATGGATTTCATTCTACCACAGGATTGCGACAATTGGGCGAGATTAGATAGCATTGTTAGCATTTACCTACTGCTGTCATAATTATCCACTTTTTAGTCCTTGTCTCCATTTCCTTCCCTAACTCATCTCTCCACTCCGTTTAATGATCATAGCTAAAAACGAACTAATAATCCCACCCTCCTCCTGATCCCCTCCTCCCTTCCCTTACCATCGCTTCGTTTCACACCCCATGGGAGAATCCGAATCCGCCTCCTCGGCCGAGTCTCCTCCCGCGGCCATCGGGGCTGTCTCCGTACCCTCGTGTAGCTATGTGCTCCCCGTCACCGAGGAGACTCAATCTCGGATTTCCGCATCCGGAAACCAGACACAGCCGGAGAACGCCCAGCAGCGGAGGAGTATCGGCCGGCGATTGTACGACATCGTGACATGGACGCCGCCGCGGTGTAGGTGGGATCCCAAGAAGCCACCGGAGTTCAGTCTCACCCTGAACTTGCTCTTTGGGTTCGCGGCTACGTTTACGGTGAGTACCTAGTGATCTTTTTCTTTCATCTTGAGCTTTTTTATGTTGGGACGCTGTGACATATATGTAAAGTACATGTATATGTACAACGTGCATGATGTGCATTGTATAGATTTGGGATGTTTATGGTTGATCGATGGGGAGTTATCATGACGCGGTTCAAATACTTCAAAGGAATTATAAACAACATCCTCCTCGTAAAGTAGGACAATAAGGAATTTGCATGCTAACACCATCCAGGTCGCAAACCTCTACTACAGCCATCCCATCCTGGGCGTCCTCGCGGACGCTTTTGATGTAAGCTATGAACGAGTCTCGGTTATCCCGACGGTCATGCAGGGCGGATATGCCGCAGGACTCGTCTTTCTTTGTCCGCTGGGCGATCTGGTCAAGCGTAGACCCTTCGTGTTGTTCCTAGCATGGTTCACGTCTACTGTCTGGCTGGGATTGTGCTTGACAAATAGTTTCGGGGCGTTTGTCGCGTTGAGTTTCATCACGAGTGTGACCACTGTTACGCCGGTATGTATTGATTCAACCGAGAATCTACAACATAGTATACGAGACTCCGGTGAAGTTGCGAAGGTGGCTAACGAATGTAGCAAATCATGCTCCCTCTAGTCGGAGATCTCGCGCCTCCGCATCGGCGAGCAACTGCATTATCAATCGTGGTTTCAGGACTACTATTAGGGCTTCTTATTGCAAGGGTACTCTCCGGTATAATCGCCAAGTATTCTTCCTGGCGCAATGTATACTGGCTCTCGTTTGGGTTGCAGTATTTCATCGTCATCCTCCTGTGGCTCTTCATGCCGGATTACCCTCCCACCAACAGAAATATCCACTATGGTGAAATCCTGTGGACCATTGTCCAGCTTGTTTTCAAGTATCCGGTTCTCTTCCAAGCCTGTCTGATCGGCTTCTTTGCCGCAGCTACCTTCACCGGTTTTTGGACCACTCTCACTTTCCTCCTGTCCGAAGCACCGTACCATTATTCCACCGTCATTATTGGACTCTTCGCTGTCGCCGGTATAATACCCATGTGCTTTGGTCCTTTGTACTCGCGCTTTGTGACGGACCGCTTCGTACCGCTGCTTTCCGTATTGATCGGACAGTCGATTTCCATGACAGCCATCGTGATCGGGACATATACGGGGGAAATAACCGTAGCGGGCCCAATCATCCAGGCATTGTTACTAGATTTTGGACAGCAGACCCTGCAGATCGCCAATAGGACCGCTATTTATGAAGTTGCACCCAAGGCCCGCAATCGTGTCAATACCGCCTATATGTTGGCTGTCTTCTGCGGCCAAATGATGGGAACTGCAGTGGGGAGCGATCTATATGCGAAGGGTGGATGGGTCCGCTCAGGGAGTGCCAGCGTCGGGTTCATGGGTGCTGCAATAGTGATTGCTTTGCTGAGAGGGCCGTGGGAGACGGGCTGGATAGGATGGAGAGGTGGCTGCAGGTTGCGGAGACAGAGGGGACCGCCAGAGAAGTCTGAGAAACAGCAACAGCAACAGGAACAGCCGCAGCAGCAGCAACCTGCTGCGGACGAAGAGGCCGTTAGGTTGGAGACAGAGACGAAGCAGGTGCAGGGCACGGGTGTATCTGTTCCTGACGCCGAGAAGGCCGGTGAGCATAGAAGCTGAGAGTCAAATGAAATTAGGAGTTAACGAGGAAATAATAATGGGACTGTGATTCTAAAGCATATAGAGATAGGCTGGCTATACTTGATTTGAAAATGCACATAGAGATGCAAAAATAACAGGATTCAAACTCACCAGTCGACTCCGCTGTAGTCTGCTCTTCGCATTATACATTGAACCGAAATAAAGGAACACCTTGAGCCAATGCAATAGTAGTCAACACCAATCCTGCACCCTCTACTCCACTCTAACCCCATATTTAGGTCCGACCATCACATACAAGGCCCAATGCGGATCTTGTTATAATGAAAAGAAAAAGAAAAAGAACAAAACACTTCTGGGCATCTGAGGTACGGCTAATGAGAACAAAAGCTCCTCCACCGAAAGATAGCCTTTCCCTCGCCACATTCGTGATCTATAGTTGAGAGTAATAACTCCTCTAAGGGGCTTGGTGCCAGTGGTATCCGTTGTCTACTTGGCTGCGGCAAATTTACTTAGTAATATGATCACGGAATGGAAGGATTTGGCGTATTTACCTCCCATGGCTTGCATTCGGTTGCATGTCAGGATTCATCAAGACCTGCATCTCCTGGTTTCTTCCGTTTTGTATATCTTGTGTCAATTTATCATGAAGACCGTGTAGCTTATCTTGGAAGACTAACAGGGAAGATTCCCATGAGCCTCCGTACGGCGGTTGCAGGCCAAAGCCAGCTACATCCGGATGTTCTGTCCCGCAGAGGATGTTATCTAGATAACAGTCAGCTCTTGAGGAGCCTAGCGTTGCCAGGCTAGAGTCAATGTTTACCATAATAAGTGACTGGCGGAGGTTGAGAGAAATCCGCATGCTGTGGAAAGGCTGTTGGCTGCGAATAGGAAGACGACTGCGAAAAGCTCTCGTCGAATGCTTGAGTTTCTGGCGTTGACGGTCTGTCAACGGGCGTGTAGCAGCTGATGTCTGAGGGCGTCTCTGTGAAGAATTTAGCCATGTTCATATAAATCTGGTAGAAATGGCTAGAATACAGTAGCAGCTATAACAACAATCACGGCGTGGAACTAAACATTGGGACTCACCAGGCTCCGGACTAGATGCAGAAGTAGCAGTGTTTCGAGACCTCCTGGCCGCACGAAGTATCTTGTGCATCCCAACCTCCATCCCGCCAACCCGGAATGCTGAACGCTTTCCCTGGGCAGAGCGTTCTTGCTGTTTGCGAAGCATGATGCGTGCCTCGCTGGTTTTGATGTTCTTCCTTGCCTTCCAAGCAGCTAGACGGTCCTTGTATTGCTTCTCACTTCTGTCTGTTAGCGTTTGTTATCGACCTCGAGTGAACAGGAGGCTTTTCATCGAAGACTGGAATGGTACAAAGAAGAGAATGGGGGCAGATACGATGCAACAAAGCCATAGTCTCGTTCCATAATCTCCTTGACATCTTTGAGCTTCAACTGGTCGTTGATATACAAATTCAAGATGATCGGACGGTACGGCTGCCAGTCCTCTGAACTGCGAGGACGGAAAGGTAACGATGTCATTGGAATCCGCGGTATCATAGAAATCATCGACTCCTCCATTTTTTAAACTTTCTTCTTGCTTTTCTCAAGTCCTGCTCCAGAAATTGTAAAGACGGTTCGGTTCAATCGTCCCGTTGTGGACCCGAGGCTAAGCAGGTAGATAGAATAGGATAACAACTCATCACCCAGGGACCGTTCCCCTGGATCCTCTTATATCTATTATGTATATACTCGGCGTGGTTATACACACTGGCGGCAACTAGCGGTCAACAAAGACCACTTGGAGGCAACAGAACCACGCTTGATAACCTGCTCCCGGTCATACTGCCCCATGGAAATACCCGGGGCCACGTATCAGGGAGAACCTGCCAGACCCGGGGTTGGGGAGAAGCCGATGGACAGAGAACAGCACGAACCCGGCAATCTGGTTCAACGCCCCAGGTTGGAGTCCGTCGTAAGAGAGCAACGCCCGACGGGGAGAACAAACCCCTGTTCCCCGGGCCTATCAGTCATCCACTCCTATTCTTTGAGATCGTACTTTTGGAGTGTGTACTTCGGTACAAATATCGCCTTCGTTCCTTCATTTGGGGGTATCAAAAGAGCCGAGAAGGGCTGAGTTCCATTGTTATTCTTGGGCACAAACTGAACACGAGAAGATATGCGCAATGAAGCGCGAAAGAAAGAGGGAAGAAAGAAATGTTGCATGGCTCTGACGCTTAAGCAGCAATTCTGCGCCAATTGTATGTTCATCTCTTTGTTGGTGTCACCTGGACCCAACGGGGTTGTTTCGCTATCTCTCCACCCATGTTCTTCCCAAAGATCGGGCTGTCGGAAACTTGGTCGGGTTGGTTGTATTTTATTTACAGGGCCACTGCGCCGCCCACCCATGTCCAGGCTGATCGCAAGACGGAGCTTGACGGTTCCGCATCCTGGGTTTGGCGTTGGTATGTTCATGGTAGTTACTATCACCGTGAAAACCTCCTGCGTCGACGGATATTATCACAAAACTGGTCAGTGATAACTCGGAACTTAAACAATGCTAGTTTCGTAGAACCACATGGCTGGATCCGGTACACCCCATCTGGTATTCTATTTGCTCCGACAGGAACTATCAGTGAGTGCAGGGACCTAGACGATTCTGGCTCGGCGACGAACCTTTCTGATTTAAGTAGTAACAGTTGCCTCTAAGATCTGCGTCATGCAGTTTGGGGGAAGACTCGGGCAATAGACTAGTTGGATAGTATCACACCCCGGTAGTGTTACCAAAAATCGGCCGCGAGTATTGAGGTTGGCTCTCGATCGCGCCTAAAGGCAGATGTACAATGATTGGAGCGTCTACGCCCCTAAATTTGGTAGTCAAGAGAGAGCACAGGTCACTTTGAGACCAGTGGGAATTCCAGTCACAATACTCTTAGCCGCGGGGTTGTGTACGGGGTTGGACTCTGGAGGGACAAAGGTAGAGCGAGGCCAATGGGATAGTTGTCGCCGCTGTGACCTCCGAGCGAACAGGACAATCTCCTTGGCATGAATTGCTCTAACTCGATTAGATAGCCGGTCATACCTGGACATTCGACCGAAGGACAAACCGGGACATCCATGTAGTCAAGGGAGGTGAGTCTCGACTAACTATTATCCCTTTATGGATTTATGTGATATCTAACTACCATCAGTAACTAATAATGAGAACTGCTCTCCTTAATGATGCCGATATCCATCTTAGCCGATACTTGGCATCATTCAGAAGATGCCGCGACTTTCGTCTCTCTGGACCGTAGCCGCAGTTTCCGATCACCTACCATGCGATGGAGAGAAGTCCGAGTGGCTGACAGATAGATCGATAGATCCCGTCTGCAGACGCCGGTCATCAAGGTCCGCGATGAATGGTTCCACGGTTTCGACAATCTCAGCCTATGAACTATACGGAGGTTAACAAGGTTGGACCTACACATGTTCTGAAGTAACAGATCGAGAGAGGCCCGTCTATATATGGAAATGCAGACCGAGTCCTAGTATTAATGTCGTACAGAGGCACATTGCCATCAAGTCCCGTGCAACAGACTAGAGGCCAACAGGTTACGGACCACTGAGGCAGGAGGTATACAACCAGCTGAGATCGCTACTCTTACCTGACAGGGAAAGAAATGAACGCAGTGACACGTTTTTATAGCTGCTACTCGCACCTATTCAGGACATACTCTTATATCTATCAGTTATGAAACACCTCTTCTGAACAGCTGCTATATAACCTGCGTGCTTCGATCAGAGGACTACATATTTGACAGTATAGAACATATGCGTGCGGGACAATGGTCTCAGATGCCACCTCCATTAACCTCGAAATACATCTAATTACTAGTAAAGGGGCACTGTCCGTGTGGATCATGAGGGAACAATAGAAGTGGATGAAAGAGATGAATACAGAAGAAATAGCGGAACAGAGAGGGCAAAAGCAAACCCCGAACTTCATACCACAGCGATCCAATGAAGGGTTCAGAAACGAAATCAAAGATCTGGAACAGACTATAGTTATACAGGGTTTATAACTACTAACTAACTACGAGCACGACCTGCATGAGTACTTCGGTCCCGTGAAGAGTCAGCAGTGGTGCAAGGAATTTACAACTGCCGCTACTAGCCGAAGATTTACAGCATTGTTGTTATGGTGCAAAACACATGTACAGAACGTACTATTTCTCTTCTCGAGTTCACAGAAGCGTGAAGTTTACAATTAAGAACCGGCCAGTGATGGCCATCAGAGATAGTTCGAGCCCGTTGGTAAAGACTAAGCAATGGCACGGCGCGAGTATCCCTTCACACTTCGGTAAAAGTCCACGGATTGTCCTGACATAATGCTTATAGCATGGATTTGTTTCTATTAAGAGACACCACCTTGTATGTACAATAATACGTACAAGAAGTACATATCCATGATCAGCTGCATACTTCTTTTCGGCAAGGCATTCGGAAGAGCGCCCTGCATCTGTGATCGGTCCATCGAATGCAGGTCAATAGCTCAGCATCATGTCGTCGCAGAGTGCCGCAATCTAAGATGTCAATTAAGGAATAGAAGACGGCGCTTTCCTGTTTCAATCACCTGGACACATAGTCCTAGGGGTGGCGAGCAGGAGGACATAGGACCGTTGCCGTCAAAGAAGCCATAACCAACTCAGGATCGTAAAACAGAAGCACAGAAGTACCTTCACTGTTGCATGCCATGAATGTTGGTATTTTCGCAAACTGTCTGTGGTTTGCAAAACTGAGATTCATGAAAGGTGTGGTGTGCTCCGAAGACATTTCCTGACTAAAGATTCATCCCGCGAACTGAGATCCCAGACCAACGTAGAAAAGGTACTTATTGCTCCTCGGAATAGCTGATTAAGAGTCGATCGACAGGCATCGTTGTGTTTTGAAGATATTATACTGCCGCAACGACAAGTTCAACGACAAGGTGGCGATCACGCGCGGAGAAATAACTCTTTCTGGTATGCCAGGATACTCTTGGAGAGACTGATAGACAACCGGTCCGATAAAGCTCTACCTAGAAAGTAAAGCAACAAAGAACAGTGCTGCTCTCTTGATTAACTTCAGCGGGAGCGCTAGGAGAGGCTCAAACAGTATCGCCACTGAGTGATGATATACGTAACCAATAAGCGCTGTTCAGACCTCAAAACCATCTCTCATGGTCAAATGCTGGGCAGCTATCTCGGTGAGCTCCTTCTCACTTGGGTCCTGTTTTGGTTGGTTGGTTGTTGCTGCTGCTGTCATCAGGGGCGAGTCGCCTTACTTCTTAGCAGGGCTACTACCTTGAGCTCTCATCTGCTCATTACCTAGTAGCAGCAGCCGCGGAGCTACTAGAAGCAGCACTGGCAACATTGCTCGCGTGCGCAAGCAAAAATTTGCAACATGTAAGTGTGTATTTGCAGGCACGTGTCCAAGTCTCGTCGTTCTGGTTGAAACCCAGTTTGATACTTGCGTCACCAATCTTGTCGCGTTTGATCTCGTATGGAAGCCGTAATCCAGGTGCAGTAACGGTGGTATGTCCGCGGCGTGGTGAGGGTAGAGGCGCCGGGGTAGTTTCAACATATTCACCAAGCTGGCGAAGGCATTCTAGAAAGGCGACCATCCCAGCATCAAATCGCCGATGGATCCACGGAAGATTGAGAGGGAGATCCCCAGACGAAAAAAGGTCAAGCATAGTTACTTTGGGAGCTGCTGACGCGGTATGGTCTCGACTAGCAGCGGCTGACTGACTCGATGATTGTTGCGGATATTCAATCTTTTCAATTCTCGAAGTTGAGCCCATTGGTATGATCTTATAACCTCGGAACTGGAACCCAAGTCTCTCCGCAATGGTAGCTAGCAACAGGGCAGTCTGGCCCCATGCAGCATTGATCTCTGCCCAGTCAACAGACGGGTTGGCGAGACGGCCTAGCCGTAGCCCATTGATCGTTCCGAAGTAGCCATCATGGCCTATGCAGAAAGCATCGTTGTACACATTAGTTCTCTGAAGCCGTTCCAGTTGGCGAGAATCGTGATCATATCTCATATTCAGAGCATCACGCTCATTTTGAAATTCAGAAAGAGTCAGCGCGAACGAGTTCCTATCGCGCCAGAACTTCTCCTCTTCTAAGTCCAGTTGCCGTGACTCTTCTTCCAGCGCCGCGATTTCTTCATCCAAAGTTGCGTTTTCCTTTTCTAATGCCAGGAGCTCTTGAAAGGCAGCTTCTTCGGCCTCCAGAGCAGCCTTTAACGAGTTCTCTGCCGTCTCTACCTCTTCCACGCTAGGTACGGAGGCATTTAAGCTCTTGAGGAATGATATGTATGCATCCCGCTCCTTTGTGGCGGTCAATAGCCGTTTCTGAAGCCCTTCGACTAGCATATCAGTGCATTCAGCGCAGATCGGGTGGTCAATATCTGAACGTGCAGATATGATCTCGAACAATCTATTTGTCCGCTCGACCTGATCCGTAAAGGAGCCCTCTTCCACATCACGCCCATATCTCTCCGTATTGGCTTGTCTCTTTCCTCTCGGGCTCTCGCCGTTGACACCGTGGACTGCGTGATGAGGCACAACTTGCGACTCGGTGAGCATTACGAACGACATCCCTCCACTGTCGCCCCTTCCCAAAGCGGGAGGGGTGGCCTGGCTTGCCACACCATTACGCGGGGCCGGGATGGTTCTCCTGTATACTGGTGATGTCGCTTGTTGAGAGACACGGTCATAGAGCGCTCGTCGATCCTGGGGGTAGGATGTGCGACCGGAAGGGAGATTGTTCGCATTCTCAGGAAGGGACTTTCCCGTAGAACCTGTGTCATGCGTTGGATAAGCGATCACAAAGCCAAATAGCTTGCACGGATTCAGCGCGCATACCGATAAGCAGATCAAACGCAGCAGGATTCAGGGACTCCAGCGACCCGTCCAGCTTGAGAGGCGTTCGACATTTCTGGCAATACATTGTGATGAGATATATCGCAGGATACTCCCACGGATCATAATGAGAATCAGGATATGTGGAAATCCTCAAGGGTGGAAGCTGGCGGTATGCTGGAGAGTCGGAGTTGCGACAGGGCCGGAAAGATAATCGGAGATCTGCAGGACGTCATGCCAGGCACCGCCCAGAAGCTCCTCCGCAACGCCAAACAGAAAAACATTCTGACAGCTTCCTTAGGTAGCCCGCCATCGCGTGCCCCTCGCACGCGCAACCGTTCTTTCGGGCGATATTCCGGCTGATCAGACAGTTTGCTTTTTGAGGCAGTGGCAGGTGTTCTTCTGTTTCGAAATTATTATTGGCTGGAGTGTTATACGCGCTCATTGACACGGGATTTTGATTGCTTGTCCTACCTAGCCTTTCACCCCCGAGCAGTGTCGCCAACTACGCCTATTTACATTCTCGCGTCGAAGAGGAGACAGCTCATTACCATAATATATGGGCACCAATCACCCCGGGTGCAGTATTCAACACTATTCGATACCTGCAAACCGATCCGCCGATGTTTTCAGACGAACAGAAACTTGATGGCCATTTACAACTCAGTACATGATTAAAGGATGGAAAGACCGTCTAAGCGGCCTCGCTTGTCACTACCTGGGGATTCCGAACAGTTCCCTGACGATTTCGATGTACAAGAAGCCCGTGCTCGGAACGACCTGCGTCTTAAATCTGTCTTCGAGAGCATATTCGAGAAGTATGGGAAGGACTTCACCGATGTGGGAGACGAAATAGATCTACAGACCGGCAAGATAATCGTGGACAATGGTCATCTGTCGAATCTGCAGGCCGAGGGTGACCTTGGACGGATTGATGAGCCTACATCCCACGTGGAACAGCCTCTCTCACCCGTATCATCTTCTCTCGACTTTCTGCCCAACGGTCAAGAGCATGACGTGGATAGTGCCTCTGGTGAATTGGAAAACGATGTCTCAGTGAATGGCGTTGAAGAGTTGTATGAAGCGACCGTCCATCAAGAGAGGGGATTCCCGCTTAGCCTCTCAAACAACGAGAATACGTGCGCTGGCGCCTTCTGTGAGGTTCATGAGCCTGAGTCAGATCATGTCACAGAAAGCGTTCATTCACACATCAAAGGCCTTCAAAATGGTCTCTTGGGGAAGCCCTCGAAGTTGTCTCTCAAGGACGCCGCAGCACTAACGGAAGTCACGAACCTGCCCAAAAGTAAATCAGCTCTATCACCCGATGGTGTCTGGGAACGACAACAAAACATAGACCCAGTGTGGCAAGTACCTGAGATTGAAGCAAAGTTCTCGACACCCACAGTCAGCAAAAAGATGTCTCGTTCTCCAATGCCACCGCAAAGAGCACGGTCAGCGTCACCTCCAGGGGCTGGCTCTATCTGGGCACTTCCTACTCCCGGCCGGAAGCGGAATACAGATATTGCGAAGAAGACCAAAAATGTGGTCGGCTTTGACAAGCCAAAGCGCAAGCGCAGTTCTACGTCCAAAAAGAAAGACTGGAGTTTTGCGGTTATTCCAGACTCGAGTGATTCTGATGATCCTCTACAGGAGGATTATCAACCATCACCTACGTCAAGGGCTCCATCAGTTATCAGGGCCAGCAAGCTTGCCCTAACTGCCCCAGAAATTGAAAAGAGCAGCTCTATGGAAGAAACGTTTGCTATCCTTGACACTACTGAAGAGCCCAATGAGCCGCTACCGTGTAATGGCTCTAGCAGACTACATGATTCAAATGCAGAACGAGAGCAGCCATTGAGTCTAGATACAAGCAGTTTGGCGGAATCTGGACCTGGAGAACCACCTGATGAACCTCAAGGCCCTGAAGAACTTGAAGAGCCTGAGAAACCCGACGAGCCTGGCAAATCCCAAGAGCCAGAGGAAGATCGGGAACCTATTCTCCTGGAGATTACCAATACAGAAATATCCCAGAGTTCGGTACAGACAATGGTCAAAATCAAGTCCCAGAGCCCGGTAAAAGACAATCAACGCTCGAGCAGAAATCCTATCACTCCTGATGAGGCCAGGATCATTATGAGGATGAGACACGTCGAAGGGTCAAGTTGGAAGGATATTGCTGCTGCTATGCCAGGAAGGACTGCCTTCCAGGTTACTCAGTGGAACCATATACATTGGCAAAACAGGAAATTAAACCCGCCCAAGTCTTCTGAGCCTTGGTCAAATGAGGATCGAAAGCAACTAGCTAGGTTCAAAGATGAGGAAGGCATGTCATGGACTGATATTCAGAAGGGATTTCCCGGCCACACGAAAGCAGAAATCGAATTCGAGCTCCTGCGGCTTTGGATAGGTGGTGCCACAGAAACGGACCACGGCAGTGGGCATCAAGATACAAAGAGTCACGATGACCTCGGCACACATTCAGTCACGACAATCTCTCAGGTACCCCCACCTGCCAACATTGCCAATAAGGAGAAACATCTCTTGGCACATACGCAAAATGACCCATCGACACCACAAAGACAAAAACGTAGCACGTCTAAGCGTCCAGACTCCACATACCTTGACTTCGAAGACTTGATAGAAACGGGCTCTCTGGCAGAAGACTCCGATGGCCTCCAAACGTCGGGTCTCTCCTCGATTCAGCTGGATGCCAGGGAGAATGGAGGCAGTTCAGCCCGCTTCAAGAGATCGCCATCGAAGAGCCTGGTTTCGCCTCTGGCTAAACGTTCTAGCCTGTCAAACTCGCGGCGTTCGGTGTTTTTCTAATAACCGATCCGGCAATTTACCGGCGCGATGTTACCTCCGAAAGATGGCTTCGGCATTATAAGCATATTCATCGCCTCGTCTTTTTTAATCACTCTTGCATGCTCCAGCGATGCGCTGAAATGGCAGCGTACCTTGTTCATGGCTCTTCCTTCGCATTCAGGACATCCTCCAACTTAGTATCGACTACACCGCCAACGTCCCCGGCCTGGGCCCAGAACCTTGATAGGTGCCTCGAGCCGGAATCTGACAAGATTGTGACAATCCTATGGCCCGGGCCCAGTTTCTGGGCAGTCTTCACTGCCGCAAAACCTATATTTTGGAGTATATCATCTCAGTCATCTTTCCCTCACAATGTCACAATATATAACTTACAGTTCACCGCGCTGCTACTCCCGACAAAGATGCCGTCTTTCTCAACCAACCACCTAGCCATCGCCAATGCCTGGGCATCGGTGACTCGAACGGCATCATCAACTAGTTGTCTTCCCACCTCGAAGTTGGCAGTGACACGATTGATTCCGATTCCTTCGACAATTGTGTCAACTTGTCTCCGGCGTCGTGTACCTTCTCTCTCCTTCGTGTCAAACATGACACCATAGCGAACCCGATTGTATAGCCCGCTACCCTGTGGATCGGCGAGCACAACGGTCAGGTCCGGGATCCTCGGCTTCAAAAACATTGCCACTCCCGATATCGTGCCACCAGTACCGGCCCCCGCGATGAAGGCATCTAGCTTCCCGTTGCATTGAGCATATATCTCGGGACCCGTTCCCTGGAAGTGAGCCTTCCAGTTTGCTTCATTCTCGAACTGGTCCGCAAAGAAGCCGCGCCCTTTGGTCTTTCCCGGGGTGAATGGCAAGTCTTCTCCTGGAGGAAAATCCTGGCTATTTGGAGAAGAGCCTTCGGAAGCTAAGGTATGAGCTTGAGCAAGAGCACGGGCTCTGTTGACGAAGTTGTTCTTTTCTACAATTGGAGCTGGGGGAACACGGTCCACAATTGCTCCGAGCTTAAGCAGAAGGTTGGATTTCTCCATTGCTTGATCTGATGGCATGCAGCTTAATCCCCATTATAATTAGCATAGCAGCAAAGGCTAAATAGAATACAAGCACTTACATATGCGCAAGGTAGCCCTTTGCCCTTGCCAAAGATGCCAGCGAAATTCCAGTGGAACCAGAAGTGCCCTCGTAGATAGTGTCACCGGAATGGGGTTGCAGAAGACCTCTTTTCTCACCCTTGATCAAACGTTAGTTTGTATAATCGGCTAGCCATGATCTCAATCATGCACATGCATATCACAAGATTTGGAGAACGGATTCGCTCATACTTCTTGTATCATACTGAGAGCCACCCTGTCTTTCGAGCTTTGTCCAGCTCCGTTAAGAAACTATACAGATCGTTAGATATTTTATTGTTCGTCAGGACCTGCAATTGGTGCTTACTTCAGCTTTAGCTAGAATCTCGCAACCGGTTTCTTCTGACAACGACTTGATCTTCAGAAGTGGCGTGTTTCCGATGCATCCTTCTATGCCTTCTACAATCGCGGGTGGGCCGGTCCTGGCCTTCAACGAATCCTTCGAGATGTCCAGAAAAGAGAAATTCCCATCTTGGTCGTAAACTAAGCTTTCCTCAGCTTCGTCCTTCCTTGTCCGTCGCTGTCGGAAACGACGCTCGAGCTCCGGATAGAAGTCCTTGAAGCCAAGTGTGAGCAGGATTCCTGCCACGAAAGCCGCTCCTATGTAGAAGCGCGAATGATCCGTCATAGTCTGGAGTGCAAGTGACAATGTCTGGCTCCCATTGAACTATGAAGAGAAAGAGATTAGAGAGAGAAACGCTGATGCAATAGATCATAATTTAGAGCTTGTTCTTCCCGCCAAGCCATCGCCGAAGCTCGGGCCACGCGAGTTCTCTCCTCCGCTCCGCTCGAAAGAAAGAGGGAACCGATGAAAGTGCAAACCAGCTTTCTTCCCACCCCGCTGGAATTGGAACGCGACACTCATCGATGGACTCGCAAGTCCTCACCCAGCTGTTTCGCCAGCTGTTCAGGCATCCACCATGTCAGTCTCTACGGCCCCAATCATCGTCGGCTTTGCGGAGGACGGATTGTGTTCGACCCGCGTGCCGCGATAATCGACAATGTCGCACCTTTCTCACGCGGCGGGGGCAGACCAAGCGGAAGAGTACGGATGATGGGATGATGTGGCATAAGAGAGATGATTATCCGAAGGACATCACGGAGGAATTGAAGACGTATCCTTTGGTCACGGCAAAGGACTTGCGCCATCGACGAGAACGGCCGAGACAGGTGAAGATGCTAACAAGAGAGTTCATTGACGGTAATGACACCGACCTCCAACCATGTTCCATGTTGCACGTAACTAATTTATGGATGCAGACAGTCTCTACAATCCCAACTACGGCTACTTCTCGAAACACGCTACCATCTTTACTCCCGGAGAGCCTTTTGAGTTCAACAGGATGGAGGACGGCCGCGAGTTCAATCGATTGCTGGGAGAACGGTATACCGAGTTTGAAGATAAACTGGACGAGATCAAACCAGATATCGCACGTCAGCTATGGCATACGCCTACAGAACTATTTCGCCCATACTATGGAGAAGCCATTGCACGATACTTGATATCAAACTACAAACTGACGCTGTACCCCTACCACGACTTGATCATATATGAGATGGGCGCAGGAAACGGTACTATGATGTTGAATGTCCTCGACTTCATCCGCGACACCGACCACGAAGTCTACCAGCGGACCAAGTTCAAGATCATCGAGATTTCCCCCTCGCTGGCTGATCTCCAGATGAAGAACCTGAGGGATTCAGTCAATGCTGCTGGACACCTTGGACATGTGGAGATTATCAATCGGTCGATCTTCGACTGGGACACTTACGTGCATTCGCCGTGCTTTTTCTTGGCCCTCGAGGTCTTCGATAACTTTGCGCATGATGCCATCCGCTATGACACGAAGACTGAGACCCCGCAGCAGGGAGGGGTTCTCATCGATGCTGACGGAGAATTCCGCGAGTGGTACAGCACGCAACTCGACCCTGTTGCATCCAGGTTCCTCCGGGTGAGACAAGCGGCTGCCAGACGTCCATTTCCGACTCCCTTGGGACCGAAGATCCTGCGTGGAGTGCGGAACTCCTTGCCATTCCACAGCGGCTACACCTTGCCAGAGTACATCCCTACTCGTCTCATGCAGTTCTTCGACATTCTCCACGCATACTTCCCGGCGCATCGCCTGATTACTAGTGACTTCAGCACTCTGCCTGATGCTGTTCCTGGCTTGAACGCTCCCGTGGTCCAAACACGATACAAGAGACGCACGGTGCCGGTCTCGACGCCTTTCGTAAGTCTACCCTTGTATTTTATTACTTCTTCATCTTCTTCCCTAGAAACAGACTCCTCCTAACATATCATTATCAGGTCCACCAAGGCTACTTCGACATCTTCTTCCCCACCGACTTCAACGTCATCGAAGACGTATACCGTGCCATTACAGGAAAGCTCACGAGGGTCCTCAGCCACGAAGAGTTCATGGAACGCTGGGCATACATCGAAGACACAGAAACTAGAAGCGGAGAAAATCCTCTGTTGACTTGGTACAAGAACGCCAGTGTGCTAACGACTGTCTGATGCGTAGCGATTTCTATGTCTTTTTTTTTTTTCCTCGATGGCCCAAACGTAGCTTGCTAGCTACGGCTACTTTGCCTCCAACGGGCATTTCTATGAGACTCTTCTTCTTTTTTTTTTATCCAAACTTGTCAAATATACCATGTGTTTTATATATACGTAGAATAGTGTTCAAAAGCAGATTGAATCTGACTGGTGAAATCAACTCTCATAGAATTACAAGCGCAGCTACAACTTCGCCTGCTTATTCGACCCCTCATCCTTAACCCCTTGCCAAGCGAATTGGATTTTCTGCCCGACACCAGGCTCAACCACGACATTCACAACCGTAACGGTATTCGACTCCAGGAATCCATCCCTCGTAGCCTTCTCTAGCTCCTTTTCCGTGCGTACAAAGTATCCCTTCCCACCAAACATGGTAGCGAGTTGTTCATAGCGCGCCTCGTAGAGAAGACTAGTTGATCTGAGCCCCTTCTTGTAGTCCTCTTCTGATTTCGTATCGTTAGATATCGTTTGGTCCTGGAGGGTTTTCCATGCGTCTTCAGACGGGGTGTCGCCGTGATAGATGCCGGAGTTGTTCATGACGAAGATCAAGGCCGGGATGCGGTAGCGGGCCATGGTCTCGATTTCCATGGCGCTGAAGCCGAAGGCGCTGTCGCCTTCGAATGCGACGATTTTCTTCGGTCGAGAGATGGCCGCCGTTTGATCGGCTGGGTAGATGTTGTATGCAGCGTGAGCTGCGATGACGTAGCCGAGACCGACACCCATGGTGGCGTATGTGCCGGCATCGAGACGTTGACGGGGGTGGTTTAATGGGAAGATGGATCGGGAGATATCCATCGTGTTGGCTCCTTCGGAGACGTAGACGATCTGGCCATCCTCGGGGGCGCTGAGGGAATTCAGCGTGTTTTTGATGATATGGTACGCGCGTTGGAAGGTAAGAGGAGTGTTTGGGGGGGTGGGTTTCAATGCAGCGTTTTCTGCTTTTGCTTCATTCTTCTTTGCAGACGAAGCCAGAAGTGATGGGAAGGAGATGCCACCGGATGGTCCTGGTTGATATTTCCAATTGGAGAGCTTCGTGGACAACTGCTCAACGACAAGGCCAATGTCGCCAATGATGCCGAGTTCTGCGTTTCCTGCATTCCGGCCAATCTCCTCTGCGCAGATATCGACCTGGATGATCTTTGCTGTGGGAGACCACTTCGGAGGGGCCCCGAAATGCAGAATCCAGTTCAGTCGCCCACCCAGGAGCAGCACTACATCAGCGTTCTTTAGCGCGGCACTTCGAGCACTCGAAGCGTTCAATGGGTGGGAGTCAGGGACCACACCCTTCCCCATGGGCGTAGGCAAGAAAGGGACTTGTGTCCGCTCAACCAGCTCACGTATTGCGGACTCTGCCCGCGCATAGGCTGCTCCTTTCCCGACAATGACCAGAGGCGCACGAGCAGATCTAAGTAACTGCGCGGCCTTCAAGATAGTAGCTGGATCTCCGCTCGGCTTTGGCGGAGAAGGCAATAGCAGATTCTCAGGTGCCGGCAGCTTAACATCAGCCGCTGCTTTGCCCTGGATGATATCCGCAGGGAGATCAACGAACGTCGGTCCAGGACGTCCATACCAGCACATCCTGTATGCATTTCGAACCGCACCCGGGATTGAATCAAGAGAGTTCGCCCGAACAGCGAATTTCGTGTGCGGCGTCAGCAGAGAAATGGCATCCATCTCCTGGAAGGACCCCTTCGTCACAGCCGTCGTCTCGGACGAACCAGCAAGGACGAGTAGTGGGAAGTTATTAGCCGATGCATTTCCTATCTGAATATTGGTTTGTGTGTCAGTTTCAGCTTGAGGGAATACCAGGTAATGGCCGGCATCTCCAACCAGAAGGGGAGTATGCTTACACCTGCGATAGCATGGAGAACTCCGGGCCCTCCAACCACGAGACAGACACCTGGTCGTCCCGTCATATACCCATATACACTGGCGGCATAGCTGCAGGCCTGCTCGTTACGGAACGCAATGAACCGGATTCCCAGATTGATCGCCTCTTCTGCGATGTCGACGACGGGAATTCCCACCAGGCCGAAGATGACCGTGACGCCCAAGTCGCGTAGCGCTCGGGCGATAATCTGAGCTCCGGTAGCCATGACTGAACGATCAGCAGAAACAAAAGGACAAGAGACCAGCTCAACTGCTGGATGGTATTAAAGTGTCTCGATATGACTTCTATCAAGTCATTAATATTGACAGCGTAGAGCTCATTATCATCTCCTCGGCTGTTGATGATAGACTAACCCCGGATTGGGTGACGCAATGCCCGCGCGTTCGGGAGTTTCGGCTGCGCTTCCGAGCCGCGGCGTGGTTAGTTAGTGGTATACATACTCCCATGTTCAACTTCCTGAAGCTCAAGTCAAAAAGGTCATTACTTATATACTCGAGTAGCAATGAGATAGATGGTCATACTAGTTCGAAACCAGAATGTAGATAAGACACCGCTTTTACTAATTCAACAACTCCTCAAATGTATAGTTATTTATGCATTCCCTAGTACAAATCAAAATACAGCCATATGTATTTCCGATAACTAAATCAACCATGGTATCCAAAATGATCACGAAACATATCTGCAGAGTGGAAATGCATCATCTCCTCTCTCCTTTTTTTCATTTAATACATCGTCCAAGAGAATAGCCGACAAATGGTGGCCTAAAAGTCGAACTCCTTTCTGAAAACCGAGACATCCATTCCCGGCACTACCATGTCCGCCAGATCACGGCGTCCCATCTGACTGAATACCCTGCGCAACGTATCCCACAGGTTTGTGCTCTGGTTGTGACTGACATCGATCATGCGGTCCAACTCATCATCTCCGATACCGTCGACCCCTTCGACAATTTCTCGTGCTCGTTCTCTACCTTCCTCCTCCACAACACGGTGCATGGAGAGAGCTCCGAGAAGGTGCTGCGCTGCCTCGGGGTAACAGCCAATGTTGATGCACGAAACTCCGAGGTTGTAACGAGCACGAACAAAGTTCGGGTTGATGGTCAGTGCCTTCTCATAGGCCTCGATGGCCTCCTCAGACCGACCAGAGTTGGCAAGAGTAGCTCCCAGCCGGTTCCACAGCAGGTGAAGCTGTTCCTGCTGGTTGGAAGTACCTGTCTCAGTAGATGCGAGGGCAGCCGTGAAGCAGTCAACAGCCTTGTCATATTCTTCAGCACAGTAGAAAAGAACACCCAAACCGACCTGGACGTCGGGGTCCATTTGCTCGCCAGAAGGCGATAATTGAGCAGCACGGATGAAAAGATCAGTGACCTTTTCGTGCAAGGCATGTCGGTCAGTGAATCCCATGTCTGCATCAGAAGAGAGGTCCTTCGGGTCAATGACTTGAGGATACTTGACAGAAAGCCAACGCTCGAGCGTACGGTATGCTGCAGAGTCGTATCCTTCGTTGGTGTAAGAAACAGCCAATCCCATCAGAGCGTCCAGGTTCTTGGGGTTCAGCTTGATCGCCTGTTCCAGGGCTCTGATTGCCGGGCTTTCCTTCTCGTTCTGTGCCTGTGCAGTTCCAAGGTACGTCCATGCTTCGACATGCTGAGGATCCTTTTGCACCGCAGCCTCGAAAGCAAGAGCTGCCAAAGACAGATTGCCACCTTCACGCATGATCTTAACTCCTTCTTCAAAGGGGTTGTTCACCGCGCGGAATGCGTTTTCAGGCTCGAACAAATAATCACCGAGCTGGGGGTCGCGGAATCGAGTGTGGAGGTTGTCAAACCCTTCCCACTCCTCCAATTGGCCCATATGCAGGCTGTCGTCGGTCACATCGAATTTTGCATTTTCGGCCATTTTCCTGTTTGTATCCATCTGAGCTTTAATCCTCTCCCACACTCTCTCGAAGGACTCTTCGCGAGACTCGGTGCCTGCGGGGACTGACCTGTCAAGCTCATTCAATTCTGCCTCCATAGCCGCGTTGGCCTCCACATCCAGGTCCTGGGTACCAGCCGTCTCCATTTCAGCGAACTGCGCCTCCCAGTTCTGATCGTCCAACTCCACCATCCGACCTTTGCCCTTGTCCTGCGTAGACATCTCTGCCGGTTGTTGCTGCATGCCCATAGGACTATAGGCAGGTCGCATCATACCCATTCCACCCATATATCCCATGCCCATCGGTCGCTGGAATCCGCCGCTCATCAAAGGGCTGGGTGTAGATGTAATTGGACTCCCCGTGCGTGCCATGCCCGTCTGGTTATGTTGTTGGAAACGAGCAAACTCCGCAGGAGTGAAACCTGCACCGCCATTCATCATAGGAGCCTTTGGTCCTGCGAAGGCAGCTTCCATACGGGCTTGCTCGCCCGGGTCGAACTCTGCAGCCCAACCGGGAGAGCCGGTCCGCGGGGGTGCTGTCTGAAAGTTCTCGAGTTCTCTCCGCATCTGCTCCATGGCGAACGGTTGTGGCGGCCCCTGTGCCATATGGCCAGGCTGTTGCATGAACTCGTCCATCATCTAGAGACAAGACCAGATTTGTCAGCCCAACGGTCCGGGTGACGCATCGATAGAAAGGATGGGATAGATACCTGATCCTGCCCACCAACCATACCCTGGGATCGCATGCTTTCTTGCATGCCCCCTGGGCCTCTGCCCACCAGCCTGTCTCTCTGGAGGGACTTGTCATCTTGTACATGTTTCGTAAACTGTGCAAGCGGGTTGGCCGCCGTAGAGCACTCGGCGCCACCGAGGAACGACATGGTGAAATCCCGCAGCGCAATATATCCGGCAACGGTGGTCGACTGATTATATCTCGGGTTGTATAGAGCCGCTAACGACGAACGAAGGACGAGAAAGATAGATAGAAGATGGAAGGGAAACGATGACTGAGAGAAAGGCTATGTAAGTGCGGAGAAAAGAGAGTTGGAGAAATTGAGCGCCGGTAGATGCATGGAAAGCACCGATCAACGCCGACGTGGGGAGAGCGGACGGCTTTGTTGCCGAGGCTCCCGCCTGGTCCGCGGTCACGTGGCGAAGGTTCCAGGTCCGAGGGGCGTTCATGGGAGAATTATTATTATGATTATTCCATCTAGTTGATCAAAGTAGAGATATATATATATATATATAGTGCTAGAGGAACCCGTATAAACCTTTTATAGTACTCACGGTAGGCATAAATAACTGTATCTCTCCCGCGTCGTCTATCATTAGAATGCTATCCCAGGTAACCCAGTATACTACAAGTGCTTTGCCCATTGAATACATGACACAGTTTTAGAAAACAGAGATTGGTAGTAAAGACGCAGGAGCAGACATCTTCCAGCAGAGAATCTCACCCATGCAGCAGTAGCAATAACGCCTATTGCCAGTTTCCAGGTCGAACAAGTGACGAATGCACACTGGAAAGGATATACCTTTCCAAGACCGAATTTGAGATATTTTCTGGTTTTTGTAATGCACAATCCCGACCATTCATTCTGCAGTCTCAGTTGGGTCCAGATTCGGTTTCAGTTTCGATAGGTTGACTGGAGATCCTCCGTCGGTTACGGTACTCAGCACCGTCCCGGTTCGTGTAACTGTAATCGACGCGAAGCTTCCTGCCGTAGGGGGCCTTTCCGCTGAGGATTTCAAATGCAGCTTCAGCGCTAGGAACATCGAGGAAATCGGCGTGTGCGAAACCCCTGGGCTGACCGGTTTTACGGTCGACAGCCACCCGGACGTCGATCACATTCTCAACGTCCTTGAACAGGTCGTTGAGGTCACGGTCAGTCATGTCAAAGGCCATGTTTCCAATGAAAAGAGTCTTGGAGGGAGTCTGGCGAGGCCTGTTGCGGCGACCGGCATTTGACTGCGCGAACTGCGCGACAATGCGACGACCCTCGAAGACCTGCATGTTCATGCCATGGATGGCGCGCTGGGCCGACTCGACATTATCGAAGGTAACGTAACCGAAACTAGACACATGAGACAGTCAGAATTATGCGCTTTTAGGAGACTGTTTCAATACCCCAGAACATGTTGGGACAGCCGCTATCACAACTCACCCTTTACTCAAACCCCGGTTGTCATGGACAATTCTGGCAGTCTCAACAACGCCGAATTTCTGCATCTGATTTTTCAGATCCTCCGCAGTGACATCGAAAAACAGGTTTCCAACATAAATAGTCTCCTTAGGCTCCGGAGGAGCCATCACTGGCCGCCGGGCTGGCAGCGGTTCAGTCTCCGGCGCAGCATCCGTAGCAGCTTCAGTTGTCGCCTGTGCAGTCTCTGAGGCAGCGGACTCAGCAATAGGGTCTACCACAGGTGTCTTCTCTTGGTCCGCGGAAGCGGATGCATCCTTTGCGGTCTCGTTGCTGTTCCATCGTTGCTGGAAAGCGTAGCGCGGCAACTGGCGATTTAATTGAAGGACAGAGGGAGTAACGGTGGTAATTGACCTCGGCTTAGCAAGAACAGAAGTTGAAGGAGAGGAAAGGAGTCGAAAAGCTGCTCGTCGGAAGCAATACCTGCGGAGATTTGTATCAGCTAACGCGATCTTTTTCGTCTTTTCCCCCCAAAAAAAGAACATATTCCATTGTGACCATGTAAAACTTACATCTTGAAATAAATGGGTATCCGAAAACTGGGTTCAGAAAATATTAAAGCAAATAAAAGAGATGCAGATTGAATGAGCCTGGCAGTAAGGATGGGATGCCGACAGACTCTCTCGCGCTGAGAAAAGTTCGACCCGCTGGACTTATCGACACAATCTCCACATCGGCCCATGCGGGTCACGTGTAAGCATCCAGAGTCCAGACAAAACTAAGCCAAAGAACGCTATTATTCAATTGGTTTGCACCTGGGCAAGGCTATCATTTGTCCTAATATGACTTAGTGGGTATTTTACTAACATGTGGTATATTTCAGGTCACTTCTCATATCCTGTAATTGCCTATGTAAATTTGTCGGCGCACAAAGCGAACGTATACCTATTGAGGTAAATATAAGCTCAAATTCCCCCTAGACCTAGGAGCAAGCAAGCAATTCAAGGTGTTCAAGAACTTGCTTCCGTGCATTCAATATTCGACAAAATGCCGTATGGATGACACTCTACAGAAGCAAACCAATATTTACGACAACGGCTGAAAGCAACCTTACTGACAAATTGATCCAGCAGAATTCGTATATGACCGCCGATATGTACTCGTTCTACTAGGAAGCTATTCGATACTCTATTCAGTTATGAGACGAGAAAAGGCACTAAACCGCCGTGCGAGAGAGAGAAATGATCTAAGTCAGATGGCCCCCAGGAATAGAGACCCATATGGCAGAATGTGCAAGGGACAGTAACCGTAACGAAATCTCGTAATATGCATACATAGTATGTGGATGACACCGTTTCCTATCGTCGCTTTTTCCGCCATAGTCAGAATATCTCCCGTTAAACCATCAAATCTTTGCTGTCATTCCCACTTTTGTGAGAGAAAGGAACCGGGTATAAGACATATCCATTTCGAAGGCCAAATAATCACACAACTGCAGACAAATCACATCGCTCCCTGACTCCTGCCAAGGCCACCTGGCGGTTGAGATGGGCTGTTATTATCATTACTGAGATTCATGAAAACACCGTTCTCCGGGCTAGGTCCATTATCGTAATTAGACTGGGAGGGGAATAATCCGGGCAGTGGTCGATATGGGTTCCGAGACACCTCAGGGACACCGTTGCGCGCTGTTGGGACCGTGGATGGAGATATAGGGGATAGTGACGGTTGCTGTTGCATGTCTAACATCGGCCATAGTTGATTTGATGGATCGAAATTCGAGCTCTGGATGTAGCTATCCCACGCTTCCTACACTCGCAGTTAGCTATTGGCCAAACATGGGTCTAAGAGGGGGTAAGCACATACCCAGTCCAAATTCACCGGCTGCATATCCGGCATAACGCCCAGCATGCTAAAAGGCGAAGTAGCACCCTGCGGTATGCCGGGGACGCCTAGACCGCCGCCCGGGGGCGATAAGGTCTCTGCCATTCGGAATGTCGGGTCACTGAAACCCGCGGTTCCTGAGTTTAACGGGCTCATGCCACTGCTCAACAGTCCCAGAGTCATCGCAGCGTTCTCCTTCTCGTCCTGTGACTCAAAGGCAGGTGCAGAAGCAGTGCTGGTCTCCGTACCCTGAGGTGCAAGATGTAGCTTTGTGAGCATCACTCCAAGAATAGATGATGCTTTCCATGCCTCTATTGACTGGTCACGAAGATCATCCCAAATCTCCTTAGAGCGTCTAATGGTAGCCAACATCTCATCTCGACGTTCCACACCCCATGCATAGGTGTCTCCGGAAGGCCTCCCGGCCGCTTGCAATTGTAGCCCGTGGTACAAATCAAGGCAGACAACGGTTGCAGCAAGCAAGAAATCATTCGAGCTAAGAGACATTACCTGATGAGTTAATGCTCGCAGGCGGCCGTTGGGGCGGGTTTCCCCATGTAATATTGACTGGTAACTCAATAGCTCCAGTGATGAATCAATGCAAGTCCGGCGTGAGTGCGTGAAGCGGGGGTTTTCTCGCGCGCGACCGAGATAACGTCGATGTAAGACAACTTGAGCTTTGTGGTAAGTGCTCATGATCTAAATTCAGTCAGTAAAGTAATTGAGCTGGATCTCTCCATGTTGTAAACGTACGTTAAATCTTGACACTATCAGGGAAGCAGGATCCAATTGACACTCTTCCATAGGGCGTACTTGAAGATGTTCTGGGATCATATCTCGAGCTCGACGCAGTTCGCTGTCGATTTCCATGACCGTCTCATACGGCCCGCTTTTCATAGAGGAGGTGTGCTCGATGACCCTCCCGAACGTAAATGCGATCCGAGCCTTCGCTATCAAATATGAGATTGGGGTGGGTTCGCTCGAAGGACGTGGAGGTGGCAGTTCCTTGCAGCTTTCGTCGAAATCCTCATCATATAAATTTCTCGGCAATTCGGTGTCGCTGTCCCCGGAGCGAATCATGCTTGGGAGTCCTGCCTGGAAGGAAAATAGAAGGTCTGCCTGTTTAACAAATGTCCAGACTCTCCTACGCATCTCTCCCTGGAATGGTGTAATGTTGGGAAACGACTTTGAGTCCCTATGGTACCCCATTCGCATAGCCAGCCGCGCGATCATCCCGACCAATATCCACACTGATGTCTCCGTTTCCCTAGTCTGGCTGTAGTCCGCGTGAAGATGAAGAATCAAAGTTTCAATTAGATGCGGATGGGGTTTCGTATAGTCGGCCAATGTCAGACATTGTGCCATCATATTTCTATACGTCCCTGCCATGTCCAACGATTTCCCACGAAATTCGGGCGGTTCATCGCCATCTCTGTGATAAGACAGCATGGCGAGTCTCATCATCACGAAGAGCATGCCTACCCAAACAATACACGTTTGCGAAGGGTCTTCCCAGTGGCGGTTGTACTCCTTCTGGAACGTTGGTCCGTGGAGGATATGCGTTGACGGGTCATAACTGTTGAAATACCGTGCAATAAGTATGTCGGTCGTGTATCGGGAAGGGAAAGAAGACATGATTTCCGCCTGGCTCAAAGGCTTCACAGTACCAAAAAGCAATGCGGAACCTGAAAAATCAGTATCCTTTCTCAAGGCCTTGACCTTCTCAGCTTGTTCTTCATATTGCTTTTTATGTACCGTGAAATAGTTCCGGACTTCCGCTATCTGTATGAGTTGTTAGGACACGGACAACCCAGCCGGTTCGAAAAGAGGCATTCTTACATCATTAAGTACTGAAGCCCAGTGTGCATCACTGATGTAATAAGATTTGTTGTTGTCGACTTTCATTATTCCAAACGATTTTGTGACCTGTTCGGTATCGCTTTCTTCCTGGCCGTCCATCTCGAGCTCATCCCCATTAGTCTCGTTAGAAGTTCGACCTGAATCAATACTGCTATGGCCTGAGATCGCTGCCGCTGCCGCAGTCGGCCCCGCAGACTGGGAGCCATTCGTCATCAAGGAAAGAACGAGGCCTTCCAGCCTGTCTATCCTGTTCTGCATATCATCTGGTGTTGCCACTGCATTCTGGTTCAAGGTTGTCTTCTTCCGGACCCCAGGTTGGGCATAGGTGCAAGAGGCCGAATCGCCCCGCTTAACGCAATTCTCACATGGGTGAGAACGGTTGCATTTAAGCCTGCAGACCATGTTAGCAATGTTTGGCCTCTGCCATGGTGAAGGGTCTCACAAGACTCACTTCCGGTGCCGACATGGTGCACAAGATAGAGGAACTCGATTCCTCTTCCTGATGACTCTGAACTGACCTTCAGGCGAGTGTGCGCCCACACTGGAGGACGTAGTCGAAGGCGGAGTCGGAGACATTTCGCGCGCAAGCTGACTCTGGACTATCCTTTCAGACTAGCAGTAACAGCTGGTTCTGCAGCGCGCTGACACCCCTCCCCGGTATGTGTGCGCGCTATGCTACCGTCAAGTCAGGCGCCCCCTATTCCGTATACTGTTCGTGAGCGCTGTCGTTGAGAGAGGGCTACGAACAGGGCGAAGGTCGCGTCCAACCACAGATAGCGTCACTGTGTCGCCTCGGTGTTTTGCAACCTTTCTGGCTTGTCAATTATGTGCGAGCCAGAGTCACCTCAGACCCCAGAAAGCTAACAGGCTCCCAGGTGTTACTCCAGGTCTGGCAGTGACTAGACCAGCACGTCAGTAGCGAGGCACCCGATCGGCCACGGTCGCAGTCGATTTGATACCAGGCCGGTTGTCTTCCGTCACGGTTTCAACCGTTGCCTCGTAGGTATTTTGCTGCTGGCTGTTTTACCCAGCTTGCAGCAGGTATGCGATCAGAGAAGAAAAGGAACCAGATATCTGTGGTTATGAATCGAATTAGCATCGCGATCGGTGAACCGGTGCGGGGCGCGGTGCTCGATTACGCGCAAAAACACACCTTTTGTCCACAAGAACGTTCCGTCGTAGATTCAGACAGAGCCAAATCAATGCGATATGCTCGCCAGCACGAGTCTGCGCGATGGAAATGAGCTGAACTGCGCAAGGTGGGCGGACGGCGGTAGAAGTTGTCGCGATGCAACCTGGTGACTTCAGACGAGCGAACCTCAACGGTGAACCTTATCTCTCTCTCTGCCGTCCTGACCGCCCGCCGATACAGAGCCTCGCAGTGTTGTATCGCGCAGAATCGAGCTTGGTTAGTATTGATTATTTGTTACGGGTGCAGCACCTCGGTGGTTTATATCCTGCCACTACGGCGATCGTCGCAGGTATGAATTATTATCAGCGCCTGGAGGACGGCGTGCTGGACGGTGTGTCGCCCATGCGCTACTACGCTTTAGTTGCTGGTTTAGCGGCCGTTCATCCTCACCACCGTCGAAGTCAGGCATGCTTTTCACGCCTCTGGATGGTTGAGCCACCACGTTCCTCGACTCTTGAGTTTCGATCCCGCTCCACTTGGGAGCTAGGGTCTTTTGACGGCCACTGTGATGCCTATTATTGCTGCACTCCAGTCAGAACTCCCATGCGATGTTAACAAAGAGTACGTACCGAACCTACAAGCAATAATACCTCTATTAGTTATGCCATTCTACCATCCCATTCATGCAGATCGGAACTGATAACAGCCAGTCAGATTACCACCACGCTAGCCCCTCCTGTCATCTGTTTTGAGTCATGGCAGTCTCCGGTAAGCAGCAAATCCGATGCAGCTGAAAACAAGGCCGAGCTAGGTCGGAGTTTTGTCTAGGTAAGGATTCAGATGTATGACCAATGGTCGGATATCAACAGCGACTATCCCTCTAAAAGCCAAAAGGGTGGCTCTCAGAGACAAAAGGGGATGACATCCGTGAACTTCCGCCAAGGCCGCATGGTCTAGTCGCTTTCAAATATATATAGAGAGGAATGCTTAACGACCGTACTTTTCTACAATATATCCATGATACTCTGATCAATAGAACATCAGCTGAGATATAATTTCATTGGTATCCAGAACCTAATTTCATTCTATACATTTTTAAGAAAACAAGGTAGAATAAAGGGGGACTGAAGCAAGTACTTAAATTCATTGCGATATCACTGTGTGAGCGGGTCGGATGCTTGGACACGGAGGCGAAGAGAAGTATAAGGATGGCAGACGAAGTGATTGACACTGCCTTAACATTCATGCGTCGCAATGTATACCTAGCCTCATACAAGATGAGATTTTTCGAGATTGAAATGGCGGACTGTATGCACATTTCATGAGCGTGAAGGTAGCCTGGGCCCCTAGGTGGTTGTGGCTGTAACCCACTTTTTGACATCCAGGGCCGATGGGCGTAGACTATATTCTGGCGGTACTGCATACTTTGCTCAAGAGTTTCCGTTTAGCAACCATATTATGAATGCAAAAGTGACAGTGCTTCGGCTTACTGGAGTAATAGTACATGTGGAAGATATTGCGATGTGCAGTCGTCAAGATCGATCTGTAAGAAAGGAGGAAGTTTGGCTTTCTACCTTCGAAGCTGTGCAACAATCTTTGCGTTGAGCTCTTGTAGGACTGCTTTGGAGATGCTAGATGTGCCGTATCTGTGTTTTAGCATTCAGCTCGCGTCGCTTCTTCTGAAACCTGAGGTCGAGACTCACAATATATATCCACATGGGGCCATGAGCTCACGAAGAGAAATCAACTGCCGACTCACAGCTTCGGTGCAATCAAGGAAGCCAGATGCCCCAGTTGTTGTATCCTGAAGCCCGTAAGGTATCCATCTGGAAGGACCCAATGTATTCCCTTGGTCGTGTGGTTTGCCAACGGTCACGTCCTCCATGCTGGTGCGGAAAGGTCTGCCAAGATGGAATCCCAATTGACTAGGCAGATTTCAGTTTCGATCTTCAGGTAGCATACAAGAAGAAGGCTTACTGATCAACAAGGTATGCAGCCCAAAATACTGTTCGACGAAGGTCCGCATCTTCAGGAGTAATATCTCCCTTGGAAGCATAAGCTGACATATCAAGGTTTAAAGCGAGGTCAAACGCGAGTCGTATTGCCATGCCTTGAATCGTCAATCAGAAACAGGCTCAAAAGCCAGACAATCAAAACGAGGTTTACCACTATAGAGCCATCCTCGGGCATCGATCCCATTTCCAATCTCATGACAGCTCAGTATGACCATAGCCTGGACAGTCGCGACGCAAGGACAGTCCAGTTCAAGCTCCAGAAACGCCTTTGCACGATCCCCAAAGAAGTCCACGAGAGTCTTGGGAAAGGTAACAAAGTCTTGATGAAAGCGAGTTTCGAAAGCGCTCCACACCTGTCGAATGAAGTCAGATAATTCCCCCCCCCCTTCGGTGCACCACCCTGTTTTGCCTCACATTGCATGTCTGAGCACTTCTGAATAGAACGACGTGTCCTCCATATTCTGCTGTTTGGCTTTGGCTTCCTCAATATTCTTTTGTCAACGACGTCTGAAGGATTAAAAGGCGCTATTGATGAGCAGTTGCCACAATCAGAGTAGAAATACATGTGCTCACTTTCGTTTGTCAATAGCCTGGTAGCGGCATTCGCGCTTTCTGTTCACGCAATGAGAACGTTTCGGCTGCCCGCCATCACACTATGGGTTATTAGTCCCTGATTGAGGTTCAAAGTAACTCTTTTTTGGCAGAGAAGACCAGGATCGTCAGACGCCATCTTTGTTTTGGTCTCACGGCATGAGACACAGGCCATGGTGGCATATCTCCTCTTCGTCGAAGGCTTTGTAGACGGCATGTTTGCGTGGGTTCATTGTTCAAGATTGACGAAATGATCTTCCTTCTTATTCTGTCAAGCTAAAATTGAATTCGGTAGCGGAGAAAAGTAGGAAATGGGAAACGGAGACAGAGGTTGGAATCCGGGGTCTACTTTGCGGGGTTGGCCGTGACGCCCATCGGTCCTACAGCCGAGTTGTCTCCCCCAGATCAACCTATTCGGTGACTGATTTCCGAGACGATCAGTAGGGTTTAGGTTGCTGTACCCCAGATTCCCTCCGCATACAGTAGATTGGGGTTTGGGGATGGAATGAAGCCCGTTTCATCTCAGTGGTAGTAGCTTTATCCTGCATGAATATGCGTATCGAGCGCTGAAATCGGTCTACTTTCGTACCTGCTCTTTCTTTCTTTTTTCGACTCTTTCGACATATGCTATACTATCCAACGTACGTTCTAGCAAGACGTACAAATGTTCTTTTCTAAGACAGAGGGCGGATGCTGCCGGTTTAGCATCACTGCGGCATGTGGTGCTGGATTCCTATTGTTTGGATAGATAATTACTTAGGAAACTAGATCGCGGATAGCCATCCCGACGACATACTCTGTTTGGAAGTTGCTATAGCTGGGAACCTGCTTCTTGAACTCTGGACTGCTATATGTGTGAGCAAAAAGAGTAGTTACTTGATTGTTCAATGCAGATATTTGCTTCTACGTATTTCTTCCCTCCGCCCACTCTCCTCCCCGGGTCCAATTCCCTTCCCTGTCCAAGATAATCGTAATTATAACAGTAATCCAGTAAAGAGAGTCAATATCCAATCCCCTCACTGACTCCTTGTACAGTGACTCGGCAACAGTTCGAACTACTCGGAATTTAGAATTACAGGCACCATTCGGAGACTGTTCTCCGGAACCAATACTTACTGGGACTCGCATTTGCTTTTACTTTTGCTGCAGAACGGAACCATGTCCGATCGGAATTCGCAATGATGTCGGAAACCTAACTGCGATACTTGTTGTTTACTTCTTTTATAGTTGTTTTGTTCCTGCTATCTCATGGGCATTTTCATTCTGTCCCATTTGATCTCAACCGATTATCTGTTGGCTAAATCGTAAGGTTCTATATTCAGCACAAATTGGGACACTTTCAAGTCCAATATTCCAGTTGATACAAACAAAAAAATTTCCGATTTACCATAATGGTTGGAGAGGTGCGTGCTACGCATAACGGCTTTATATCAGACTCTAACCATCCAATCTAGACACCCCACAACCGCGTCTTCAATCATGTCGCGGTGTCAGTCTCTGACATCCAGGCGACAGTCAACTGGTACTCGCGCGTGTTTGGATTCAAGCTCCTCGGCAAGGTTTCGCACATAAAACGCTCTGAAACCCCAGATGCCGCTATCTTCGGCATCTATCCCTCAACCATGAATGAAGTGAAGCTGGCCTATATGGCAACCGGTAACGGTGTCGGATTTGAGATTTTCGAATTCGTTGACCCGAAGCCTCAGCACGTGGATGTTTTCCAATATGAGCGCAAGGGCTTTTTCCATATCTGTGTGACGGATCCAAACCCGGATGAATTGGCGGACAAAGTTGAAGCTGCTGGTGGGAAAAGAATTGGGAAGACTGTTGATCCTTCTGGGAATGGCGATACCAAGTGTCTCTACTTGTCTGATCCGTGGGGTAATGTTGTAGAAGTTCTTAGTGTGAGTTTTGAGTGGCTGGGCTGTCGGACCGCTTACTGAATTGTATATACTTCTTACTATAAATTACCGGAGTCTAAGCATAGACTCACATACCAAATAAATTTCTTGTTTGGGTCTTTGACCTTGTTGATAGTGTTCCGGTTATTGTCTACATCGTCAGGAAATAGAAACAGATATCGTGGCTTTATTGACAGATCCAAGATGGGCTAATTTTATATTCGCACTCGATACTGTGTCCGAACCAAAATCAAGATAGCCATCCCTACTTTCTACAGTAGTTTATTTATTTGAAGTGTAAGGCAGGGTTAGGAAGAAGCCCCAATTCCCCATAGACATCTCTCTAAGTTTAACAAGTCTAGCAAGAACTACATAAGGAAATTTGGTGCAGTGGCAAAAAGCATTAGTCTCATTCACACTGTATATTCTCGGACGTAAGGTTCTAGGTTTGTGGATGAAAACTATCAAATCATCTTAAAACAAGCGAACTAATCTCTCGGATAGCTGAGAAAACCTAGACCCTCGAAGGTATCTCATAAGATTCGAGTGTAGGATTTTCCCCAGATAAAAAATGACTTCATGGGACAAGGTGTAAGGGGGCCCACTCAAGCCACTCAAGACTATCACCATCTTAGAACCTTTGTAGGGAAATACTCATCAATGAGTTCTAGGTAATAGGGCTAGTCATATAAGTCAGCGATCTATTTCAGGACACCAGCACCGAACAGGACCGACTCACTGTTTGCAAGGTGTGCTGCTGCGCGTAGAACTTCTTAACGCGGTCGCAAGCATCTTCGAATTGGCGGAACGTGGCTTTGTCTTTGTTCCTGTCAAATTCGGACTCATCATACAGATCACGCTCTGTTTTCTGGGCTGTCTTCAGCGCATTAACGATATCGACCTCGTCGGAGATGGATTCAATGCTAGTCGCAGCGGGTTGGATGACCGTGGCTGTCATTTGAAGTTCACTGACTCGTCGGTATACTCAAATCTTTTTGATGCAATGAGTTTTCAAATAGCAGACCGGTTAATGCTGCCCTTATAAGTCTATTTCAAGACACTGTGTGTGGTCGGATGCCTGTCGGACATGATTCTCCGTTGGTTGTTGCTGAGATGGCTAAGTAAGTAGGCAAAGCTTTTGTGTTGACGGTATATCATTTCCGTTGCTCCAGAAAATCGTGTGTTAGTTATCGATGATGCCGACTGACTACAATCTCAGCTGACATGTTGGATAGACGTGGAAAGCGATTTCCGTAGTCGTCTCGATGCCCGACGAACTGAACATTGTGGATTATCACTTCATTGATAAACGGATATTTCATTCAAGCTTCATAGTCTTGTCTGGTTCTTCAACATCTATGTGAGAATAGCATATCTGAATGCTGTTCCTTTGATAATTCATGATCAACTGAGTAGAGTAGAAATTATCGATAAGAATCGTGGGGCAGCCAGATAGAGTCCAAGTGGATCTTTATTCCACCGCTAAGAAAAAGCCATCTGAGCTTCCAAGCTTCCCTTAGTGTACCATACCGCCTTTTGTGATCGTTTTGTTTACCTGGGACGAAATTGTTTTGATTTCATTCATATGGCGGATAACAAATGATAAAGAATTGGGGCTCCAGACGCATTTTGCTTGCTTAGGAGGGCTGGTTCTATCGACAATTGGCCCAACTGTGCATCTGCGTTAGACAGCTGGTCACGACAACCGCCTTTGTAAGTCAAGTTGATTTGCTCTCCCTTCATCTCCAACAAACACTCACCAAACCTTGCAGGCGGGGTATATCAGCAACCTCCACCCTCCCCTTCTCTTCCTGCAATATCTCAGGGAGATCTTTCTTCGCCCATCCTCAGCAAGTTGTGTGTATATTTTTGGTCCAGAATCATGTCTGGCCGACAAGATCGTGGCGGAAGAGCTCGGGGCGGCGGCGGCCGTTCTCGCGGTGGTGGAGATGGCGGCAGAGGCAGAGGCCGTGGTCTATTCCCATCCGGAGAACTACCGTTACGCCCAGCAGACAGTCAGGAACGAGGTGGTCGCGGGGGCGGCTCTAGGGGTGACCCCAGAGGAAGAGGCGACTTTAGAGGACGAGGCGACTCCAGAGGAAGAGGTGACTCTAGAGGGAGAGGTGACTCCAGGGGCAGAGGTGACCCCAGGGGAAGAGGAGGTCGAGGCGCCTTCGGTGGATCAGGCAAGAAAGAGCCAGCACCGATAGTTGTGTTCTCGTCAGTTTACGCCGTCATTCATGATATCCTTAGAAGATGAACAGAAGCTGAATTGTCCATTTTTAGGCCGGAGGGTGGAATCCCGCCTCCAGATGCAAAGGTCAAAGATGTCGAAGAAACCATCGAAAAGACGCTGTCGAAAAAATCCCCAGGACAACGCAAGACTGAGCTGCCTGAGCGGCCAGGTTTTGGTACTCGTGGTCGTCCGGTCCAATTGCTTGCCAACTACTTCCGATTGTCTGCTCAGCAAAAGGGGACACTCTCCCGCTACAATCTACAGATCCTGCCCAATGCTGGCCGCGCACCAAGCGGGAGGAAGTCGAAGCAGATAATCAAGCTCTTGCTCGACCAGCACTTCAGCGATCACAAGAACAAGATTGCCACCGACTACAAGGCTATGCTTGTATCTGCCCGCGACATTGGTGTTCAAGCGCAAGAGTATTCAGTTCAGTACAGGCCCGAAGGTGAAGAGGATGTTGAACCCATGAATCCACAGATCTACCAAGTACTCGTTCAGAAAACGGGAGAGTTCAGCACATCTGATCTTCTAGAGTACCTGAGCTCGACCGATGCGAACGCCGTCTTCCCCGCCAAGGAGGAAGTCATCCAAGTTTTGAACGTTATCGTCGGTCATTGGCCGAAGTCGAATGCAGAATTAGCCACAGTTGGCGCGAATAAGCACATTGGCATCAGTCAAGCGCTTATTGAGAAGGGTCCCCTTATCGCTGGACTTGAGGTCCTCAGAGGCTTCTTCGTCAGCGTCCGCCCCGCTACTTCACGGCTATTACTCAATGTGCAGGTGAAGAACATCGCCTGCTACCAGTCAGGCCCTCTTGTGAACCTTCTACGGGAGTTTGGAGAAGATTGTCAGTGGAATCCATTCAAAATAGGCTCGTTTGTCAGATTGCTTCGTGTCGAGACAACACATATTGTCAAGAAGAACAAGCAAGGACAAAGAATCCCTCGTGTCAAAGTAGTAGCCGGCATCGCGAGGAAAACCCGCGACGGTCCAAACAATCGTGTCAGGGTCAAGAAGGACGGTGCTGGCCCGCGGGATGTGTCGTTTTTGTTGGAAGAGTCAGGGCAAGGCCAAGGGCCATCTGGAAAATGGATCACGGTTGAACAATTCTTCAGAGACAGTGAGTGCCTCCTCTCTCAGTCAGATTTTGCTCAAAGTGGACTACTAATCAGATTGCAGGATACAATATCCAGACGGATGCAAACATCCCGGTTGTAAATGTTGGAACCCCAAACGACCCCAAATACTTGCCCGCAGAGGTCTGCCAGGTCATTCCTGGTCAGCCGTCTAAGGCAAAACTGACTCCCGAGCAAACAAGAGGGATGATCAATTTTGCCGTCCGAAAGCCTGCAGAGAATGCCAAGTCGATTGTCACAAAGGGAGCCAGTGTTCTCGGCGTTACGCCTAGAATGAATGAGACTCTCGTAAGTAAACATGCTTATGTATATAGAGATTTTGTGGCTGATTCACCCTAGACTGCGTTTGGCCTGAACGTCGACCCGAGCTTGATTGCTGTTCCCGGTCGAGTTCTAACCTGTCCACAAATTCACTACGGAGATGTCGTGGCAGCTTACAAGGACAGCCGCGGTGGCTCCGGCGGTAAGAAAAAGCAACATGAAATCCAAGATGCTTCCGCAAAGTTTGGGAGCTGGAATATGAACAAGATCCGGTTCTCACGGGGAGCCAGCGTGGGTTCGTGGGCGTGGTTACATATTCAGAAACCCCGTTCGAGAACAGACGCGCTCAATACCGCTTTGGAGGGCTTTCTCGAGACAATGCAAGTTTCTGGAATCACGGTGAATGAAGCAGTTGCCTCGAAGAACATCGTCATCAATTGGAAAGATGTTGAAGGGCAGATCGGGACTGCCATTGATGAACTTATGCGACACCGGCCAGAGATGATACTTTTCATTCTCGACGTGGCAGATGCACCGGTCTACAACTGCATCAAGAAAAACTGCGATAGGCGTGTAGGCGTTCGCAATGTCTGCGTCTTAGCGCACAAGTTCATGGGCAAGTTTGGCCGTGACGTCCAATATTTCGCCAACGTTGCCCTCAAAGTCAACCTGAAGTTTGGCGGAGTGAATCAGAGCCTGTGGCCTGACAAGTTAGGTATCATCAGCGAAGGCAAGACGATGGTTGTCGGTATCGACGTGACCCATCCATCACCGGGATCAAGATCCAACGCTCCCAGCGTGGCTGGCATCGTTGCTTCTATCGATAGTTCCCTCGCCCAATGGCCAGCAGACATCCGCGTACAGACAGGCCGAGTCGAATCAGTCGAACATCTTCGTGATATGCTCAAATCTCGGCTCCGTCTTTGGGCACAGCACAACAATAAGCAATACCCAGAAAATATCCTCGTCTACCGCGATGGGGTCTCCGAGGGACAATACCAAATAGTCAACAACGAAGAGAAAAATGCCATGAAAAAGGCATGTGAGGAACTATACCCCGCCACGCTCACGAAGAAGGGTCTTCCGCGTTTGACCATCGTAATTGTCGGCAAGCGCCATCATACACGCTTCTACCCAACCAAGGAGAACGAGGCAGACAGATCGTCCAATCCTCAAAACGGCACCATAGTCGACCGCGGCGTCACCGAAGCCCGCAACTGGGACTTCTTCCTTCAGGCCCATACCGCCCTCCAAGGAACCGCGCGACCAGCGCACTACTACATCGTCTACGACGAGATCTTCCGCGGTCTTCCTCTTCGAGGCTTCTCCAACACGGCCGACATCCTCGAAGACCTCACGCACAACATGTGCTATCTCTTCGGCCGCGCCACCAAGGCCGTAAGCATCTGCCCACCAGCATACTACGCTGACCTGGTCTGCGAGCGTGCCCGATGTTATCTCAGTGACATTTTCGACGCCGCCTCAGACACCGCTAGTACCGTAAGCGGAGCAACTGCACAAGCACAACCAGGAGATATCTCCATTCACGACAATGTGAAGAACACGATGTTTTACATCTAATTTGAGATTCAGGTTGAATTCAGAATTCTCTTGATCTAAGCTCACGCACAGCAAGGCAAGAAAAAGGCATATACTTAAACAAATTGGATTAAAAATGCATCTTAGCCTTCGCTGGAGGAAGGAATCTTGACCCAACTTGGCCATTGATGAAATCTATGCATTCATGTCAGGATATCCATGCGATGTTTTGAACCAGGTTAGCCTGTCTTCCTCTTTTTTTTAATATGTGTTTTTCCAATATGTGTTTTCATACCTTTTTTATGGAGACGTCAATAATGGAATTACTGTCACTACGGATAGATAACAAATTAGCAAATTGAAACTTCTACTCCATATTATCACCCTGTTTACTCAGAGACGGGCTACCTGGTTACCTGGAAACCTCCAGTTCCCTTGGATTTGGACTACTGAATTCTCAACCAGAAAAAATAATCCAGACAATTTTACATAATATGTAACTTTGAACGTACGTACATAATGAAGCTGCAGGACTCGTTTCACCACGGACCTTCCGTCCTTACCATTCTTGGTTTCACATAAAGAGGATGGAGGCCATAAAAAAGAAAAAAGGAAAATAGTTACATAACACATGAATATCGTGCCGTTATGGCGGGGTAAAATACACTCAGAGGAAATGGAAACCCGAAATCGGGACAGCCATGATAGGCTATGTGACAGACTGGTAAGCAGGAAAGGAAAACAGGGGGGATTAAGGAAACTGGGATGTTGCCATCATCTCGTCAGTCTTGTCATTCGTAATCGTAACCAGGTCTTCATCCTCCAATTGCACTGCCACGTTGTGACGAGGGAGTGAACGGACCACTGGAAGCGAATATCCTCTGTGGCAGGTTTTTGGTATGCTTGAGCCCGAACAGGCCAGGAAAAAAAAGAAAAAGAAAAAGAAAATAGCGGTTAGCCAGTGAAACGAGTCCAGTAGGAAATGTCGCGCGCAGGACATATAGACGAGTACGGCTCATCTGACGGCAAGGCTCCAGTGGATGGCTCACAAGCCAGGCCCCATCCCTCAGGGTCCATCCCAATTCTAAAAGCCCTCGTCCTCATCACCAAGCATCCAACTTGGCTGGGCAATGTTACGACTCGTACGCTTCGGCTTCGCTCCAGCTTTTTGCTCGGGAGACACGTCATATGCAGCCCAGGAAGCTTCCATGTGCTTGATGTGCTTCAACTTGTCGTGACTAATAGGCTTCTTGTTTTCATGGCCGACCGGCTCGTCTTCAGCAGGGTTGGCATCCGTGACCGACCAGTGGCTGTCAAAGTCCTTCTTGCGATGGGTGCCGTTCGGGATGATAGCAAGCGGTGCCTTCTGCTCCAGTTGGTGGCGTGTAGGACTGCCTTCCTCGTCATACAAGTTGTTCTCGTAAAGACCCATGCCCTTGTTATGGGCACCTAAAGCCTTCTCAGGTTGGACGTGTTCTTCATCAGGACTGTCGTCGTGTTGAAGTTTGAAGTGTGTCTCCGCATCACGTCGTGGATGGGCCACATGTACCCTGGCCGGGGGAGTGTCTTCAGCCTCATCATCGCTCCATGCGAAATGACGAGTGTCAGAGGGTCGGATCTTGGGCTTCGGCTTCTCAGGCGTCACGAAATCCTCAAAACCCCACTGCGCAACATGCTGCGACTTCGGGCGTGAGGGAATGGGCTTGCTCTGCTGCTCAACTTCGCCATCGCCGTCACCCAGCTCGAAGTGACTGAACTTCTTCGGGTGAGTCTTGTACGCCGGCTGTTTGTCTTCCACGGGCTCCTCCTCCTCACCAATGAACAGACGAGAAGGCTTAAAGTTCTTGCTGGCGCCGGCTTTGGGTGCAATTGGCTTGGTCAGTTTCTGTTCTTCCTGGGTAACGGATTGATCCTCCTCCTCCAGGAACAGAGGGGAAGCCTTATAGTGCTTCGAAGACCCTATCTTGGGAGCGATCGGGCGGTTAGTCGAGGAATGTGCTGGCACAGCATCGTCATCCTCTCCAACGAAAAGTTCACTGTAGTCGCGCGGAGGAGGCTTTGCAGTTGCAGGTGCACGTGGAGCAACAACCGGCTGCACTCGGTCCTGTCCAGGGGACAGAAGTTCAAAGAGTGATTCAGCGGCGTAAGGGTCCTTAATGCGCTTCCTGCTGGGAGAAATCGTGGTGTCACGGTCCTGCTCTTCTTTCGGCGCAGCTGTCTTCTCAGAGCCGTTTGGTGGTGTCACTAGACCACTAGGCTCCCCAGCGGTTGCAGAAGTGATCAGACGGAGCTGGTCCTTTGCATCGCGAATGGGCCAACTGCGCGAACGTGCGCCAATGACCTCAACCTGCTTCAACAACGATCCTTGGTCCCAGTAAAGTCTGATCTGCTGAATCTCCTTCTGGGCGTTGAATCGAACGATATGAACCTGGTACACGTCCGGTTAGCAAGTCTCTGATGATTCCTCTGTCAGAGACGCGCGCGCTTACGGTTGGGAAAGTCGCGACATGGTCGACTAGGAAATTATCGTCTAGTGAGGGGAGATAAGCCCCGCCTCCATCAACGAACTCCAACGTGGTTTCGACATCCAAGCACAGAGAGTCCGGTGCCTCGACGACTCCAATGATCTTCTCCGCCTTCTTCTTGACAATTCTCTGCTGGCTGGACAGGTGCTTGAGCACTGCGCCAGCCTCATTCACGGTCGTTGTGGTGGTGATATAGATCAGCGAGACATCGGAAGCTAGTGGCGCGGAGGCCGGATCCGCGAGGAATCGTTCATAGACAGACTTGAGCGACATCTTGCGCACGAAGAGGACGGTGTCTGCGATGGAGATTCCAGGCCAGATGCGCTTTGTTGTGACCTATCTCCTCTCCAAGCGCGGGCCGCGGGGGCAAAGTGAAACAAATCGCGTGGGGACGAGAGAACGGGGAGGCGCGTGGAAGGACGAGGAACGCGGGCTATAATAATGTGTTGGCGAGTATGCTTGTTATTACTGCCAGACGGGATGGCTCTTTGTTTTGGGTCAGATGCAGAGTCTCACAGAGGAAAACAACCACAGGGTCGCATCCAGCATCTTTTGAGGGCGCGTCCCATCCGATCGAGCCCCTGGCATGTCTTGTCACGGCAATCTCAGCCGTCCCTTCTTCGGCTGCGACACTTTCTAGCACAGGCGCCATCCCGTCTCTGACAGGCGCACGGCTATTGCCAGACACGCCAGTGTTTCACGTCTGCGCTTATCGCTGGCGCGACACAACCTATGGTGGTTACTGTAGTAATTACTACTGTCCAGGGCTATCGCGGTGCATCAAGCAGCATGTTCAAAAGGGTGCTTGCTCCGAGATGAGCAGGTTGATCAGTTGTTTCTCTAGATCTAATTGATGCCTGTAAACAAACAAACGTCGTCAAGGCTATCCGCATACATACAAAGTATGTGACCATCCGACATAGATAGGACTCGGTAGGCGAAGTTTGCTCAGCACCTGAGCGCCGGGTGGCCTAGGTTGCTGACGCTACAAGCGCCAGGCGTACAACAGCTGAGACGCTGCGATTCCAACCTCGATTCCAGGCCAAGCACATCCTAATTTCCCCGCTCCATGACACTCGCTATCCACGCTGTCTCCAAGGTCTCTCCTCTGCTCCCAACTTATGGCGACGCGCCTGGGCGCCCTCTGGGTGCGGGATTTCGTGGGAAGGGCGGGGATCGTCCAGAGGACCCTCTACTTTTCCGGCGCTGAATCAAATCCAGCTCATAATACTTGCGCTTATAGTGTTCTATTCGAGCATGAATTGGATTAGTGGCACGTCATGACAGCCATCCGTCAATGATGGACAAAGGACTCACCCTAAGTAATCTTCTTTGATTGTCCCGATCGCATTGATAGCAGCCACATCAGGCTTTACACCAAGAATCTTCAGACGCAGACTAGTGCCCTTCTCGATGACTTGATCGCCGTGATCTGTATATTGCGGAGGGACCGTGTTCGGCTCCCATTTGATGTCCGAGGGGATGTTCTGATCAGTTGTGAGCGGCGAAGATCTTTTCCTGGCTGAAGATCAAAGCACCTACCTTCCGCGCAATGAAGACAGACAACGGGCCAGCCAGAGTAAAGATGCCAGTAGGTTTGACGGATGTCACAATAGCATCCACCTAAACGCTCCTCGTCAGTGTAAAGGCCCAGAAAAAATCAAGAATAAATCTGGGAACACACCGTCTCTCCTCGGAAGGGCTTCCATATAATTGCTCGATACTGGATCGTATATTCTGCATGTCCACTGCCTGGAATCACCCGCCCTTCCCCAATTTCAACCATATCCATAACACAGATCACGAAATGGTCGCCTGTACATCGCCCCTCCTCCTCTTCGTTCAACCGGTTGATGAGGTACTCCTTGACGTTGGGACCGAAATAGGACGGATGAAGGGAGACGACCTTCGTCTCTTCTTTGAGGAAAAACATATTGACGCGGTTTAAACGAAGGTAACTCCAAAAGATCGCGGCTCAAAAAAGGAGGGGTATATTGCAGATGCGTCCGGAGATGACGGATAGACGCCCAGCTCGCAAGCCCTTTCCTAGGGAGGCGGCGTCTCGAGTGACGATGTGGTCTGAAAGTATGATATGCGGCGGTATGAAAGAAACAGGACTATTGCGCGCGTCGCGAACGAAGGTGTACGGTGTGGATATCTGCGTACGAAATTGTCCGATCAGCTTGCCATAACTGCCAGGGCCCGCAATAATGTTTGCGATATCGAGCTCAGGACGAACAGGAGTTCCCCCAAAAAAGGAACGGCCAGAAAGAAGTCGAAGAGCCAGTTGCTGGCCTTCGAGTCTCGTAACGAAAGGTGACGATTGCGCTGTCGTTGGCCGCACCGAACGTTCCAGTACTACTGACTGCAGTATGGCGATCTGCCAGAGTACCGAGCTCGCGACATCACATGACGTGCAACGAAGTAGGAAAGCCAACCCTCGGCTCGCCCATGTTCCCCATCTATTCACATGGTGACATGATTAACCCCAAACAATTACGTTGATCGCTAGTCTTCTCCCTGTGCCAGACCTATTTCTCCACCTCCATCTCGCGTGTCTGCTTTCTGGAATAACTTTATCAGACGCATCCGAATATACTATCTTGTCTTATCTTGGCTTCAAGATAGACTTAGTGGTCTCTAATAGTTGCATACAAAACAATCCAACACCATGCCTCTAAACTTGGAGAAACAACTTCTTTTTGTAAGTCCGCCAAGATCCGCTATCGTTCTACGATGAAAAGGCTGACATCAAAACCTCCCAGTATGGTGCCTACCATCACAATCCAGTAAGATGACCAACGGATCCCGAATTATGCTGTCAACCATTCGCTCATCCAACAACAGGTCAATGTCGGGATTCATATGACATTCGTCCCCATTCTCCTAGCGACAGGCTTCCTTCTGGTATTCCTGTCTTCTTTCCAACGATCCGCGGATTCCGGCTGACGAGACGAACCAGGCTACGAACACACCTACCTTGTTTACCCTTCCTAATGCGCTGCAGTACAAGTATCTCCCTCCCAATCTCGGAACGATCGGTGGTTTCGTCTACTCGTTCATATATATCTTATTGGAACCTGTGGCCGGAGCTCTCATCGCGCCGGGGATCATCGGGACAACGGCATTTGTGAACTACCTGACCATGACTTATGGTATGACTGCAACTTATTGGGCAGCCGCTGTTCACGTCGTGTCATGGCTGGTCCAGTTCATCGGCCACGGCGTTTTTGAAAAGAGGGCACCCGCCCTGCTGGACAATTTGATCCAAGCCTTCCTGCTCGCTCCGCTCTTTGTCTGGATGGAGATCTTGTTTGCCCTAGGATACCGTCCGGAGCTGAAGTCGAGGCTCGACACGGCTGTGGAAAAGGAGATTGCTCGTTTTAAACAGCAGAATGGTTCTGCGAAAGCGGCGAACGCAAAATAAATATACCAGCCGCTGTTTTCGCAGGAATCGTCAAAGACGTATCATGGTGTGTCCGATCTGTATCACGAGGAAGACCAGGTCTCACGCGCAGCAAAATCTGATTTTATGCCGCTTTGTAGCATTGGCACATCATTGAGCATGGGAGTCGACGCATGGTAAAAACTGTTCTCTCCGCTCTTTAGCAATAACGATCGTTCGGCGTTGGGTTTCCATGCGACGTTTCGCTCCTTCATTCCCAGCCGCGGGTGTCGACGAGGAACTTGGGACCCGACTGGGTGACTAAGCAAGCTACCGCTTTGCAGGTCAGTCTTTTTCGGCTTGCTACACTACTATCTAATCATCGAGTGAGCAAAGACGCTGTTACGAATAATGAAATCAAACAATTTGAAACCATTGTGTGCAGCAGTTGCCGGCTTCCTCCGGCGTAGTTACCAGCGCAACTGGCGAGGTCGACAACGAGCTGTGCCAGCGTGTACGGAGTAAACGGTGCGCGTTGGCAGGCAAAGCCTGTTATGCGGTTGCTGTGACGAAAGTCACCTGAGCGAGCTAGCAGCCGCAGATCCGAGAAAGCAGGACGGGATGGACAGGTGTACTCAACCGAAGGCAGAGAGGACCAGGACAACGCCTCTTGACCTCGATAGAAAGCGAATTGAGCGGGTAGTAAATCGTGGATCAACTTGCAGAGAAGTAATTGCATCTGTTACAGCCAGAGTCGCTGGTAGACACCCTTTTTTCCCCGTCCATCCGGGCACTGGGTGGACACGGCTGCAACGGACGCACTAAGGGCCGATTCGGAGTTGCTGGGGCTCTCGGCAAACTAGGCTTAGCCTCGACCTGAGAAACCTCCTCCCCCGACGACAAAGCTCTCCTTCCATCCATCCACAATCCTTTCCCTCCAACCACCCTCCTCCCCAATTGCATCTCTCCTTCAGAGAAACCCTCTCTACTCCCTCTGAACCTCCTTCACAATGTTCAGGAACGCTCTGCGGCAGTCTGGCCGCACTGTGACCGCCGTCTCTGCCACTGGCAGGATCGCTTCGGTGAGCCCATCCCATCCAGCCCGGTCCCATCAACCCATCCAGCGACGACAACATCCCGAAAGGCCTTTCAATGGATGGTCTCTGGGCATCTCCGGACCCCTCAATGGCCATTGCGATCAGTTTCACGCGTCTTGAGTCGAATGTGCAGTCGTTAACAAATTTTCCGTCGCAAATAGGTCCGCGCGGCTACCCCCGGTCCCCTGGCTGGTGCCTCCAAGCAGATCCGTTCCTACGCCGCTGAGGCCAAGGCCTCCCCCACTGAGGTTTCCTCCATCCTTGAGCAGAGAATCCGTGGTGTTCAGGAGGAGTCTGGTCTCGCTGAGACTGGACGTGTCCTTTCCGTCGGGTATGACCGTTCCGCTTCCCCGGCAAACATTGGCAAAGAGCATCTCTTGGTCAATTCCCGCTTAAAACGCGAATTTAATGTCTACTGAGATGGTTCAACTAATATATTGGTGAACAGAGATGGTATCGCCCGTGTTCACGGTATGACCAATGTCCAGGCTGAGGAGCTGGTCGAGTAGGTTCCACCTTGATATCTTCATATATAACGTGTGAAAAAAAGCAGCTACTAACGAGCTCTAGGTTCGCCTCCGGCGTCAAGGGCATGTGCATGAACTTGGAAGCCGGCCAGGTCGGTGTCGTGCTTTTCGGTTCTGACCGTCTCGTCAGGGAGGGTGAGACTGTCAAGCGTACTGGAGAGATCGTATGTCTTAAGTTGCCTTGTCATTTCGTCGGTTTTTGGACTAATTTCGCGACTAGGTCGATGTTCCCGTCGGTCCTGAGCTTCTGGGCCGTGTCGTTGACGCTCTTGGTAACCCCATCGATGGCAAGGGTCCCCTCAACACCACTCAGAAGCGCCGTGCTCAGCTCAAGGCTCCTGGTATCCTGCCCCGTCGTTCCGTCAACCAGCCCGTCCAGACCGGTCTCAAGTCTGTCGACTCCATGGTTCCCATCGGCCGTGGTCAGCGTGAGCTGATCATCGGTGACCGTCAGACTGGAAAGACTGCCGTCGCCCTTGACGCCATCCTTAACCAGAAGCGTTGGAACAGCACCGCCGATGACAGCCAGAAGCTCTTCTGTGTCTACGTTGCCGTCGGTCAGAAGCGTTCCACCGTCGCCCAGCTCGTCAAGACCCTTGAGGAGAACGACGCTATGAAGTACTCCATCGTCGTTGCTGCCACTGCTTCCGAGGCTGCTCCCCTGCAGTACATTGCTCCCTTCACAGGAACAGTATGTCTCTCCTCGACCCTTCACAATTCCTCTCGGACAACAGATCGTTTCTCATCCACTTCTTGGTAACTAACCTATCACTTAGGCAATGGGGGAGTACTTCCGTGATTCTGGCAAGCACGCCGTCATCGTCTATGATGACCTGTCCAAGCAGGCCGTCGCCTACCGTCAGATGTCTCTGCTGCTTCGTCGTCCCCCCGGTCGTGAGGCCTACCCCGGAGAGTGAGTTGCATTTTAAATATATTTTCCTGACCGCAGTCTCTTTTCTCTTGCTAATGATCGCAGTGTCTTCTACCTCCACTCTCGTCTCCTTGAGCGTGCTGCCAAGCTGAACGAAAAGCACGGTGGTGGCTCCCTCACCGCTCTGCCCATCATTGAGACCCAGGGTGGTGATGTCTCTGCCTATATCCCCACCAACGTCATCTCCATTACCGACGGTCAGATCTTCTTGGAGTCTGAGCTCTTCTACAAGGGTGTCCGTCCCGCTATCAACGTCGGTCTTTCCGTCTCTCGTGTCGGTTCCGCTGCCCAGGTCAAGGCCATGAAGCAGGTTGCCGGTTCCCTGAAGCTGTTCTTGGCTCAGTACCGTGAGGTTGCTGCCTTCGCCCAGTTCGGTTCCGATCTCGATGCCTCCACCAAGCAGACCCTCAACCGTGGTGAGCGTCTGACTGAGCTTCTGAAGCAGAAGCAGTACAGCCCCATGAGTGTCAGCGAGATGGTTCCTCTCATCTTCGCTGGTGTCAACGGTTTCCTTGACAACATCCCCGTCGCCAAGATCCTCACCTGGGAGGCTGACCTCCTTGCTCACCTCAAGAGCAGCGAGCCCGAGATCCTGTCCACCATCGAGAAGGAGGGTCAGGTCAGCAAGGAGCTTGAGGCCAAGCTCCGTGATGTCCTCAACGCCTTCAACAAGAGCTTCAGCGCATAGGTGAGCAAAAGACAATCGGGTGATTAGTCCACCATGTACTGTTTTTTCCTGACGCTATGTGTATAGACAAGATAGCTTGTGTACAATTTGAGACCAGTATTTTCCTTTGTTGTTAAAGCTCTCAAGGTCAGAATGCTGGTCTCAGCTCGACCCCTGTAGTCTTTTTGTCCAAAGTTCGGGGCTCTTCCGCTCTCGAGCGTAAGGGTTATTGGTTTACGAAAAAGTTATATCCTGTACATCTAGATCCAACCGCATGCAAGAGGGCTGGTCGGTGATGGACGGGGGAAGATTCGGAACTCTGGATGAAAGGGTTGCATTCCAAATCATTTTTCACTATACTTCAATCAGCCGTCATGGCAGCTGGGACTTAACATGTAATTTCTTATGTTTCCAATGACCTATTTCCAAACCAAACATTCGTGATGCTTCCCCGTGTAGATGTAACCTGGATTAAGTCCATGTACGCGCAAAACTCATATCCGTAAATGGCGATTCTATCATCCTTCTCAGTCAACGTATTACAGATGTCGCAGCTATAGGACCGGTACTTCATAAACAAAGCAGACAAATATTAGTTATCCCCACTGCCCCCACACGAATAATAACAGGTTAAGACTGGTCTGGGGGGGGGGGGGGGGGGGGGGGGGGCGTAAGGCGAAACTAGTACGGAGTAGCTCAGTAGATACTCTTAAGTGAGATGCTCTGATGCCTGGCTGTTTTCAGTATGGCAGGCGCTAGGACCAATATGTGAAGTAAAAATGAGCGGTATATCTGCCAAAAAGGTTCAAATTTTGTATACAGAGTATTCTCAAGTTTTCGGTAGAGGGTTGATATTTAAATTAGGGCTCATTTTATCCTTATTTCGGACATGGGACGATAATGCGGTGTGGTAGATGCTGAGTATTTACGTAAGTGCAGTATATAGTTATTTTTAACTAGCCAGTAAGTGATAATTGAATAAAATCGTCAAGAGTGAGATATCTCTATCCTGGTTTATATACCCTACCAGTCTGGCTATACTAAATCTACTGGTTTGACCTGCCCCGCTTGCTATGCCCTTGTCTATTTGGTCTGTCCGTCATCTCCAGCTCTAGCTCTGCCAGCTCAACGAGGTATGCCACAGTCAGCCGAGAAGCTAGATATGCTCTATGGAAATAAACTAGGTAGTATTGTCTAGGCTAAGATGTGACTGAATTTCAAATCTCACTGCGGGTTGGATTAGTCCATGCTTAATGGTATATATAGCCTCGCGCGAAAGGCATAACTTGCAGCGAGGGACTGCGGACTGCTGTACGTCCTTTACTCATGAGAGCTACAGAGTCAAGTACGACCAATTAGACACTTGAATAAGCTCATTATTCCAAGAGTACAATACAAAATGAAGTATGCATTCGCACTGGTACATATGGAAAGGTAGATGTGAGGTACATACAAATTGCGGCAGTGCCTACGTTATCGATAAGCGAGTGGACTTGCCCGTATCAAAAATTTGTTCGGACCCCTCCACATCCCGCCATTGCGATCGCGAAACTGACTACCGGATTCCTCCCCTCTTGCTCCATATATAAATTCAGCTGGCGCATCAATGGCGGCGAGCACAGAAGCAGCTCCAGCGGCCTGTAAGGTCGTGCTGGCCAAGAATGTGGCCAACGGTTTGCTTCAAGAGGTCCATGAGGGCTTGAAGGCCTTGGAGAAGGGCCCTCATCTTGTCGGCTTCCTGGCCAACAATGACCCTGCCGCGCGCATGTATGCGGATTGGACGGCGAAGACTTGCTCGGAAAAGTGAGTAATTTCCTGCGATTTCTTAGTATATCCTGCCTTGAATTTCTATGCATTGGGAGCCTTCGTCGTCTCTCGCGGGATGGTGCTTGAGTGCAATAACTACATTCTTCAGCCCTCTTGACATCGCAACTCAAGAGTAGAAACAGACCGGTCAGCTAACCACATGGCCCGTCTGTAGTGGATTCCGTTATACCCTCCGCGAAGTCTCAAAGGAAACTATTGAAGAGGCAATCCTGGCTGCCAACACCGACAACGAAGTCGACGGAATTATCGTGTACTACCCGATCTTCAACAACAGACAAGACCAGTACCTCCAGCAGATCGTCGATGTGTCGAAGGATGTTGAGGGTCTCAGTCACCGCTACATCTTCAACATGTACCAAAACATCCGTTTCTTGGACCCGGAAACTAAGCGCCAGAAGTCGATTCTGCCCTGCACTCCGCTGGCCGTGATCAAGATTCTCGAATACCTCCACATCTACAACACAATCTTGCCTTATGGTAACCGGTTGTTCGGAAAGACAATCTGTGTCGTAAACCGTTCGGAGGTTGTTGGCAGACCGCTTGCGGCGCTATTGGCCAACGACGGTGCTCACGTATACAGCGTCGACATTACGGGTGTCCAGGAGTTCACTCGTGGCGAGGGTATTAAGAAGCGAAGACACGAAGTCGTGGACAAGGAGGGCTGGACTCTAGCCGACTGTGCTCCCCTGTGTGATGTTGTCATCACTGGTGTTCCTGGGGACAAATTCAAGTTCGACACGAAGCTCCTGAAGGAGGGTGCTGTTTGTGTGAACTTCTCCAGTGAGAAGGTAAGGGAGACAGGGCCCCTTGACCAGTCCCCAAGAGAAAACATTACTGACGTCCTCGAACAGAACTTTGGACCCGAAGTGAAGGAAAGGGCGTCCATCTTTGTCCCCTCCATCGGAAAGGTCACCATTTGCGTTCTGATGAGAAACCTTTTGGTAAGTGGATTAATTTTATTACCTGTGAGAAGCTGTGTCTGACTTCTCTCTGTAGAGACTTGTGCAGAACCGAAGGGCGGATGATGCGAAGCCCGCCGCCCCAACGGAGAAGCCCGGTACCCTTGAAGCCAGCTCATAATTAGATTAGTCTCGTTGAAGATGATGAATTTGGACATAAAGGCTAAAAGTATAGACACTGCGGAAATGGGTTCTTTAAAAAACATTGAGATAATCTCAGAAACGTCCATGAATCGTGAAAAATCCCATGATCCTCTAATAGGGAATGAATGCGTGTTCTAAATGGAGGATGAAATTATGTACATATATGCAGTGATGATGGCGTTAGAGTTACAAATCCAGAATATTCGTGATAGCTTATTGCAACTAGGTAGTGGAAGAAATTTGGCCTTCTAGAAATCAATATTCCATGACGAGAGAACGTTCTGCTCGATTATCTGAAGTACCATTCAATCTAACCAATTGGACAAACACACGGTTGAATGACAAATACTTATTCGCTAATTCGCTTCTTCCTTGGTAATTTGTTTCAACTTTTTTGGAATCAAAATTCTAGCTATCCATGAAAACTTATTGCCCCTTCCTTGCTGCCTCCCTCGACGCAAGTCCCAAGACGTCGATTTCATTCGCAAGCCACTGTCGGAACGGCTCCGGATGGAAGACACCGTCTGATGAGAACCAGGCGGTGAGCGACGTCTCGATATCTTTCTCCTGCAGGACCTTTCCTTCAGGAGAAGTGTACTTGACATTGATCTTGTAGAGCGGAGAATGCTTCTTCGTTGAGGAACGGACGGTTATCTGTGATTTGAGCTCCAGGTTAGCTAGGCCAATCTTCACCAATACCCGAACGTCCCCAATTGAACGCGAACATAACAGAAAAACAGCGAAGTATACCTTTTCACCCGTCTTCCTCTTCCCACGAAATACCTCTCCAGCTTCTACCCCCCACACCCAGTACGTCAATATAGAGTTCAACGCGAAGTACGCGATGACAGCTGGCAGAACCCAGGGAGCATTTGTAGATTCCCATCCAAGCTTCCTGTCTACGTAGAACATGCCAGCTGCGATTGCGACAGCGGAGTAACCCAGAGCGAAGCGGACATTCGAAAGCGTATGGTCTTGAGTAAAGGTGTAGGGTTCGGGGAGACTTGTTAAGTACGGCGCAAGGGCGTCATCGGTGGTGTTTTTGAGGTCTTTTGAAATTAGCTATACATTCAACATACTCAAAAAGGATCCGTGATCGCAGAGGCAAGATAAATAGAAGACACTCAAGCCAGGTAAAGCAGAAAGTAAGCAAAGCACGAACCGTTCAGTGAGTAAACAGGTACCTTGGGTACCGTCTCGGAAGCCATTGTTGAGACAAATATACTAAGTACTAATGCAGTACTCAGGAAGAAATATCAGGTAAAAACTGCAAGCAACCGTTATCTCTGTGCTCGAGATTGAGAAGCTCTTCGATACCTGCGACGACGCGGAGTTGCGGAGAGCTGTCCCCTTCGCGGGCAGCTACGGTAAAGCGGCGTGCGATATGCGCTAACCGCCCTCACTTTGACTGGCGACTTCAACCTCACCTCGAACCGCCAGAACAAGTTATTCCCTCCACCAAACCACCGCAGCTGAGTCGCAATGGCGGTCCAAGGGGTCGAGCAGACGATCCTTCGGGATCCAGCTCTATTGTGAGTCTCCCTGGAGCAAACATAATCTAGTTTGTGCGAGGAGCAATGGCTAACATGGGTCCGTGAAATAGCTACTGGATCTTATTCCCAATTTCCATAGTCATGGTACGTTCTACATTAAGAATCATTATCATGTCTCGGGGCTGATATATTTGTTTCTGTATGGATAGATCTTGACCGGTATTCTCCGTCACTATGCCACTGTCTTGATGAACTCGCCTCCCAAGCCGCCCTCCACGCTGAAAGAAGCTCGCGAGCGTCTTGGTCTCTTTCGCGGCGTGAGCCTACGTACCAACGCCTCTGCAGTTCTTACGCCAGAATCTTTCGAAGTGCGCAAGAACTATCTTATTGCTGCTTATCAGAGTGGAGCTTTCCTTAAGGACCCTGAAAATCGCGGACAGCCGCCGGCGAATCCCATGACGGATCCACAAGGCATGGAGGCCATGATGGGGATGATGAAGGGAAATATGATGATGATGATTCCTCAAACGCTGATTATGAGCTGGATCAATGCTTTCTTCTCCGGATTTGTCATCTGTATGTGCTCAGTTCGCCGTCTCTGATGTCGAATATTCGCAGAATCCTGCTTGGACGAAAGTGCTGATAACCGGTTGCCTAGTGAAATTGCCATTCCCGCTTACCATCCGTTTCAAGTCCATGCTCCAGTCTGGTGTCATGACCCGCGATCTCGACGTGAGATGGGTGTCCAGTCTCTCGTGGTACTTCCTGAATCTGTTCGGTCTCCAGTCAGTCTTCGGATTTATCCTCGGTAGTGACAATGGTGAGTTTACTGATATTTATACATGACAATTCCTTCAGGAGTATACATTCTAATCACTTTCCAGCTGCCAACCAAATGGCTGCTCAGATGGCGGGAATGAATCCTGTCGCGGCGAACCCTTTCCAACCCGGCCAGGACCCTGACAAGATGTATCGAAATGAGGCTGAAAATTTGGAAGTTATGGAGCACTACTGTATCCTCGACGGTATTGAGGAGAGGCTGTTACACAACCTGGAGTAAGGAAATTAATACCTAGATTTAGCAAGTCCTGATAGAGACCACTACCAGGAGTTATGTAGTCACTCGGATGTTAATAGAGTTTTGGCAGATGTGACGCTCAAAGTATTTCGTCTGCGGAATTGTCTTGAATGGATTGTAGTAGATAAAATTAGATGGGAGATACACCTCGCCAGAGAGTAGAGACAAGCACATTAGCAGACCGTTGCATCAAGTCGAGTATAGACATTCCCTGCGCAATGGACGCTGTTCGTCCTGCCAATAAATGAATAATAATGTGTATATTAACGCCATAAGCTACCTTGACTCCATTTCCTCCAAGCTCATGATCATTCGTGCAGTTGTTCACTGGTAGTTCACCACTCCCTTGATAATCCACACCTCTCCATTCGACACTTGCGAGGCGACACTATCCACTTCGATATTGCCAGGTTGGATCTATTGATATTAGCACCGGCATTGTTTATTAAAATCAATGTTACAATACTCACGTATAACTTATCCCCGTCTTTGGTCCAACTGAGCTTGCGCCCGCCGAGCGTCTCGATTTCTTCCCCTTCCTTCCACGGACTCGCAGGAACGAGGTGCGCCTCTACAAACCTCCTCAGGTTATTCTGAGCTCGATCCTCTCCTTCTGGCCCCTTGTAAGCGTCCACTTCTCCAAAACGTTCGTAGTCTTCCGGATCCTCCCAAGGCTTCCGCGGAAGGGCCTGGATGGCACTGTTCTTCGGCGCGAGCACTGTAGTGTTCTTTGATTTATCATTAAGGCGCGTCGAGACGGGTTCGAAATCTCGAGTCAGACCCGCAAATATATTTACTGAACGGGTCTTGGAGAGAATATCGGAGACGATGAGGTTGGAGGTTGGATCGTTCTGCTTGGATTTCGATGGAGGATTTACATCCTCGTCTGGAGCCGTCGAGGGCGGGACGACTATATTGGGCCCGATACCCGGATTAGAGGCGCCCATTATGGGCCTCTGGTTCTGGTGTTTATGATTGTTCTGCTGAAGGAGAACTCCGTGTCCTGGATGAGGGGCGTTGATAACGGGAAGCGGTAGACGGGTTCGGCCTGTGACGGACACGGGAAGAATAGCAGATGCAGTACAAGCTGTGGATGTCAGAAATACAATAGATGTCAGGATATAGCTCTTCATGGTTATTAAAATTTAACTATGACATAGGTCTCAAGTAGAAGCAAGATGGCTATCTGACTATCTTGCTGTCTGGGGGCCTGTCGTCACAACGTCAATCTGCACGTGATGTGGAGGTGATCTTGATCACGTGTATCTTATCGATAAGGGTAGCAGCGCCGGCCACAAAAGCGTCATGTCCAACTCCAAAGGTGGATTAGGTGCCCCTCACGAGCCTGTAACGGCTTTCGGTCAGCAAGATGTCAGCCCTGCAGACCTTTATGTTGGTCGCGGACCATGATAAAGAAGAAGCCAAGCGAATTGCTGAGCAGACCGCCAAAGGTGCGAATCGCTTTTTTCCCCTTACAGGAAGACCACTTACTAATGGCCTTTCAAGATGTTGAGAGCAAGAAGACATCTTTAGTGGACGTCGTACAATCCTTGGGAGAATATATAAATGACGAAGACCCTATACTGCGAGGGAAGGCTGTCTCATATCTCACCGCAGTCATAAAGTCCTTGCCTCCGAAATTTCTTTCCAGACAACAGATTCAGGTCTTGACGACGTTCTTTTGCGATCGTATCGAGGATGGCGGCGCAGTGGCTGGTCTTGATACCCTCCAGAGGCTGGATAGGTTTAATAAGGATATGGCGCAAGAGGTAGCAGTAGCGTGAGTAGACTTGTTCACTATGCTGTGATGCTCGCCGTCTCCATCGGGAGATTCCATTTGCGAAACATTTTCGTAATCATATATCTAAGAGGATGTACTAACCAGATTACAGGATGTTTGAGAATTTTCAAGAACTACAGGCTCGCCCACAATCCCAAAGGTTCCAGGTATATCAATTGCTGAACGAATTGATGTCGAACCATAGAAAAGGTGCGTCATCTATTGCGCTTGTACACTATAGGAGCTCCTACTGATCTGGAATAGCCCTGCATGAGATGGGTGATGAGTCGCTAGTTGGGATAGTGGACCTTATGACTGGAGAAAAGGATCCACGAAATCTCATGCTCGCTTTCTCTATACTGAAGGTGGTGATGGTGGAATGGGATATAAAGAATCATATTGAGGTACTGTCCCTATATTCTCTGAAAGAATATCCCACGCTGACTAAAAAAGACACTTTTTGATTCCGTGTACAACTATTTCCCGATTACATTTCGGCCACCGCCTAATGACCCCTACGGAATTACGGCTCAAGACTTGAAGGATCGCTTGCAGGATTGTATCTCGTCGAATAGCTACTTTGCTCCTCACTCATTTCCTGCTTTACTTGACAAGTTGGACTCTACGTCCCCGAATGTCAAGGTATGCGCTACAATTCTTTTCAAGCTTCCTCTATCGTCTCTGACATAGATACAGAAAGATGCCCTTAACGCTCTGCTTGCCTGTGTGCGTTCGTATGATCCAAATACAGTATCAAGGTTCTCCATCAAGATCTGGGAAGCTCTCAAGTTTGAGATTTTTAATGCCCAGGAAGAATTCCTTTCGGAATCATCGCTTCAAGTTCTACAGGCTATTGCGAAGCGACTTTCTGAAGGTGTAACGCAAGTTTCTCAAGAGCTTCCTCTCGCGCACTTCTTGCAGCCGATTAACAAGGAGTGCAATGAACAGCTGAGAGAGCCTCAGCAAAAGCAAGCAAAACCAGGACGACAAATCTTGAGATCATTGTCGTCAGCATCAGCCGTTTCCTTTATTCTGATGGTGCAAGCTGTGGTGGCTCCTCTATTCACTGTCTATCAGGAGGCAGACAGCATCACGAAACAAAGAGGGCTTTTAGAGACATTTGTGGCGCTTTTCGACTCCGCTATCGACATATTCGGGACATGGACAAGCCGTGATCCGGAGGTTGTATTCGAAAACCCCCTGGCTGCCTTCCAGGACCAGCTGTCGGAGGTCCTTAGTCAAGCATTAATGGGCACAGCGAAGGAAGAGGTCTCATTTCGAGTTACCGCACTGAAGGGACTCTTGCGTCTATCTACCCTTCGCAAGTTCTTTCAAGACAATGAGATCGGTCTGTTCGTACAATATCTTGACGAAATCTTATTAAAAGAAGAGTCTGTTGGTCGGGACGACCTGAAAAAAGAAGCCATCGCTGCTCTAGCGGAGATCTCGAAGTATAAGCCAAGATTGATCATGGATATTACATTCCCCGCCTTCGTCGCAACGCTTCCTGACTATGCCGAAGACACGAAAACTGAGTACATGATCACGCTGGAGAGCCTGGCTCAAATCAGTGTCGAGAAAGACATCTTCGAGACTCTTGTACGCAGGCTACTTAACAAGTTCGATCTTTTGCTACAGCGGGAAGAGCCAGGTTCGGTTACTTACCCGAGAGCACTCCTGTTAACAATACTTTATGTCATGGGCAAGAGAAAACTGCAGGAAGACCAGAACTTGGGGTCTTATTACGAAAGAATCACTGTTGGTCTTTGTCGCAAAGCAGCTTCTGCAGCATCCGGAAAGGTCCCAAATAGGATATTGAACGATGCAGGCGTCCTCGACACCCTAGGAAGGCTTTCGAATCTCATAGTCAGTGCCCTTCCTAGAGGCAAGCAGGAAGAAGTTGCGGAGAACGTGTACACACTCTTCAATTCGGCTGAAATATTCAAGCCAGTTCCTTTTGCTGAAACGACAAGCGATGACTACCGCCGTACCATGATCCTGTCAACCTATCTTCTTGCAGGGCTCCCGAAAGACTCTAAAAATATACCATACACCAACCCAGATATGTCGTCACTACTGCGCGAGCTGGTTAAGCTTGCTGTGTCTGAACGTGAGCCAGCAATTCGTCTTGCTCTTCTCCGCCAACTCGCTCTTCTGGTCAATAAATTCCTTCCAAACACACAGCTCCCGCTTGCATCCGACATACTTAACTCACTCTTGCCTTCTGAGACAGAAGACAAGAGACTTGATCCCGAGAAAATCAAGACTATCTTTTGGCTTTCAAAAGCTCTGGTGCTGAGACTGGCACCGACCACAACAGAAATACTCACGTCTCTCTTATCCCTCCTCTCCTCATCCGATCAAACTACAAGCACTACGGCAGCCCGCAGCTTCGCTCTGCTGCTCGGTTCTGACGACGTACTATCGACGGATAATGGAGCAAACATTAGGTTGCTCTCCAAACAGCGCGTTTTCACCACCGTCACACCGTTGATCTCTTCTAATATCCGAGCTCTCAACACTTCGGATGGTGACTCTGCATCTCACACGCACATCAAGCCAGCCTATTTGACGGCTTTATCTGGCATCCTATCCACTATTCCACCATCACTCGTAATGCCAGAACTCCCAACACTGCTTCCTCTTCTCTTGCAAAGCTTGGACCTCGAAGACGCAGCTTCTCAACCCGTGAAAGCCGCTACGCTTGAAACGCTTGCCGTTATCATCCGCGAAAACGGCGTCCGTGTCATCGACGACAGCGGCCACGTTCAAAGTCTGGTGACCAGACTGCTAAAGACTGCGGAATACGTCCCGGGTCAACCGGCAAATAATCATAAACTCCGCGCCCAGGCCCTTCGATGTCTCTATCTCCTCGCTCATACACCCGGAGATGCTCCCGCTGTCGCGAAAGCAGGAAAGGTTTCCCCTCTACTGCCTGTGAAGAACCAAGTCGTGCGTTCTCTCGGCTTAATTCTTGATGATCCCAAACGTGACGTGCGAAAGGCTGCCGTTGATGCGCGTGGAGCATGGCTTCGCGAAGTGGATGACGAGCCAGAGAATGAGGATTAAATGATTTACCGGGGTCATCGTACCCATCTGGAGGGTAAATATTGCATATTTCTTCACGTGGATTCTTTGCATGGCCTTTTCGTGTTGCATAGGGACTTTCATAGATACTGTACCTATTACATTTTCGTTTTCTGGAATCTGAAAAGTTAAATTGACATAGTATCTCCAGTTTTTCCTTCTGTCATCACGTAGTGTGCGCCTCCTACCATATATTGTTGCTACTTAGAACTCGAGGGGAGACAAAATGTTCTTCATTCTACTTAGGCAGTATTATCAGGCGGAGTTCTGGTATCATACATGAAAAGTGAGGGGGGAGGTTGGAAAGTAACGGTTATGAATAACCCAGCTCAGCCTCAGGGGAATCTGTATCCGCCGTAGTGAAGATGGCGTAGTCAAGAGCCCGCTATTGACGAGCAGATATGGGGAGAAGTGAGTATCAGAAGAAAAAAAAAAAATAGAAAATGAGCGGAGCGAATAGGAGTCCCGAAAGAAAATGAAAGGAAAGTCATTCTGAAACAACAAAATCACCAGAATTCCAATACCTCTCTTTCTCCTGCCACGCTTGCGCTGTCCATTTCCTTGACGCTTTCCAGATCCTCGAAGTTCCTTCCCTTGGGGTCTGCTTTAACCATGGACATACTGGGAGCGCCGGTTAAAGTGCCTGCAAAGAAAGTGTTTGTTGAAAACAACACTTCAAATCCAGCTGCCTTTTTCGCTGCATCGATACCCGGGCCCATGTTCCAAAAGCCAACACTGTCCATCTTCTGCACGACAGTGCTGGCGACGCGGAACATCTCAGCAATTCCTGCTGATCCAATGGCGGCTGCAATGGGACTAGGGGTTTGCGCGCAATTCTTACTGTCTGCGTTACGTTCCTTTGCACGACCTGGGAGCACGATGTGGGCTTCGTTGCCCATGAGGTCGATAGGAGACCAGTCTTGGGTACATTCGCCTACCTCGAGGCTGGAATTAGAGTTTAAGACGTTCTCCATGGTAGGACTGACGATGGAGACTTCGTGCCACAGTCTCCCTTTCTCGATCATCTCATTCGGTGGTCCACAGCGAGCGCGGAGGGCACGGTTATCTGCAGGGGTGACACCGGTCCAGAGATCCTGGACCTCCGTGATCTTCAGGAAGACGTCTTGTTTGTTTTCCTCCCCGCAGTTGAAGTCCTCCGTCTGAGTCTGGGGTCCATGCTTCTTCTGCTTGGTATCACTCTGAGACCGCAAGGACCGGTGAAGGGTAGAACGCTTCATCAGAACCTTATCAACGTTGAGCTCATTTCCCTCCGGGATTCGAGTGTAGATTCTGAGAAGAGACCTATCTGGTGGGATCCAGAGGTTTTCGGTAATATGGCGAATCGCTCGGTCAAGCTCCTTGTCAGAGCCGTGGACTTGCTCCGTAAACCCTGAAACTACCACGTTCATATCCCAAACATGATCAGGGAAGTGAAGATTGACTGCTCCAAGAGTAACAGCCGGTTTCCTAACGGTGATGTTTCCAGCTTCATCAATGACGAGAATGACAGCTTGGTCATTCTTGGTCCGACAATGGTACTCGTATACCACAGAATAATCCGTGTACTCTTGTTCAAATAGGCGTTGCTTCCCTTCATCTTTGGAGGTCTTGAGATCCACTATATGATCCACATCCGTTCCAGATGAAGTAACTCTCTGGACGAAGTTCGTACTTGGTGCAAAGACTCCAGCTCTCGGATTGAATATTTTGTTCCATTCATCGCCCGAAATCAAATCCCCTTTATAGGTCTTCGGAAGAAGCGGTATCAATATCAAACCTACTTGCATCTCAAGTGAGAGCTTCCCTGGAAACGATTGAGCGGCGTCCAGAGTTGGCTGAAGAGCGTTGAAGAGCTGCTTCAACGTGTCTGCCGTTTTCCTATCGGATTCGGCATTCTTCGTCTTTTCTCTAAGGCTAAGAGGTTCAGCCTCCTGGCGCTTCTTCTTTGCCGGTGTCTTCTCATTTACCGTGGCAGTCACATCAGTCTTCCTGCCAAAGGTAGAACTGACTCCCCACGCATCTTCCAGCGTGGCTTGTCTCTTGGCTTTGATTGCCGCTTTGCTTGATGATGCAGTACTAGGCTTCGGTGCTCTATGGCCCATTGTGCGGCGAAACTGTCTCGTAGTGCGTTCCTCTGCCAATTGTTCGTTCTCTTTCTTATTAGCTTTTTCGAGGTCCGCCAATCTTTCCTTGTACATCATATTCGCCAGGCTGCAGGGCCTTAGTGAAGAGAATGCTACTGAAACTGCATCTAGGTCCTCTTCCAGTTCTTGAGTTGCAAGTGCATTCCTGAGTTCCAGAATTCGTGTCGTGCTCAAGTTGTCGGATTCAGTCTTGGGTGCCGTTTCAGAGATTCGAGATTCTGAGGGAGCCGTCTCATAGTCGGATAGGCTTTTCTCCTGCTCAGCATCATCGTCGACCGTTTTCGTGATAAATGGGTCAATTGTCGCTGCGCTCTCGCTCGGTCCAGGTATGAGCGCCGGCTGGTCGAAAGATAAGATAGGCTGGCCACTCGGCAATAAACTCGTGTCGGGAGGACTATCAATATCGATTAATCGCATTGATTTCAGAGACTTCTCGCCCTTCGAAGCGTTCGGGGTGTCTCTATCCGGAGTTCTGCCCCTCTCTGTCCCAGAGCTCTTTCCAGGTGACCCATACTTGTTCCTGTCAAAGTTTGATGGGAACTTGATACCAGAAACGTAGACCAATCGTTCTGGTGTTTCTGGTATGAGTCGGTTTGCAGGAATGTCAACGTCATATTGGCCTGTTATTCCCATTTGGTTCGACTGCTTATTCTCATCATTCTCCTGATATGAGGTCAATGCTGGTTGATTTTCACCCGCGTCGTAGGTCATGACCCATCTTCTGCGGCCATTATCCGATGATTCCGATATACCTTGCTTCTCAAGTGGATGTAAATCTGAAGACTCGGTACTGGGAACTGTCTTCACGAGTTTATCACTTTGTACATCGTTGCCTGAGATCAGAGGCTGGTTTTCAATAAGTGGTCTCCGTGTTTTTATACCAGCCACTTTCTTGGGTTCCGGTGTAAATGCCTGGCCGCCGCGTTCGATATCTTTGGCTGGCTTCGGTATTTGTACCATCTCTTGTTTCGCAGCTACTCCAACAGCACCCTTCTTCAACCCCTCAGAAACCCATTTCCCGACTTCCTTTACCTGCTGTTCAGTCAAGTATGGATGCTCGATCGCTGGGACTTCGGCTGCTATGTCCGACGCGGAATCTTTGCTCTCTATATCAGTATCGCAGGACCCCATCTTTGCTGCGGCCTCCTTCTCTGCTTCTGCTTCAATGGAAATGTAACTTTCTCCGTTTCCTATCTCCTGGAATTTGAAGTCCTGCCAGATACGTGATCGTCCAGGTTGACTTGTGCATGGGGTTGGCGCGTTGATGTTGTCGGGTAAAACGTATTGTTGAGTCTCGCTATCGAAGTTCAGAAGTAAGGTGATGAACATCTGGCGAAGTCTCGAAGCCATATTCGCCATAGGGTCAGCAAGGATGCGACGTAATGATACTTCATTGATGGTGCTGCAATTTGCAATGCGGAAGCGAACACCATCTTCCTCCGGGGCTTGTAGGATATGTGCTATTCTAGGACGTGCAGCAAGCGACTAGGAAGTGTTAGTATGCAAGCATATATTACCTCAAAGCAAATGGGCGAGCTTCGCACTCACCAGTGGTTTCTCGATTCTGGAAAGCTTCTCTAAGGCGTCATCAACGTCATCCTCGTTGTTGCCTGACACCTGGATACGTTTGATATCATCCTTGACAGATATATCTGTTCCCGTAAGGCGGGCAACTTCCGCTAGGATATCCTCAAATGCACACTCAAAACAACCAAGGCCCCCGTTTGCAGAAAGCCAGTACCTGGTGCAGCGAATGTTCGGAACAGATACGGTCTCCTGGTCGGAGTCGTTTTCGAATTCCAACAGCGTTTCTCTGCGGTTCTTTTCCGGCGTGCTCTCATGGCTTTCAATACCATCTATATCAACTATGTCTGATACTTCGATCCGACGAACCCGAGGCACCTGTTTCGTGTCAATCTCAGCAACACATTTTCCATTTACACTGATTGTGAGAGACGTACGTCCAGTAGGTCTTTATTCCTCTGCTCATCAATGAAATCAGGCATCAAGTTGCCGAACTTGGACGTTGACTTATCGATGTCATTCGTCTTAATGACGAAAGCCTGTATAAAAGTCATCAGACCATACGTTGAAACCATTGTCAAACGGGGCTCTACCAACCTCGTCGTCAGATGCATACTCAACAGTATCTCCAGCAACGAGAATATCCGACCTAAATAACGTAAGCTATTGGAAACGATGTGGTCATAGTCACAATGCACGCACTTATAACTTTCACGTATCTCGTGTACCTAAATTCGGATCGTCTTTTAGCACTGGTTTCTGCGGATATCATAACAAAATACTCGAGCGCAAACTTACACCTGTATCCTCAAAGAGCCAGGTCGAGGCTACGGTAAGCCTCTGCTTGGCTTCCATGGCCGTAGTAACACTCTCAATTATCTTGATCAAAGATGCAACCGTTCCAGCTGGGGGATCTGCTAGTAGCAGTCTTCCACACCAGTGGTGAATCGGAGCTCCCAGTCTAGAGCGCAATGAAGGGAGAACAGTTATCGAAGTTAAAGGCGCTGCTCGTTGGATGTCCTCTGGTCACCTCGATGATGCCAGTCGTGCCTAACGTAGGATGGGATATGCCAAAGGTCTCGATCACGGGTTCCTGGAGGTCAGCAACCAAGGTATCCTTTAAAAGTGTATCAGTCCTCCTACCCCCACGTGTCCCCATTCAATATCATATGAAGAAGTGGGCGTTGATGATCGGAGAATTCGCTTATGACGTGGGAAGAAAGTGAAAGAGAAAAGAATGACCACGCATCCGGCATTATAGGAGCAAAAGCGGGGTCAAACGTGAAGACACAGGAGATGTCCAACCAGGCGTGCAGTTAATGCGGATTCCTCGTTATTAACAACAATACACAAATGAAAAAATGGTGAAAGAAGCCTGACGGTGACGGCACTGAGATGCGGATTCACGCATAATCCGCGACTAGCCCTTGATCACCACCCACCAATATATCAAAAAGTAAAGGGAAACCCCTTGAGAATCAATTCGATCTCTTGGTAAATAATTCACTAGTTTATACATCTTCAATGATGATCTTGGCCTTTATTCTTGTCTGTGGATTATATCAATATTGACATGAGAATCCTCCAAAATTGCCGCAGCCCCTCGACCAGATTATCCTTGCTACAGTGGATAAAGATAAAATCGTATGAGGAAAGGTGGATTACTTGCTCGGCCTGATATATCCAGCAATTCCTATAGCTGATAGCAAACAAGTACCGCTGGAGTTGGGTCTTTTTCTTTAGAATATCTATCCAATTAGACCAACAATGCGGAAGGCCCAGGCACCCTGGCAGACTTCCATCCTCGTCTCTTCGGAGTCGAATTCGGTCGTCTATCTACCACAACGAAATATATATGTCCATTTTATGCATTATGTTCAATTGGGTATACGGTACTCTGCTATTCTCGCGATTCGCCAGCCAACATTATGGCCTTACATAGATGCTGCCAGTCAAATCGAGACATGGCAATGATGAGGAAAGACGCGACGCCAGAGGTATTTCAAACAACACCAGCAATGCAGACTTCAGACAAAAGACCGGAATATTGCATGCTCCCCGCCCTATGTACACCTTCCCTCTATCTGGAAGAGAAGCCCCCCATCCATATGAAGCTTCCCGCTCATGATCGTCATTAGTCGCATGTCTGGGGTCATAATTGTAAGGGATTCGAATATCAATATGTATGAGGCGCAGAGTTGTTTGGGTCTGGTAAACATTGCAAACGGCCCTCGCCAAAGGGTCATCTATACAAGAATTGAACGGTCGATAGAGTTTGCGTATAATGTTCAAAAAAACTCCTTCGTGTCCACAATTGTGGATAAAGCATCGGTCGAACTCCATAGCATTGTTCGGACCGCGCGCCAAGCCTGACGACTCAGTGGTGATGATAATGTATTATGAGAAGGATGGTACCAACGGAGCCAACACTTTGTCGATATTGGTCACACAGTAAAAAGGGCGAAATAAGGTTTAGGGAACGGAATCCCAATTCAACGGAGATTCTTCCACTCTGTTCATTCGGCTCCCTTAACCTCTTTTTTGACCTGGATGGTCCATTTCATTTTTGCTTCGGTCTCTTTGAGCGAAGCAAGCGCCTCATCGATAATCTTATCCTTCTGATGGCCCTTCTCGATCAATCCTCTCAGTTCTTGGTCATTCTCCTTCCTATAGGCTTCATATGACTCAAGGAGTTGCTGTGTACGCTCTGTAGCGGTCTCAATCTCTCGGTTCTTCTGGGCCATTATAACATCTAGTCGCTGGAGTTGAATATCTTTCTCGTCATTTTGGCGTTGAAGATCCGCAAAATCCTCCCGGATACTGTTCAGCTTCTTCTGCGTTTCTGCCTTGTCTCGCTTTCCGGATTTCGCGAGGACGTCATACTGCGTCTGGGAGTAGTTCGCTATCTCCTGGAGTTCTGCGCACTTGCGGTTGAAGTCGTCGCGAGAATCCGCCATAATCTGATGAATCTTGCGTGTCTCTCCCTCCGCGTTCTCCCGTCTGTCTCTCTCGCTTTGTAATTCACTCCTCAGCTCCTCGATCTTCCTATCTTTCCGCGAAATAGAATGTAGATTCGCCTCGTGGGAGAGCTCCAGATTCCGGACACGTTCCGTCATATTTTGTAGTTGTGTCTTGAGCGCTTCATTATTCCGCTGGGCCTCTTCGGCTCGGGACCGGTATAGGCTGCATTCCCTCGTCAGGCGTGCAATATCCTCCTGCAGGTTGTGTATCACACGACCAGACTTTCCAGTTGCCGCATGTCCAACAGCAGAGGACCACTCTGGTGCGGCAGTGTCGCCATGTGTATTAGCAGCGGCGGTGGGAGAAAGGCTAGTGTCATCGGTGCCTGCAGAACATATTGTTCGTCAGCGGGTCGTTGCTCTCGTGGGAAGTATAGACTATTCGTCAACGGTATTACAGACCTGATGAGGGATCGACTGCGGAACCATTCTGCTGCTCAGGAGTAGTTTCTCCAAAGAGACCGTTGTGTTGGTGCATGTTCAAGTAGGTTTCGACATGCGGTAGGTTCACTCGAGGGACGTCTGGAATTGCCGATACAACGATTTTCGAGTTAATAACTGTCTCACTGACATTGGGCTCTCTCCTTCCCCGCCTGAAGCGGGCCATGAAAACCATTTGCTATGGAGGAGAACAGAGATCAAGGGAACCAAGACACGGAGGTACGAGTAGGAAATGACGCAGCAGGCTGATGATAGATGTCTGCCAGTCCAGATTCCTGACGATTCTCATTCGAGCTTCCGGGAATCCTGGGGAGCGATCAAATTGGCAAAGAAGGGACCAAGAGCAGCATGCGGAGCGGGACTGGAATGCGTGCCACAGAGATCAACGTACCACAAAAGGAACCAAGCTTCCAAGCTTGCATTCGTACTAGTGCGATATATTATGGACCGTTACGCTGTTTCTGCATAGATAAACATTATATTGCGTCGTCGGGGCGATAACCAAGAGTGCACGGCACCATGTGTCGCCCGGCCCTGGACGGGCAGGATGCAGATACGTAAGGATACTGAGATGAACAGTCTATTTGAATCAAAGACAAGGACGAAGAAAAGAAGAACTAGTGTGTGTTCAAACAGTATAAAAGAAGGTGAGAGATCTATCTGTGTGGCATTGGGAGTTCTTCCAAGAATGGTGGACGATAAAAGCCCGATCCGACGGGCACAACCTCTTGATGTCAGTGTTGTCTGGTAACTAATTAGTGTCCGTCAGGGACAACTGAATCCTTGTACGCTAAAACGCGGGCACTAGGAAACCCACTCATCAGCTCTGGCTGGGACGCGTATCACTTCAAAGATGATTCTCTCATTTGAACTATGTGTTGGCAGTGAAGGTTGAAATCGTCCATGGTTGTTGCTGGGCACCTTATACCATTTGCTCCATTCGAGAATGGCAACCTGAGTGTACTTCCTTGGCCCGGCTTCGCATATAGAAATCCACAATCCCAAAATGCCACCGATGTGAGCTGTGGACATACCCGGTGTACGTTTAGCTGCTAGACATAACTAATAGCTATGCGGTCAGTAAGAGGATTTTCTCTTGATGGCTTCGCTGATGCTTGGTACAGTTCAGGTGGTGTGACTGACCACGGAGTAAGATCTCTCTATAAGCTCTCAGGCCAGGAACCGAGGAAGGAAAATATGCCATGCAGCCCATGCTAGGAATATAACACGTCACAGCTCCTCCAAATACAGAGCAGATATCAAGAAACACGGGTGTTAAGGAGAACCAGCTCATCACGTCAATTGAACTCTCGCTAAGAGGCACCCTTGCAATTTCCCAGTCCCGCAGCGAGACAACAACAATTTCCGGGGCCCGTCCTCGACCCTTGAATTACCTAGGTAGAGAACAAAGAGCCTCGTAGGCTGTAGCTGAGCCTGGCAATACACTCTCTCCCAATGTTGTCTATACCTTCCAGATGGCATAACTGGAGTATGTACCATGTATGTACTTACGGTCCTCACACGGAATCAGTGTCCAGGGGCGGTATGGTCGACTCGACAGGTCGACGGCGATCGAAGCGAAATCAGGAGATCCATACCCACCACCATCGCGGCAGATTAATGTACGGTTTGAAATGCGCAGAGGCTCCACAGGGCTTATAGACTATTAAAAATAAAGATACTCAACCATACCATAGCTAGATACAGGCCGTACATCCATTATTGGCTTCCGCTCAGAAGGCGGTATCTCCGCGGTGCTGCTTTCTGCGGGCAGAACGCTCTGTCTCCCGTCTCTGCCTTCTGTTTCCCTTCACCTCGGTCGTCGTAGAAAACAAAGATCTGAATCATTTTTTCAAGCCACCTGACATCCAGATCCGGGATGGTCTAACGGTCATGATTTCCGCTTGTCATCCGAACAGGAACGAGCGCGGGAGACCGGGGTTCGACTCCCCGTCCCGGAGTATCTTTTTGCTTTTTTTACCCCGGTTTGGGCCTCCATAACAGTGGGATACCTTAGTCTGCGATGCATTATTCACTTTTCTGACAGCGCTAGCTTGGTTGTATAAGCTGAAGCATAACTACTATCGATAGTTAACTGTTATGTGACTATGTAAAACTGAATTTACTGTTGCGCATTCTTGTTTAAGAGACGAGGCACGATATTACTCATTCTCTAATTCATTACAAACTATTTAGCATAACAGCTAACAGAGCGAAAGTAGTACTAAATCTAGATTACATATAGCTTCAAATAGAATTTCATTGGCATCTTAGTTAGTACTAGTGCTTCACGAAAAGTAAATGCATCCCACTGTACTCCGTAGATGCCGCATCCACAGAGGCTTTCTACAACAGTATACGCTGATATAGTCATATATGAAAATATGCTTCATTCCCAATCCGGGATGGTCTAACGGTCATGATTTCCGCTTGTCATTCGAAAGAAACGAGCGCGGGAGACCGGGGTTCGACTCCCCGTCCCGGAGTTTTTTTTTGGCCTTCTCGAAAGGGTATTATTGCAGGCAGATATTCTTATCTTTTGCCTGAGAGCGGAGAAGATACGCAGTCTACAATCTACCTCAGGTCTAGAGTCATTTGTCCACTTTCTCCAATGATGTATATCACAGAAGGGTAATATAAGCGTGCGGCTCCTCATAGAATGGCCTATGAGTATTACGTTGCATCTGCAATAAACCGGGAATGGTGCCTTTGACCTTGGGAAAGAAGCGAGACGTGTGACCACGATGGTATCATTATCTTTTGTAGACTGTATAGAGGTACATGGTTGTCTCTGTGGATTACTTTTGACACGATTCAACACCTTTAGATACCTAGGTATACTTTGAGATTCCCATTCGAATTCCACACCACTAAGACCCCTTCTTTTTTCAGCAGCTCATATGATGCCGGCGTCTACGAGAGGACGTAAGCGTGCTCTCCGTCGCTTCGATCTCTTCCAACGAAATCCTCATCACACATGGCAGTGCGTAGACATAGGATCTCAGACAGATCATTAATCGAAACCAGCATAGGTTGTTGCAGCAGCTCTTGGGGGATAATTTGATAGTTATATGTAGTTTGCATTTCTAAGATTTTCATACAGGATCTTGTGAAGACCAGGCCATCCTCGAAACACCATGGACTGCCCTCAAAGCGGTAAAAAGGACGCAGTGAGTTCAAACTTGGTAGCTTGTGGCGTGGTGACTCTCTGATCCTCTGGTGTCTCCCCACAAAATGAATTTCTGTTCCTTGAGGAGGACGTATGCAATAGATTCCTGCAGTTGAAGTTGTGTAAGATCTGCGCCTCATTGTAATTTCGATGGCCTTTCATGCGACAAATCGACCTGGAATCTTTTCTAACTGATGTGTACGGTATTCTAGGTCTTCCATATCTTCGTGCGTCGGAGAACATACATGGAAGCTAACGAAAAGGAGGATAAGGAGGCGAGAGGAAGGCAAAGGATGTAGTACCACTCATATGTCAGTTAATAGTCCAAGTCACAGAGATAAATCTGCAGAGGTGGTAGGGGGATGAGTTTCGATCGGTTTCTTGTTCTGCTGGTTTTCTCTTTTCTCAGTATCACAAAATACACAGAATATGTCACGCACTGCTGGAGACACCAGCCAGGATCAATTAAAGAGAATTCGGTATTGATCAGCCCTCTTTCCCCTCCCGGTATTAAAATAGCGCAAAAGTAAAATTAGGTACTATATAATATGTGTGCAGATCAGGATGGCAATATGCAAAGCAGTAGACCCCTCGATATCACCGACAGCGGCAGAGGGGAAAGTTATGCGGTTTTGCCCTTCGGGCTTCTCTATTTGATATACATCCAAATGTGCTTAGTGAAAGTTAAACTCGATATCGAGCACGGTATAATCTGCTCTAGACATGTACGTTTCAACAATTAGCATATGGTCATGTTCGTTTGGTGTCCTAATGCGTCGGTGCATTAGAAAGGACCGCCTTGTGTCCGACGCAGGTGGAATACTATCATACCATAAAACAATTGTGGCTCTAGACCGTCTATCAAAGCAAAAGAGCGCAGACTTGGTGCGGAGTTATAGCTACAGGAAAGGCAATGACATGATGATCGGCATTCCAGATGTGCTTTGCCGATAACAACGGCAGGTGCTGTCTCCATCGACAAGAAGCCCATCTGAAGTGGAAATAAGGCCACAATTGCAGCTAATTATTGATGTTCGCCAATATGCAGGTGAAAGTGGCAGTAAAGGCGAATATGTACTCTGGGTTTCACAAGAGAAATCAACATCATCGCCAGTATCTCTAACAGCCACTGCGTGACTAGAGACTAGATGACTCGATATTTATTTCGTTTCCCGCCGTATTCGATGTCGTTTGGTATTTTGTATGCATGAGGTGCGCGATTTTAATAATGGAAAAAAAAATAATATCAACGCGATGCTACCGATACCGAAAGTGTTTATTCGAAAACAAAAAATATACTCCGGGACGGGGAGTCGAACCCCGGTCTCCCGCGCTCGTTTCTTTCGAATGACAAGCGGAAATCATGACCGTTAGACCATCCCGGATTACTTAATCAAACTTCTCAGATTCTGCCATATCAATTATTCGCACAGCAAGAGATGCGCACTCAGTCTACTGTTACAGCGAAGGTCTGGATGCAGACAGAGCACAGCATAAACCGATACCCTGCATTGTCTTCGACTCTTATTCTGTCTAACCTGTATTGCTTCTGTAGATACTAAGCATTAAGCTCTTAGTGAAATAGTGCTCGATAGTACGCATGAACAGATATTTTGTCTGTAATTCTGCATGGCTACGTAGTGTAGTGGCTTAATAGCCCCGTATATCCCGGAAGGCAGCTTGTTATACACGGACTCTATCCTGGATTACACTGTCTCCTTGTTCTTGCGGTATGTCAGTGGTAATTGCATGCCTCGATCGCTCGGCTTCTTGGTCTAAAGTGTTTGGCCAACTGGTCCAGTAAATATATATCCCCGCGTCACTGATCACAACACATGATTTATATGTTGTCCAGTACCACAAACGTAGAAGACAATCACAAGAAAAGTGTCGAATCCTCTAGCACGGAGGCAAGGTCTGACCTGAACGACTTGAATTGCTTGCTTGCTTCTAGATGCAGGGGGGATTTGATCCCACATTTATCTCTAGCATACAAATAATCTAGATCATAGTAACCTAGTAATCTAGTAGTAATCCAGTGGGTTCTATCCCATAATCAGGATTCAAAGAATCTGCCGCAAACTGATGATTGATAGATCACCTGGCGCTCGCTTTGTACGCCGACAAGAAGGAACCGATAAAACAAATATTTTACCCAATCACTGCAACCCTTATCATCATTCTGCGAGAAGTACTGTAGAGGTCGATACCCACGATAGCCGGAGGATGAACCTAGCGCAGCCAACAAATGAAACATCCGAGAACATATTTACTCAGGCCATAACCTGGAACAGAAAAACACAATGGAACCACAGACCCGATAACATTGCTTCCACAGGAACATAGTACCAGGTTGCTGCATACATGCGCTCCAGCCACGAGTGCAGAGTGACCTCGGAGCAATAAGAGGTAATGAACCGATCACACGGAGGTATTCATTCACCTAGAAGCGGATATTATAGAGCAGTAGCAATACCAGAGGTTCATCTTGACCGTCGATCAGACATTAGAGGTTATTGCAGTATTGCATACCTGTCTTTTGCTGCCTGTCTGCACTTTTGTTCCGCCAGACTGAAAAAGGAGACCCGATGCCCGAGTCAACACTGGAATTAAAACTGGGTTCCGTGGCTATACATTATTATTGTACGCTTAACCCTCTGTAAATGCGAAGCAAAAAGAGGAAGGAATTAAAAAAGGGTTATTATTATACTCAACCATCCTAAGATGGCGGAGGCAAAAAGTAACTCCGGGACGGGGAGTCGAACCCCGGTCTCCCGCGCTCGTTCCTGTTCGGATGACAAGCGGAAATCATGACCGTTAGACCATCCCGGATGATGATTATGATAGGCTCCCAGAACTAAGGTATATGAGGCAAAAACTCGAGGAGTTGTTTTCGATGGCAATCTGATTTAATAGTGCATCGAATACTAGACACGAGGCATTAAACTTGCCTCATCAGTTCGTATATATGGGGGTCTGTCACTAATCGATGCCTATATTGAAAATGAAGAAGCATAACCTCTGGCGAAGAGCATTCCATCCTGTGTTCGAGAGATCGAGAAACCGACGGAAAGAATGAGTAACAGTCATTAACAATTTTTTCCTGCTAACATATACATGTGCATCGTATGCCGAGGCCAGTTGCCTTGAAGTCCAGACGTAGATTGCAAACAAATATCGAAGGTCCACCGGCTGCATATAGTCTTAAGACATAGCGATTTACATGACATAGAATGCAGCGAACAAGCTCAAAATCAGAGCCACTGAACCCGTAAGCGAAGAAGCACCGCCAGTAGAGGCAGTTGCTAGCCCGTTCTTTGCATTGGTTGTTTTAGAGGCAGCTGAAGTTGTGGTAACGGGACCAGCAGTAGAATAAGCAGTAGAACTGAGAGTAGCTGGCTTAAATGTCGTGTTTCGGGGGGCCGTGACTGAACCAGTTCCGAAAACTGGGGTTTTGCTCGTGAGAGTTCCCTCTTTGCGGTGGCTTGCTGAAGTAGTGGTCGAAGAGCTGGTCACAGCCGTGGTTAAGCGGCTTGAAGTAGCTGCTGAATGGACAGTTGCGGCTGGTGTCGACGTTGCTGATGCTGCTGATGCCGTTGAAACGGGAGCGGCACTCACAGAACCACCAGAGAGAGTGATAAGACCAGAGTAGTTAACCTGACCATCTTGAGTAATTTGGAAAGCATAGTCAGACCCGTCCGTCAAGTCAGGGCTTGGTGTCCACTGAAAAGTGCCACCTCGGGCATCCGACGTGAGGACTTCGACATTCTTCAAATCATTCGCATCGCCCCTTTTCAGAGTAATGGTCACAGGCTTCACAAAATCGCGGTCAATGACTTGAAATGATTATGTACTTGATGCAGTAGAACTTACACTATCGGTAGCTCCGGTCCATCTAAGGGTGGCCGGTTGTCCGACTGTCACGGCAGGCGGCCACTCTGTAAAGGCAACTTTCCCTTGTGCAACGACGGAGGTAACGAGCAGCGCGGCAGCGAATAGAGAGGTGAGTAGACGCATATCGGGCGATACTCTGAATTGGATTTGCCGAGGAGGCTTCGATCAAGCGCTGATATATGGTTAATGGCAATTTAAACAGTTGCCGCAAGAATAATCGATGAAAGCCCTATCTGTGACTGCCGGAGAGATAGATAAGGCAAGACCTGAGTAGAAGAAGAATAGAAGAGCCAGATGGGATTCTGGCTTAAAGAGAAAAGCAAAGGCACGAGTCGCCCATAATTGACGATGGTCGAGACCGACTAAAGGGTAGTCGGTTCTCTTCTCGCGTACAGCCTGATGGCTGCATACTACTCTCAATTAGTTCCACAACCCCATAAAACCTCGAGAATGTCTCAATCTTCCGCCTGTAGGTTTTGGTTTAGAGGGGAGCCTCGTGGACTTCGGCCAAACCATAAGAAGAAAATCAAAGAGAGGCCAAAGGTCGAGAAGACGCCGCTCAAGGTGCTCGGGTATCGAAAGCCGAGGGCGCCATGGCCTAGGACATTCCTTCTCGCAAGGAGAGCACCATTGTATGTTCTGCAGTGCGAATGTTGCATTCTTGAGAAGTAAATCTATTACCCCTTGTAGCAGTGGGGCTATCCGGGGTTGCGGACTGTCACGTTTCCCAGAATGCGGAAATATCCGATGACCGTGAGAGGTAAATGTGAAGCTATACCATACCTAGATGTGCTGGATTCATCCTACAAAACGCGTGATTCTCAACGTGTGAAAGTTGACTCCGCATCTATGTTCGAATACTTTGCCCATAAGATTCTGAATAATGTTCAACGTAATAAGTAGTTAGTCGCGGGGGTCACAAAGTAGACCAGTGTCATCAAATAAGAATATACTTCGACAGTCTAGACTTCGGGCCGCGACGCGTTTCTAAATGCTCGTCAGACCCTAAAAATGGCGGCATTGTGGAATGAACGCTAGCCATCATACAAAAAGATGTTGCCGTTGTAAATCGTGTTACAGTAAGGTCGCCGACTTTCCCGATCAGCGCTCAGGGGTATTATCCCTTCAACGGGCCCTTTTTACAAAGGGCGCCCGTCGGACGTTAACAAGGGGCAAGAACTTGGCAATCAGAGGCGTGATAGTCTCAAAATGGAAGTCATAAACGTACTCGAAACGCATAGTCAGGGCGATTCGATTATTCACGCCATCGGCCAGTCTTGTATTAGATGGCAGAGATGCCCGAATGGTTCTGGGGCACATCGTTTCTGAACAATAACGGGCCAGACTGCAAGGCAGAAAATGTATTATATTCCTGAGTTTAGCATAAATTTGTTATGATGGTAAAGGTAGCGGTGTTCATATAGCCTAGATTCGCTCGTTAATACTCGCGACGTATCATCCGCGGTAGTAGTCGCAGAATACACAAGATTTCACTTGTACAGTACGTGGTGGACAAACATCAAATTTCGCTCGATCCTGCCGACACTGTCTGTATCTGCGTCTACCTGCATCGAAGGTCGCTCTCTCCCTTTCATTGTAGACTCATCGGCTGTTCCTTCTCTAGCAGCGTACACACTGAGAGGATAACTCTTACAATAACGAATGATCGACCTGATCTTCCTTAACGCATCACTCGAAAACACGCTCGTTACGGACTCATTACTATCTACCTGTATATCTTATTCTATCCTGTCGCCCTCTTGACGCTGATATTTATATTTCCTCTTTCAATTCTCCTCCTTTCAGGTGCGGGAGACGCGCACCATTCGTCCTTGAGACTTGATACACCACAGAATAATCGTGTTCGGATGCAGAACCACCCAAGTATCCGTTCTAGAAGGCGGGCGACTTTGTCAGGACCGGAAAATGACAGATTGATACCCCAGCAAAGCCATGACCTGGCAAGCGCCAAATTTCGGCAATACCATCCACAGAAGAAGAAGAAGAAGGGAACATCCAGTGTCCCTTTCACTTGTGCAGAGTCGAGAAGGGGCCCTCCTCGCTATTATGCTTCTATTCCCCTATTACAGGCTCGCAGCGATGCTTTCCAGACACTGTCAGCATGTCGCAACGTTATCGCATGCCTCGAATTGACGCGGATGAGCAAATCCCGCATTGGGTTTGCCTACTGGGTGGATTTCTGGGAACGCCTCTATGAACGCCCTCTTGCGCGCTCTCTCACATCTAGAGTGTCTATTGTGCGCGCAAAGGTTGATACCATCTTTCAGAAAACCTCAAAAGAACTTAATCATCTTACGTGGGAAGTGGAGAAGGGCGTCGCCGCAGCGGGGTCTGAAAAGGAAGTTCTGAGACTGTTGGAACGGATGGAGACAGATGTGGCATTACATCGCAGACGACGTCGTCGGAGTGCTCAAGCTTTACTGGACAAGCTGAGGGATAGCATCGAACAAATCCCGGTCGATGTATCCGATGAATTATTCGATGATCTGAAACGCGGTATATTTGCCCTCGACCCTTTCTGCGACTATCACCCAGGAGATCCCGATGCAGAAAAACGGGACAGACAGCCACGGGATGAACCGCTGGATGCTGAAGGGTTCGTCCAGGGAGATCCTGAACTTGCGTACCGGCCTGGGTTTGGCCGGGAGTTCATTGGCGCCATCCAACGGGTAACAGCAGGCCGAGAGGGAGAACTACCACTTGAGCATTTTCAAGATTGGATTAATGATGACAATGAGACCATCAGACGGGGAGCCTTAATGCAGGAGGGTAGCTTTGGTTGAAGGAAGCTTAGGGCTCAGTGTGATTGTATATTTTTCTTTATGTCTCTGTGTTTATATGTTGTCTATAGATGGAGTTTCAGGCGGTAGGCACTCGTTTTATACGCACGGATTAGATAGAACCGCACAGTTTTCAAGCAACAAGATGATTATGTTTATCATGTCTCCTTCTATATGCTGCATTGTCGTCGTCTCTACAGCTGTCGCTCTCAATAGGCCAGGCTGAACACGACATTTGGAACTAGGCGAAAATAGTGACTGTACAGTAGTTCTGGAAATCTGTTGTACACCCAAAACAAGTGAAAATGATATGTGACGAATTCATCTGCAGAAATACCGATTACTCACTGGATCGTCGCAGAAAAACTTCTCCAGACACAAAGAAATGGGCATTTTGTGGAACTTTCACGTAATTGTCTTTGATCATCCGTGTAAAGTACTTCGTATCCTCAAAGATCCCGTTGACAAAGACAAACAGGGTGTAACACCGAGTTCATCAGCCCACAAAAGAAAAAGCTTATACAGCACAGTCTAGACCACCAACACCGCAATGAAGGATGCACATTGGCCCTTGTCGAAAGATCATTGGAACAAGGCGTTGTACTTCGATGTCGGAACGTATTACAACTGTCAATCTCGACGTTGGGAACCTTGTCCCTTGAGAGCATGCAACTGCATGCCTCCGCTTGTTGAACCGTCTGCTTGAGCTTGTAAGCGATGGCGTAAGGCCATATTCCAATGCACAGAGTTCTGCCCCCCCTCTATAGCTACCACTGGATCTATATATTTGAGAGATCGACCCTGACGTCCTGCAGACAGAACCCGACACTCTTCTTATTCTGCAAAGACAGGTATACAGCGATATAAAAACATACATTCTGCTCCAGTGCCAAGATGGCACGCTTCAATCGACCTAGCTTTTTAAGTCTGTTGGGATTGCTTCTTGGCCTGATTGTTCAGTCCAATGCTGCTCCCGCCCCAATCGTGAACGGACTGGAAGCTCGTGGTGCTTTGGACGTGGACTCAGAGTCGCATAGACACCACCCACGGCCTCCAACTGACCATCAGCACAGTCATCCTCCATATCCTCCAACCTTGAAGGTTCGGGAAGACGATTCAGAAGGCTCAGGTTCGTTTCCCAGTAGCTGGTTATCATTCGGATTACCGTGGCCCTCCTTTAAGCGGAGTAAAATGCTAACAGAGATCTAGGATTAAACGAAGATGGTCCAAAACCCAAACTTGATGTCCCGATGGCAGATGAGCACCACCATCGCCATCACCATCACCCTCACCCTCCTTCTTTAGCTGCTCGTTCAGAAGACGAGGAAGTCTCTACGAATTACCCACCGCCACCTCCTCACTGGCCGCCTCCTTCACCACCTCAGTGGCCTCCTCATGGTCCTCCACCACATCAGTGGCCTCCTCATGGCCATCCACCACCCTCCTCTCGTTCATTAGAGACTAGGGACGACGATGAGGAGGTCTCTACGAATTACCCACCACCCCCTCCTTACTGGCCTCCTTACAATCCTCACTGGCCTCCTTACGGTCCTCCACCACCTCAATGGCCTCCTCATGGCTATCCACCACTTTCCTCTCGTTCCTTAGATACCAGGGACGACGACGAGGAAGTATCTACGAATTACCCACAAACCGACTCTCATCTCAAATGGCCGCCTTCCCCTCCACCGGGAATTGGCTACCCGCCGGAAACGAAGTCAGCTTTGAGCGAGGACGGAGCTTCTTCTGACACTCAAGAAATTAACGCACGCGGTGAGGATAGTTCTGAAAACCCAGAGTTTTATATCCCTCCTAACTGTGATAAGTTCGGTTGTCCTCCGTGTAGTGGCTGTCCCCCTTCGGCCTGATGCGCTGACGACGAGCAACAAGGGCTTGCGTTATGGGCCAGAACTGTGATGTGCGTGATTGGGTAGAGGATGCTTGTTGTCTTTGGGCTGTGAGGTTCTCTACTCAGCAAGGGAAATGGCGGGAATGCGTGTTCAGTTGCGAGGCCAGAATGATAGTGCAGGCAGGCTACGTTGTCCTATGGTGGCATGAGTTGGATCAACCATCAGCTGTTGCCCCATACGCTCTTCACGATTCAACTGGTGATATGCAGAAAGGTGGAAAGAAATAGTTACACTCATTAGTAATTCCAAAGGATAATACACTCGTTTGACAATGACACTAGGTCTCTAGGTAGCAGATAAAGATTATATGCATGAAATTCTATGCACTAGTAAAAAACTAAGATGAATAAAAGAGCTATGAGAAGGCCCATAGTTCTCTGAGCATCCTGCCAGGAGCAGTGTCTTGACCACCATCTTCCGCCAGTAAACGGTCTGTGAAAATTCGCTTTGGGATTTGGTACTCGACGACGGGTGTCTTTTTCATCTTCTCCTCGGTTCCCAGTTCAGCCAATAACATGCCTTGATAAGTGTAGTCGAGGAAGTCCTCGAGGTTGTAGGCTTGTTTGGTGAATTGTTCAGATATGATACGTGCCAAGGCGGCTACGTTGGGGTGATAATGGGATTGAAGGGTTTCAATCTCCCAGAGACTGCTGTCGAGAGCGTTGGTGAGAGTGGGATCTAATTCATCTGGATCAAACGGATCTTCCATCCCTTCAGCTTCCAGTTCAGCTTTCCATTCCTCGTCACGAATGGTACGGTGTAGCATGAACGTGCAAGTCGGGTGGTTTTTCAGGAGATTGTATATCCAGGGAACAATTGCGACAATGGCTGTGGGAGGCGCATTGAGTGCAAGTCGAGAAAGTCGCTTGATGAAACTAGCAATAAGCGTGGCTGGCAAGTGGGTGGAAGAGAGGAAGGTATTCATCAGGCGGAAAAATCGTGATCTGTGTTTTGAGTGTAGGACATCGGCGTCAAGAAGAGAGTAGAGCTTCTGGTAGAATTGAGGATAGTCGAGATTCTTCTCTTGGATGAGGTAGAAGAGACCGGACAGGGCGAGTAGAGACATTGAGCCGCCGACGTTGTAGGAATCAGTGAGGAAGTCCATCAATAGTTCAGGCCTGTTGAACCATGGCGCAATCGTATGCGACATAATCCGGAGAAGACCTTTCCGCTGAGACTCTGATATGTTATTCCGTAGCACCGCTAGCCATGCTTCCTGCGCCCGCTTTTTGTGAGAGTTGACAGATACAAGGTTCTTGATTTTCTTTAATGACTTGCAGTAGAAGTCTTCGAACTCGTGCTCTGGTTGGGGCGGAGTGTCGTATGCTGAGAGCATGGATATTAACAATTCAAGAACTTCAGGGCTCCGCTTCGTCTCAGCGTACTCGCTATAGTCTGTTAGTGGGCAATACGGAGATAATAGGACCAGGAAGAAATAACGTACGATATTTGAAGAAACGCGTAGTATCTCACATCCTCATACTGGGTGAGGAACTTTTCGACAAATTCCGATTGTAGCACCTGCCCGTCGCGAGCTTCGACAATAGATTGGAAGACATCCTTGAAGAAACCACTGGTCCAGACCTGCGTTTCCGTCCCCGAAATATGCGTCGCGCGCTCATTTATCAGTCGCATACTTAATGTGAGAGCAGTGATCTAAGAGTGATCAGTAAGTACAGCCTTGAAAGCGCAGAAGTGTCATTGCGAACCTGTGCGGAGGGATCAGCCCGGCGTAGAATGACCGACAACGCTTTCTGATATTCGTGACATCGTTCCTTCAACCATGCCACAATGATCTTCTCTGGCTCGGCAGCTCGTGGAACCTCTGTAAGGTTTCCACCCGCGATCAATCTGCAAAAGACTCTACAGAGCGATACGGCGACTGCTAGATCGGGTTCTTCGGCGGAGTCACCCACGTTTAGCATGGATATCAGGGTGGCGATGTTATTGTAGTATTTTCGAGATTCCGCAATCTGCTCTTCGAGCTCTTGAAGCTTTTCCATAACGTCTTCGCCGTCATCTTCTGCAACAGCTCGGCGTTTGGAGGACGGCACGGCGACTTCCTTCTCTCTGGCGCCCTTCTTCCGTTTCTTGGAGCCGGACGCTCTGTCTGCGAGGCCAGGCATGATGGGTTCCAACGATATCAATTCCGGTATGTTCTGAGATTTTGGACGTCCGAAACCGCGGCCACAATTTTTGGTCGCTCGTCCTACTGCGATAGGGTTATCTTAGAATTTTTGGAGATCTCTCGGCTATGCTGATTTTCCGCGTCACGGGTCTATTCCATATTCGGTTAGGGTCTTCAGCACCACCGAAACCCCCATCCGACCTCGTTCTCATCAGTTCCGTTCATCCATCAAGTCGCAACACATCACTGTCGCTACAATGGCTTCGCGTCTTGCTAAGAGCGCCATTGGTATGTCTCACCAGCCTCACTAGGGCTCAATTGATACCCTCGCCTAGGTCACTGACTCGATCCAGGTGCTGCCCGGCTCCGACCGGCTGTTGTCGCCCGTAACGTCCCTGCCGTCACTGCCAACTTCACGGCGTCCCGTTCGGCCTCCAACGTCCCCAGCGAGGACCCCAAGAAGAAGGCCGAGTCGATCCTCAATGCTCTTCCTGGCAACTCCCTTGTTTCCAAGACTGCCATCCTTTCTGCCGCTGCCGGTCTCTCCATTGCCGCGATCAGCAACGAGCTCTACGTCCTTAACGAAGAGACTGTTGCTGCCTTCTGTCTGCTCAGTGTCTTCACTGGTGTCGCCAAGTATGGTGGTCCCGCGTACAAGGAGTGGGCTCAGGGCCAGATCCAGAAGCAGAAGGACATTCTGAACGCTGCCCGTGCCGACCACACCAACGCAGTCCAGCAGCGCATCGACAACGTCCAGCAGCTGAGCGGAGTTGTTGAGATCACCAAGCAGCTCTTTGCGGTTTCCAAGGTATGCTACCTTGTCAGGTCTATAGCTAGGATATGGTGCTGACTCTTTGGGCGATCAGGAAACCGCCCGCCTTGAGGCTGAGGCTTATGAGCTTGAGCAGCGTACTGCCCTTGCTGCTGAGGCCAAGCAGGTCCTTGAGTCGTGGGTCCGCTACGAGGGACAGGTGAGACAGCGCCAGCAGCGCGAGCTTGCCGAATCCATTATCGGCAAGATCCAGAAGGAGCTCGAGAACCCCAAGGTTCTCCAACAGATTCTCCAGCAGAGCGTTGCTGACGTTGAGAGTAAGTAAAACGGCCTTGAAAATCCAACTAATTAGTGCTAACGAAGTCGTATAGGAATTGTTTCCTCCAAGGCTCAGTAAATGCAGCCGACATGACTAGCTTTTCCTTGCGATCGTGTACAAAACCGAGAAGCTGTTTACTTCGTGATACAATCTAGAACTTCAATACCATTTTCACTTCCCACGTGCTTCGTAATTGATTGTGATATTTCGACGAGTCACTCGATTGTCCGTTCTGCCTTCGAAGGGTAATCATGCGCAGGTACCGTACTGATTATTTCAGATGCAAAGCAACTATATTTTATGACTACAATATTCTTCGGGCTCCTGAGTGTTCCAAATATCCATATACCCCAAAAGCTTATCCTAGCACCGCAGATCTGGCTATAAGGAATCAATCGTAGCCATCCATGCTGCATGGTTACCAAGTGCGTTTCAGCATATATCAGAGACATACGCCGTCCGATACCGAAGTCTGCAATTCATGTGGCCGGAAATATCTCACAGGCCAGTTTCAATTATCAGAATGGTGCACAGGTGGGTTGATTCCATGTAGAAGTCCATGTAGTACAAAGGAGAAATCCAATAATGGTCTGAGCGTAGCCATAAATGTTGGTATTAATGCCGACACCGGTCCTCTGCAGTTTGTTATTTGCGGAGTGATTATCGAAACTCGAATGTATGTATTTTCAACCGAACTCTCCAGGATGATCCTGTTGGCCGTATCATGATATTTGCTGCTCCAAACCTTGGAATTATTGTAACCCATAGATTGCACTGGATCCCGAGGTTATTACTTGGACGTCCGGAGCCAGTTTTGTGGCCAAGACGCCTGAACCACCTGCCACCACCAACCAGCAACCCTGTTGTTGCTCTACACAACTGAACTCAGCAGAGTTAAAGGCTTCGTTTTTTGCGACCGACACAGCCACAACAAGGCTGGATCCGAATCGCAATAAATAAACCTACTCTTACTCCAAAGCACACATAGGTCTTACTGACATCTATTCCACTTCAACAGAACACCGTACTGTCACTCCCGCAACCCCCTTACAGATCTTCTCGGAGCGGAATCGTGCATTGTCCTTGTGGCCCACACCCCACGATCGCCGGCCGCCATGCCGTTGAGAGATGTCCTCCATAAGAAAGATAAGATCAATGACAGCAATGGCGTCCCAGCGACTCCTGTTTCTCCAAGCGCTCCGCCAGAATTCCGGTTCTATCGCACCGATACCAACAACCAAGAAGTGATCCAACCGCCGGCATTCGACGAGGACGACAGAAACCGCCATCATTCTTCTGGAGAAGACAAACACGGCTCATCGCAGAAACGCTTGTCGATCTTTCATCGACCCTCTAATAGGTCCTCGTCGCTCTCGCCTAGCGCTTCCCCTACAAGGACCAAAGGCGAAAGACGATTGTCTTCTCTGCTGCATCTCGATGGAAGAAGATCCCGGAGTACGAGCTCCACATCGATCAATGTTCCTGCGGACCTTCCGCAGATCGATACCAGTGTTGGTGACAAGCAGGATAGAGAGGCGCAGTGGGAAAAGCGCGCGACGATACTGGTGCAAGGAAACCCGACTCTGAGTCCTCTGAGTCCGTCAAGTCGTTCCTCCAGTTTCCTTGGAGATCAGGGATCCACGGGCAGTGGACGACCGAGAAGTTCTAGTTCTGCCAGGATCAACGATCCGGAAGGAGATGTAAGTTTACGAGAACCATTACTGTTCGCATACTGGGAGACACAGTGGGTTCCTAACTGAAGATATAGGTCAACATACAAGAAGCAATTCGACTACATGAGGCTGGAGGTGAGCGCAGATATACGAAACGCCTTCCTGAATATCTATACTGATGTAGTTCTGCGTTGGTACACAGAGTTGGCCAGATCGACGCAGATGTTTGGCACGCTGGCGGATCCAGATGGTGCCAATAATGCGTTGAGTCAAGTGTTGTATGGTCTCGCCTTGCGGTAAGATTTTCTCTGAAATTCCTAGACGAACAGGCCATAGGAAACACAGAAACTGATGAGATTATCTGAAGACATGGCTGGGGATGTGAGCCAGATCCTGCGAAGGCAGTGACCTATCTCTCGGCGGCGGCATCGAATTCGGCCTCGATAGAGGCGCAAGCTCTTGAAGCAGGTATGAAGAGGGGAGGTGCTGCCAAAGGAGAGCTGGTTCTGGCCATATTTGAGTTGGCCAACTGCTTCCGCAATGGCTGGGGCGTCGCGAAAGATCCTGTTGCTGCCAGGCAGTACTATGAGACAGCTGCCAATCTCGGCGATACCGATGCGATGAACGAAGCTGCCTGGTGCTATCTAGAAGGCGTTGGAGGGAAAAAGGACAAGGTACAGTCTGACCCTAGCCCCCTGGGCTTTCGTGTCTTGCTTTTTCAAAATGAGCCCGCGGTGCTGGATATGCCTGGTCTTCAGAAGTCCCATTTGCTGCGTCCCTGAGATGAGCATTACCAACCGGAATCTCCTATCTGCTATTGTCAGATCACATTATTCATCTCATCGGGCAGCAACGCTCTTTCCCCTAGCTCAGCATCACTTTCAGTGTTTTGGTACCTTGCATCATAGAGTGTGACGTGCTGATTCGTGATCTTCCTTTTTTAGTACATGGCCGCCAAATACTACCGACTCGCGGAGGAGAACGGCAGCAAGACCGTGGGCAATTCCTGGTAAGTGATTTCTGTGTTGAAGAGCACTCCAGTCATGCTGCTCTGTTTGTCGCCCAAATCCATCAGCGTGGTCGGCCGGACTGTGCAGAAAGCGCGTCTCGGAAGTTATGCGGCGCATGCGGTCGATAGGCTCTCGTGTGCTCTCCCCGACATCGACTACTGCCCCCACCATGCGAATCTTCTATCCGCGGCCAACCATGCACAACGGCAACCCCCTCCTGCAGACCGCACGTTCTTATTTTGAGCATAAGGCTGACGTATGATCTTCTTGACTGCCAGGATATGGAAGGAAAAATATGATCCGAAGTGAAATATAGGATCGTGATGGACCCCACCTTATCTGGTTCGCCAGTCGTGCTGAGCCATCACAAGGAACGACGGTTTAGGCTAAACCATCGCCGTATACACGGCTTCCTGGGTCAAGCTCAGCTCGGCCTCAAGAACTAAGACGCATGACTGAACAGGGTATCCTGCTACCTCTGGCGCACCCGGGGAGTCGTCTGCTCCACTATCCGTCGAACGTCATGAGCGGTCCTCGAATATGGACGGTTAAGATGTATCTGAGAGCGTCATGGGCTTAACCAGCCGTCTGCACCAGGCATCTCTTCCTGTGCCTGAGTCCTCGACCCAACGAAGCCTCATCTTTGCTCTTTTCAACGTATGGCACCAACCCAATCTCATATGACACTAAGCCCGTATGATTGAGATCTGGTAGAAGGGCGTCAGCCACTTGGATGGCTTCTGGGCAGCGTGCGTAATTTTTTGGATTCGAGCGAACATACGCGACCCTCCGTTCCTTTCTGCGGCTGTGCGGTCCTCAGTCCCTACAGACCGCAGTATTAACTCCGAACGAGCTATGAAACCATCACCGGGGCTATATTCTTGCAGCCTAATTTGAAGTCTAAACTGTCTATAACAGAGCACAAATCTATCTGACAAATACACTATCTATCTCTTCTATCTAAGCGATCCACATGCGAAAGGAAAAAGCAAAAAAAAGGCTGTCTGTGGCCTGGCTTATCCCATGAGATGTCATACAACATTAGAATCAATCTCACAAATAGACATCTTTGATTCTTGCACACCTGTACACCATTTCTGCATCTTCTAGATCTAGATATCATGTTCGCGGTACTAATACTGATTCTCCATATCTGCACTCACCCCCCCCCCCAATTCAATGCTTGCATAGGAAATAGCCTTCTTCCCGGGTACGTATCAATACATACATGCCCAAGCCACGCCCCCGGGCCCAGTCCCAGTTAAAGTAGGCACAGCCAGGATAAGACGCAACGACCCGATTAACTCCCCACGACCTGTAATGCAGAAGACCCCGCCCGTTCGTTGCCCGACGAGTCCGTCCAAGAACCAGTCTGGCTATGCAATTAATATGCATCATGTAAACGTACTTACTGTGAATCGCAAGCCTTCGAACGAAGGCAGTAGAAATGCGTAATTCTACAGCTAATGTATGTACGTATGTATGTACGTACGTGTGTGCGTTCGACAGGGGAAGAGAAAGATAACTAACACGTGGGTGTGGACAATATACTACGAATGACAATAATTGCTACTGTCTACGTAAGAATGGAAGAAAATGGAAAGGGCTCATTTGTTTGTGGGCGTCATCCAGCTCGCATATCAGGGTCTATTCTTGTAGACCACCGATCTGGCTAATCGAGCAAAAAATTTCAGAAGTTCAATTCGTATCATCTCTCATCTCATCTCAATCATGCCAATCGTGAACACTCGCTAGCTTCATAAAAAAATCAATCAAAAATCAATCCACAATCCACCATCTGGGAAAAGTAGTAAATATGTGGTTAAAGAATAAATAACATGTGGAGAAGTGAAGGAAGGATCGATAAAAAGGAAAAGACAAAGGAAAGACAAGGATTGTGGTATGAACAGGAGAGGTGTCTTTCCCCCTTTCTTTTTCTCCCTCTTCATTTCAGGGAGGGGGTGAAGAGACACCTTAACTGTCCAAGTTGGATCAGATTCGTAAAAAAAAGGAAATATTCTCAGTAATGAGCGTCGAAAGTCGGAAGTAAAGAGGTCGAGGTCGATCGATCATCGAAGTCGACGAGAAGGCAGAAGAAAAGAGCTCCACATGGGTAGAAGGGAAAAAGAAAAGAAGATGAAAAGAAGAACTTCAGAAACTCTGCCCCAGAAAAGGAGAAAAAGAAGAAGCGATAACCGTTCCGTTGTTCCGTTTCCCTTTCCGCATAAATGAAGAACAAAAACCAGTTCCTGTCCAAATTACCAATTCATATCATGCCACCCGTAGAAAAAAAGCAGTTCATTTCATCCGTTCTGTCTGTCCATGTCATCCATTCGACATGAGTATAAAAAGAAGGCAGAGAAATACGCCAGAACACCTCCCAGAGCTGAATGACAATGAGGAAAATTGGCTAATCAAACAATTCGCTAAATCGCACAGACCGTCCATCATGCAATACGTGACATGAACATAAAACAAAGGAAATGTCGAAGGCGTCGGGCCACTAGCTAACTAAGCATGCGTTGAGTTCTGCCTCTTCCCCATTCTAGCTGGAGGCATCATTCAAGCACGTAGTGCTGAATCGAATCTCAGAAAAAGAGATAGTAACAAAAAGGGGTGGGTGGGATAAACCACAAGAACGTAATATGCTGGGCTGACTAGGCCTGCCTAGCCTTAGCCTGATCAGATCAGATCAGATAATTCTAGAATCCGAAGAAGGCCGATAAAAGGAATCTTCAAAAGAGCCAGAAACATATGGGCGTTCCAGCTGGGGACGAAAGGAAGAAGGGAAAGTGCATCTAAGCGAAAGCACTCCTAGTACTCATCCACTGCTGTTCACGACTGGCAAAAGTCGTCCCGTTGCTCCTCTTTGATGGGGCCCGCACCGCATTCCCTGACCATTCTCCTGAAGTCGCGGACCACCTTTTCAGGGACCCGATCCCACAGGAGTGACCTCGAGTAGACTTCAGATGTGGCCTTAGTCTCCATTCTGTTGTTGGCCCCGTTACTTCGCATGGCAGCGAGGGCTTGTTGCAGGTTGGAGGGTTGCTGAGGCTTGAAATCAACATCGTCTTCAAAGGTAGTCAAGGAATTGTATTGATCAGCATTGAGAGCAAAGACCTGTTGGTGCTCCTGCTCCTTGCTAGGCATCGCGAGAGTGTTGTGAAGCTCATCCAGGTTCGAGGTTGGTCCAGTGCCAGTCATCTGCGCCATCTCCGCACCACTGATGGTGGTAGGGAGACCAGTAGTAGCTGATGCCGAAACCGCAGCATTGTTGTTGTTGTTGTTGGACTGCATGACCTCTGGGGGCGCGGAGGCCAGAACAGCCTTGAGGACGTTCGCAGACTCGGCGCGGTACTCCTCGGAGAGCTGAGGGATGGCACGGTTCGAGAGGGATGAGCTATTCGAGGCGATGAAAGCACCAAACAGGAGGCACATGTAGAAAGCATTCCAGCTGAAGGGATACTCAACCTGGGACGAAGGCTTGTCAGAGGCCTTCTCAGGCTTCGAGACGACGACCATAGAGTTTTCAGGAGCAGACACGGCCTCGGTCTCAAGAGAAAGACTGTTGACCATGGAGAAGTCCTCCCACGGGCTGTTGTCCATGGTGAGGTTCTCGAAGTCGGAAAACTCGTTGGTGAAGGTGGTTGGGTTGGAGACTCTAGCCTGGCTCTCAAGTTTCTCAACAGCCTCGCGGAGGATGTTGTTCTTCTTGCGGAGCTCGGCCGTCTCCAAGGTATGTTGCCGGATAAGTTCGTCCTTGTCCATGTGCAGGTTCTCAATGTACTGGTTGATCTGCTGCTGGGCGGTCATCCACTCTCCCTTCTCGCGGAGGAGCTCGGCTTCCCTCAGCTTCATGCTGTGCAGAGCTTCCTCAAGCTCACTGATAACATTAGAGAAGTGTTTCTTCTCCTCTTCCAGCTTTTCAGTGTGGAGCTTCTTGCGTTGCCGGGAGTCAAGCCTAAATGATATCTGTCAGCGGGTCGTTCTCTCAATATAGTATAGTCGACAATATAGGGACAGGAAAACATACGCAGCCTGTCGATTCCTCAACAAGCGTTTCTGCTGCTTGAGTTCTTTGATTTCTTCTTCGTTGGTGGACTGGCCGATCAATTGATCGATGTTGCTCAGCGTACGCTCAGCAGGGATTTCAAATCTGGCGTTCTTCTTCCGGATGCCGTCCCGCCGGACGTGCAGGGGAGAAGAATTGCGGTAGGTAGGACTCCTGTTCGGTCGCGACCGGTCCTGGACATCGGAGGTCGTGGCCATCCAGCCCTGGCTGGACTGAGGAGACATGGCAACAGCACCGGGGGCGCCAAAGGCCGTTCCGGGGCGATATTGCATCTGAGGGAAGTTGATGGAGGAGACGGGACCGACGGCGCCGCCGGCGAAGGGAGCGGACGAAGCGCCATCAAATTCCTGGGGAAACTGCTCGTACAGGGCGGTAGGAGTACATGATCCGGAATCGCGAGTGAGAGGCCATGAGGTCTGTTGTACATAGTTTGGGGCGGGATGCGAGGCGTCTAATCGCACAAAGGGATTGTTCGACGTCTCGAAGATGGAATTCGACATTTGGGAGTCTTGACGGGACTGGGGATTTGAGGCAGTTTGGAAATCCGACCAGACAGGTTCTCGATGTGAGAAGGTCTCTGAGGCCTGGTCATATGATGTTCGGCGGGGGTCAGCGAGTGAGATGTCGGGAGTGGTGGAGTCGAGGATCTTGTCGTCGAGCACGCTCATCTCGTCCTCTTCGGAGAAGGCAGCTTTTGAGTCGAGAGCAGATGGCGACTGGCTGTAGAAGTCGAAGGACTGCTGAGAATATCTTGCCATGTTGGGTTGTGTTTATCGTGATGGAGAAGAAGAGGCGCAGCGCAAGATAAAGAGGCGGTGTGAAACGGTGCGGGGTGGGGAGAAAAACGGAGGAGGTCGGTAGAACGGGAGTAGTAAGTAGTAGGAGTAGTAGGAGGAAGGGACAAAAAAGGACCTCGCTGAGGAGAGGAAAGGGAGGTGGCAGGGAGAAAGTTGTTCCAAGAGGTCTCTTCTCTAGATAGAGAGACCTTCACAAAAACGGTTGCTGGATGTTGTGTACCGAGAAGGGGTCGATGGATCTTGATCTCGACGGGGACATATATCTGATATCTGAAGCAACAGAACGGGCCGAGTCAGAGTCACCAGAGGAAAGCCGCGATAGCAGCGCTCGTTCTCTTGACAGGACGAACGCTACAGGGCTCGGCGGTCTGCGGGAGAGAAAAAGACGAGGCGACGCTTTCTCGTGCGTTCCGAGCTGGCGGGCTGAAGTTATTGGATGCTCTGCGACCCTTTGGGCAGACGTGCATCTGGACGACGAGCATAAAGTAGAAGCCTCTTCTCCGTGCCAATCGCCGGAGGCGTGCGCGAGACCTCCAATAACAGTGACAGCCCCACGAACTAATAAGTAACTTATGCCAATCGTGTTTGCTTTTGCTTTTTCTGTTTCTGCGTCGCGCTCTCTCTTCGTCCCCGCCGGCCGTCCTGCTTGCCCTTGGCTTCTGGTGTCCATCTTAGCCCCAGTCCAGTTGAGGCTGGCCTTCTGACAGGACCGACAGGAGGCCGTGATTCGCGATCATTGATATTGTCATGACGGCGAGGCCTGGTACTGTCCCGTACGCTCTCTGCCCCTGCCCGAAAAAGGCCGTGGTGATATTGGTCCCTATTGATAGCACTTCCCCGACGCCATGAGATACATAGATCTATGGTATGGTCACGAACCAGCGGGTACCACTCGCTTTAGGTCGTTTCTGCTGTTTGTTTCATTATGATTACCCATATCTATGGCGTTGCCGTAGAATAGAAGAGACCGTTTGCTCTTGGCGTCCCAGCCACTTCGCACTGTAGATACATACACACTCTTGCGATAGCGACCCGCGATCTGTGGCAATGAGAGCTGTCCGGAATGTCTGCGAGAGAGGCGTATCATAAACGGAGGGATCGAATGATCAACTCATCTCAGTTTGTTTCTTTGCCAGTAGCAGCCGCTATACCCGCTTAGACCAGATTCAGGGTCTGGTGGACGATGCCCAAGCAGGCCGGCGCACGCACTGACATTCCGCCAGGGCCCATGATCTCCCTCTAGGGTCTGACGCCGTCGATTCGCCTAGAGGTACTGGACGGTACGGTAAAGGAACGATCCGGGGCCGTCTTGAACCCTGAACTAGGACTAGCGATCATACGGACCTCTTGAGGGTCATTCATCCAACGGGGAAGCCAGTGTGACCTCTCCCTCTCCCGTAAAGGGAGGTGTGATGGCACAAAGTCCAGCGCGTTTTGGCTTGCCCAAAACAAAGCTGGTTGTACTGAAGTCCCGTCCGTCGCGGCCCATTCTGTCGCATACTCGTGTGTATCAGGTTCAACTCCCGACCTGCTATTGGGACGAATAAAGAGCAGTCTAGTGTGGGCTCAACGGGCTCATCGGGCCATCTAATACGCGGTTTCAGAAGGGCGCAAGCCTGCAATTAGCTAGCGACACCACGAGCGGCCACGACGTGGAAAGAAGAATAGATAGGACGGGGACACGGTAAACAGACGAAAGCGATACCGATACAGCCAGAGGGGAACAGTAGTGCTGGTATCGTATCTGTCAGCCCCTCCCCCTCATCGTCGACGATTCCCAGGTGGCATCGACGTCGTTGGGGCTATGATAGCCATGGGCCGGCCCGCGGGGAGATGATCCACGGGAGCGAGTCAGGGTCTATGTTGGCTGTCTGCTTTACCTGGAAGCGTTAGAAGATAGAGATGCTAACCATGGTCCATCATCCATGGAACCGCAGGGGGGGAAGACAGGCACAGAAGCACTGGCATGAGCAGTAGCGGATGCAGAAGCAGGATGCACGCAGAGCACAGACTAGGAGAACGTTCAGATACTCGAGTGACGATCGAGAATGGCCAGAGAAAAGCAGACGAAGCTTTTAGACCCGATGATTTTCATTGGCGATGAACGGAGCTTGATGATGGACAGGCCAGTCTCTCCCATACCCAGTAGTTTAGTCCCGCCTGGAATGTCTCTGAGAAGGCCTTTCAACAAGGCACTGGCACCTCGTTCAAGGCATCTATGCTCCTCTCCCAAGGCACCATTTCGGGCCTCAGTACCTGCTCACCTTCTAGACACAGACTCACTTGCTCACTCTAAGCAGCGACTAGCTTCTCTTCAGTGAGCTCTTCCAATCGGGCAACGGTCGATGCTGCTTCCGTCAACGCGTGCGGATCCTACAATGGCCTTGAGCCTCATTTGCTCCAAGGAGAAGCAGACCGGCCCGATCAACAGTGTGGTGGACCAGGCAGTTCTACCGAAGATAGCATATTCTGGGATGCCTCTGGACGCCCACCACGCATCCATTGATTTTGACCTCGACTGTCGTCGAGACATGGATGTGCAGATCCTGCGGGTGATAATGGTCCACCTCCATAAGATGACAATATGTCAAACTTCGTCTAGAAGGGCGTTTCCAAAATAGCGATCGAGAGCATTGCACGGGATGGATGAGAATACTGAATCTGTGTGCCATCGCTATGGAACTGTATCTGTATCTCCTCACCAGCTAGTATACGTGGAAGGGTAGATTTGCGGCGCGATGTCTGCTGTACGATTTCGATCTTCAACGAAGCTCAGTATCAGGTCCTCACCACGAGCTACTCCTGGATCCCCCAGGTCGCATCACGATCACTGTGAAACAGCCGGTCCTGCTGTGCTGTTCGGATTTGACTTCACACTCATGCTGTTGCTAGCAAGGAGAATGAGATGAAACCCATTGATGCGGTGGTGCCTGTGTCCCAACGTGGAGGAGACTCCGTCTGGTATCGAAGAACGACATCTGATGAGCAGACTACACTTTCGGAAAGGCACGCCAACTGTAGGGTATCGAATGGCCTGTGGCCAAGTCTAACGGTGTCAGCCCGCGACATTCCCCAGGTATCTGTCCACCCCCGCCTTTCCTGACTAGTATGCGAATTAGCAGGAAAGACTATACTAAGAAAAGCTTTGACTTTTTGTTCTCGATGCTCGCGGCATGTGCGCTTACAAGATAGGAGACACAGACAATCTACCATGTGTCCCTGGATTGCTTGGAGCCATACAGAGCGAGGCTGTCACACCATCTCATCTGCAATATCCGCTCTCATAGTAGGTGGATTACGCACAGCAACTGCCCTATTCCCAAAGAGCAATTGACGTGTACTATTGCTTACAATCCGCACAATATCTCCGGACATGCATGAACCTCTGGGAAGAATGATCGAGCTCGATGAACGCTGATCAGGAGACAGATCGGCCGAACTCGACAACCGCACGGTCTTCATTGGAATAGTACCTGTTTCAGATGAAGCATTGTACCTTTCCTGGAGATGCGGAGGCTACGGCTGGGATGAATTGTCTCAGTGATGGCTCTTTCATTGTATGTGAGGCGGTCATCATTGAAACGGATAGCTCCGACGTAGCATCTGGGAGCCCAGATCTGGAGGGAACTGCACCTCTACATCATAACCACGAGGTCGGTACATGCATCTGACGCTCTAACATGCCTGGGGACTCAGGTAGCCTCGTCTATGGCCCCAAGTAGCAGTACATCAGAAGTCGCAATTCCCCCCAGAAGCAGCCAATGAACGACGGTGCCTTGCTGTGACTCATACCTCACGCTCTCAATGATGCTCGGAGAGAAGAGTCGTCCGAGAGAATGCAGTTGTTTACTGGAGCGATTTCGTACCTGAATGCTCTGCCACGTTACTCCAATAGAGCCTTGGGGGACCGGTATTTCTCCGGCCCAGAGAGGACGCTGAGGCCAGGACGTATTATGGTATGTACATACTGTCATACAGTATTACCTACGCAAAGAGCACGCACTTCGAGGACAACCCTAAAGTGTACTCAATGTAAACAAGCCGCCTGCGAATCGGATGCAAATCCTTATCCTGAAACAACCACCGCGGGTGGCCCATCGCATAAACAGGAAACATGTCCATGCGTTGAACGGTCTTCTCGCCTCACGCGTTAAAGATGCACCTAGCAAAAGACCCATGAGCGCACGTGAAAAGATAACCTGAGACAAAAAAAAAAACATCAGATGGCTCTTTCTGCTTCGAAACTCCACAGTGGCGAAGATGGCTGGGAAACAGGTCGGCCGTGCCTCTTCACTTGGACTCTGGCGGTGTAGATGGTGGTTTGGTCCAATTATACTTACTGCCGCACGACGATGACCATTCTGACCACAGATGACCACAGATTATCTACTTAGTGCTCGCACCCATCAAAAGTCAATAATAAGAATGACCACAGCACCGGCGTCGACTTGCAGGCAAAGCGAAAAACTCCATACTTAGTACTGACCCGCGCGGGAACCAAGTGGGCATCCTTAGACTGTGTTTTTGACCCTCTTCTCTTTCCCTAACCGGCCTGGATAGGATGAACCTGTGGACTCGCAAGCTGGATAGATTCTCCTACGCACGCAACAGAATATTCATGCCGCCTTCTCTACACCAGCTCTCGAGCTAACACCGCCATGCGCCCGCATGCGCGGCGCCCACGCAACGTAGAGGAAAATTGCTGTTTTAGAGTTCGTCCGTCTCGAGATCTTTGCCTCAGCCCGTATTATGCTCCGTCCTTTCTCTCTCAGGTTGTTGCCCGACAGTCATCTAGTTACCAGAAATCGGGAGGACTTGGAGACGCAGGTTGAGGCTCCAATGCCGGACTGTAACCGCTAGCGAAAGGCACAGCAATGAAGCGTAAGGAATTGCTGATCTTGGGAGAGAGAGAGAGCGCCAATGGAAGATTCCTTGAAAGACCAATGCTGCCATTAGGAAGGAAACCCGTTTCTTCCATAATATGACGCAGACAGAAACGAGATCTTTTGCGGTGAGTGGACTTATTTATCCTGTTTTTTCTTCTTTTTTCTTCTTTTCCCTCTTTCTCATTTAGCTTTCTTTTGCCGTAACAATGCCGATCGGGACAATCCTGAAATTTCCAGTGAGTTCCCTCTAAAATTAGGAGTGGTTTAATTTGATCGTCTCCTAGAAGATAATCAAGGCGCGGGAAAAACAAAAAACAAAACAAAACAATAATAATAAGATTATACCTAACTACATGCTCGACGACAATAATATGCATGAATGACACCCGGACATACTTCTCTCGGTTTAGATCCCGGCATAGGCATTGTCTACAAGTTTCCTAATCAGGCCAAGTGCTTTCACATTGATCTACGTGGGTACTTACGCATCGTACATGATAACCTCTCGCCAATAGCCGCGGAGTTGCGTCCGTGAGCAGGTAAAACTAACCTTTAGGTGCAGATCGTTGTCTCGGCCGGTGGGCAGCAATATCGAGATCGAAGTTATGACTCACAACAGAGCTCCTGGTAAACTAGCTGCTGGAAGCTGTCCGGGAGGGACCGCCTGCCCCAGGGTTTTCAGGGGTAAGATGGGGAACTTTTTCGTCTGAATGTTGACGAACTTGGTAGGAGGGCTTTTTGTCATTATTGTTGTTGCCTTTCTGACTATCTAGGAAGAAGTTCATTCTCTTGTCTATCGACCAAACACGGGCATTGGCACTTGTAACCAGTCTTGGAGAGGCCAATTCTTTCAAATCAATTTATATCTTTAACATTGACGAAATTATCTCCATTATTTTCCCTCCTCATTGATATTTATATAGTAGACCTCGCACGACCATGCTGACACCATATATAAATAATCGATAACCAAATACCTTCTACCTCGTACTATAGCTATAACCACCTCAACCCCCAGTATCTACACAATAATTAACTCATCACCGCGCAAACAGAGACATAAGTATAAACATGAACAATGTGGCTAACATACCCCTGATGAAGTATAATTAGTTAGTTAGATAGAAATCCATCATGCTTCCTGCGTTCTTCCCTCCTTCTCTCTCGGTCCGTATAAATATATATCCTATGACATAACGCTCTACTCTCAACCTACTCTAGTTACATAGACGAGTCTATTTCAAATAAACCTACATGCGTCCAATAACGTACATATCCTAGAATAAGAAGCTAATGGAGATATTACCTGTCATATCGGGATAAATCAAAACATTGGAAACCCACCTATTGGTACGGTTTTATACTGGCTGATCTAAAAGAATGGCCCTTCGATGAGGGAGTTAAACAGAACATTCATGAGTTTTAGGGAGCTTTTGGTGAATAATAGTATTGGGAGGTGGCAAGGGGTAATTGCGTTTCTACTTTCAATTCGAGCAATTCCTGATACACTGGGGGACGTGTAGCATACTAATAGGCCGCAATTGAGTATGTTGACCAAAGGGGCCGAATGTGTTTTATGGAGCCAGCGCTTGGGCTTGGGCATCATGAGCAACAGAAGTTACGGGGTCCGAGTTATACGCACTTGACTTGAGAGAACAAGTATAGTAATAATGAAAAGTATCAAATGAAAAACGTCAAATGTTTTATGCATTGACCAGGAGATGTTAAGAATAATTCAAATTACAAACCGTCACTCCAGGTCGAACTGGATTGGCAGGTATTGTGAGCGTTAAACCTAATCGTTGCTTCTTTCTCTTTTCTTTTCCTTTTCCCTTTTTCATTTCCCAGCTCACTTTTGCCTCATCTGAAGAAAACCAAAGTTGGATATCCGTAAAATTGAGAACACGTAAAACTTCTCTCCATCCACAGGATGGCGCGTTGAGGAAAATAACACAGAATCACCAATCGCTATTCTCGTTGAAAGCCCTGTGTCCCTGACGCCAAAACAGAATATCTTTCTGAAATGAGAATATATTCACAGCCAGGCAATGATGCCCGCGTAAATCTGAGATCCTCTAGCTACTTGAGCAGGGTCTCGACTACAATGCCTATGCAATTAGAGTCAGTAATAAGAAGAGCGCTCAAAACTGGACGAAATCCTGTTGCTGAGCGATCTCGCCACTGTCGACGCCAGGCTCTATCATCTCCGGACCTTCGTCGAGCTCGTCAGAGTCGACATCATCCGAGTCGATCTCTTCGTATTCCTCCTCTTCGCTGGAGAGATCGGCCTCACTGTCGGCAAGGGTATCTGCCTTGTTAGCAGCGTTCTTTCGAATCTGGCCTGCCCTGTCAACATGTGGCAACGTGCAGCGCTTTTTATGGCAAGCCCCCGTGTTGGCGTAATCAGGGCACTCGTGGACATGCCTCTGGTCGCATTCGGCACCTCTCTCGCAATAGCCAAGGGTTGCAAATTCTCGACAAACAGGGGCACCAGGTGTTACCCTAACATGGGAGTAACGACAGTCCGGGTTGGAGCAGCGCCCTCTAAGGAAGTGCATACAGGCAGGGGATCTATTGGGTGATGGTTCATGGGACAGATCACACATGGACCCAGCGCCGCATTTACCAGTCTGGAGGAACTCCTTGCAGATAGCAACCTTGTTTGGATCATGGACATAGAGACACGACGGTCCCTTATAACAAGTACCTGTAGGAAGAAAAATAGATGTCAGCATTCATCGAGCTAACCGGAAATCAACGAATATCCAAGTATCAAACGCTCAAATCGGAGAGAGGCGGGTACCCGTCGACGTGAATCTCTTGCAGAGTTCATTCTTTTTCTTGATCTCAGAAGGTTTCCTGTCTGTGTCAGCTGAAATTCGCGGGAGATTTCACTCGAGACGTACTTCTTCGAAGCGACAGCACCTAGACGGTGGAGGTTTCCGTTTTTGCTGCGAACGAAAGGAACTCCACCGACCGTGACTCTCTTCGGTGTGGAATTTGCGCTCGCGGGGTCATCTACTACAGGTAAGCGAGCCCTCTGGTTTGATCGATTGGGGACGGTAGCCGCACTGGATAATCTGATCAGTTTGCTGCCACCTCGGGCAACCTGGAATGGTATATCGTTGACGAGGATCTGATAAACTGTTGAACGTGGTGCAGTCGCAGGAGTGTGAGCTGGTACCGCACTTGGATACTGTCTCCCAGCACCCTGCGCGTAGTTAAGAACCTTTGCTTCTTCAACTTTGGTTCGCTTCTCTGCCTTGAGCTTGCGGCTCTGCTCAATAGCCTTTGTCCTCGCCTGTGCCTCCTTATCATAAATAGCAGAGTTGATCAACTGCATGTGACGATCGCGTTTCGCTACCCAGCCATTTGAGGCAGCATGCTTTACCTCACTTCCGTCGCCGCTCGCACCGGAGGAGCCAGCAGAGCCAGCTTCTGAACTTGCCTTGCCACCATTGTTGAGAACGAGGGTGCGATTGCGGTGAGGGGTTACATGACGTCGCGCAGGCGGTCTGCCACGGTATGGCGCCCAGCCTGGGTTATACCGAGAACTATGAGAAGGATAAGGAGCAGTGTTGTAAGGACGCGGTTTCTGCGCTGCTTGGTTTTTATGCTGATTGATCTGGCCTGGGCGGGGTCAGTGGCCTGACAATAACTGTCGTTTTGTACATATCGCACTTACCAGCAAGCTGACCGATCTTGGCAAGGAGATCCTGCTCTTCGGTCATATCTACCTGACTGTCAACCCTGAATGAGCGATGTTAGCTGACAGAGGAGAGGGTTTTATGGATTGTATTGTTGGGTATCGCCACGATATGAACTCGGCGATTTAAGGATCAAGTGAGCTGCCAGCCGTCACGGTGTTGTGGCGCTTAACGTCGTGAAACAGTCACGTGACTACAATGAACCGTCCATCAGCTGTTAAGTAGCATATCAATACATCATTACTGGCTATTGAGGGTGATATAGTGAATAGTTCACATCTTTGTAATATCAGAGATATATTCTTAAATAGACAAAGTCCCAGACTCCTCTTGTAGACCATCCGTTGGTGCCATATGACGCCATCACCCAAAATTACAAGCATGTAGAGCAGTTGCGATCCGTCTAAACTACGCTCTCGAATTGGACATCCTCGTTCTCTGAACCGGCACCACCGTCTTCTTCTTCGTCCATACCGTACCCTGGGTCTGGTGGGAGTTCCTCCTTTGCGTTCTGATATGCCATAGCGTAGCTGCTTTCCTTGGCTTCCGGCTTGAGTTCCCAGGTCATTGCGAAGTCACCGGATCGGACCAGATGTGCCACCATTTCCAGTGTCTGTTTGATGTATGTTTCAGGCTGATTGAGCCTTGCCTTCAGCGCGCTAAAAGGCCAGTATTTGTGCTCCCGGAAACATTGGAAGATAAGATCCAGCAACTCGTTCTGCGGCATACGAGTCGTCTTGTTTTCCTGGGGCCGAGGCTTGGTGGGCTTTGTCGCTTGCTGCTTGGAGTCAATAATGAAAAGAAGTATCGAGGAAGATATGACACGAGAATACTGACCACAAAGGCGCTCTTTTCTCCGGGTAGGACGTTGCCAGCGCGGAGCATCTTGCCCGAGACCTTGTCTATAAACCTGACCTTCTCCTTGGGCTTGAAGATCTTGAAGGCTTGTTCCTCGGTAATCTTCTGGAATTCTTCGTTCTCCACCGGCATACAGTTGAACTCGTCTCGGACCTTTCCGACGAGAGCTGTCTGCTCTATAGAAGTGTAAGCAATAACCCAAGAAATAAAATTCTTGAGGACATGAACACGCACTTGGTATCGTCTTTCGCACGTAGGGCTCCCATCTCCTCTTGCGATCCTTCCTCCGAGCCTCTCGCTTCATCGCCTCGTAGAGAGCAGAGCGCGCCTCGCCAAAAACAAGATTGACTCGATTTTCATATCCAGGAAGATCTTTTTCTGTGAATACGTAACCGTTCTGTACCGCGTAGGAGGTATTTTCGCCTGTCACGTTCTGGCGCTTTAAGATGTAGTCCTTGGGGACATCTTTGTTATCCGGTCGATCGAAAAGTCGCAGACTGATCTAATTGTTATCAGCCGGAATTACTCGAGAGAAATTTCAAATCTGAAAACCTACTCTCTTGGTATCTTCCGGTCTTCCCTCCACCCTGACTGTACCGATCTGTATCTCTTCATCATCGTCCAGATGCGCCCAGTGTTCCCACAGCGATTTCGGAATGCGCGTCAACCAGACATCCTGGGCTGCATTTGAAAAATCAAGATCTCCGGCATCTTCGTAAAGGTCATCATCCGACATAGCACCGAGCGACGTTTCCTTTGAGTCGGGGTCGGGCTTGATGAACGGCGTCGAGCCCGGCTCCTGTTTGACTTGCGACATGGCGCCAGCGAGCCCGGGTAAAGAGAAGGATGCGCGACGAACTTTGTAAGCTGCTTCTAAGCTGCAGATAGAGACAGACAGAGCGGTTGTATTTGCGTGGAGGGCGAAAATGACAGACGCGATGGTGGATGTCAGTATTACCTGCGTTCTAGGCAGCTCCGCCGAGAAGGAAAGACCTGGAGCTGCGGCGTGGGGCGGCTCTAAGGCATCTAGCGCAGTCAACTGTGGCCGCCGCCACTTCACCAACATTCGCCCAGTTTTGGCCTTACTATTCGGAGAATAACATACAAAATTATCTGCATTGTTGAAATTATGGTCTTGCAGTATGCTTCAGGGGATGATACTCTGACTTAAGAGTCGGACTATTGCAATGGAGACTTGCAGACATCGTTGCTTATCTAGTCTACAATATGATGTGCCTTCTTCCAGCTCCAGGACGTCCCTTACTAACTTCGTTAGGGGACATCTCTAGAAACTTGTTATTGCTAGAGTCCTATACTTCCATATGTCACGGTGTCGGGTTCCCAGAAAGTACTTTGTAACGGTGTGCTATGTTTGACAGCAGTAGTCGCAAAAAGGTGCAGGAGTTCGAACAATACGAAACAGGTAGTTAGTACATGGATATAATAATTAATTCCATTCATTCATTCATTACTTATCTCTCTCCCAAAAGTCCCAAGGTTCCTTTTCGAAGTACAGGTCAAGCAGTGGTAAGTTGTATTAACTGTAGTACAGACTCATCCAGCTTCCTTATCGATAAGCGGAGCTTAACTAGGTAACCTCGCTTCAAAGTCCCGCACTTGGCCGTATCTAAAGACAACCTCTTTAGTCACGTCTTCTTAAAACCCCGCTGCTTGTCCTCACATCTCCTCGTTTGGTTCTGAATCTCTTCATCTGCTTCTTCTATTCCCATCTAACTCGTCATGGCCTCACAGAAAGTCACAGACGCCTTGGCGGCGATCGAGTCGTCTCCGAACCAGCAGAACAAACCACAGCTCTACAATGACCTTCTCTCGCAGATTGTCTCTACCTCGTCTGAACATGAACTCGCTCAAGACCTCATCTACTACCTCGACTCAATCCTCAGCGAGAATATCAGCATCGTTGCAGCTCGCCCGCTTCTAGATGCGTTCATCAACGTCCTGCGCGACCTCTCCCCGGAAACCAAGGTCAAAGTTGGCCAACACGCTACTACGCTGCTCCAGTCACGGTCTGCATCGGTGGAAGAACAGGATTCGAGGATACGAGAGATCCTAGCGGATGCCTATGAAGCCCAGGAGGAGTACATCGCTGCGGCGCGGGCGCTGCAGGGAATCCACCTGGAGAGCTCGCAGCGTCTGGTTTCTGACGACTCCAAGGTCCGGATGTGGATTCGAATCTTGAGGCTATACCTGGAAGAGGATGACACGACGAGTGCGGAGGCGTTCTTGAACAAGATTAAGAACATGCCCAGCAAGATCGAGGACCCGGAGCTCAAGCTGCACTTCCAGCTATCTCAGGCACGTATCCTCGATGCCCGTCGTCGCTTCCTGGACGCAAGTCAGGAATACTATAATGTCAGTCTGGCTACTGGAGTCGATGAGGGGGATCGCCTGCACGCCCTTTCCGCGGCGATTATTTGCGCCGTTCTCGCACCTGCTGGCCCGCAGCGATCGCGTACGCTTGCGCGACTATACAAGGATGACCGTGCGACGTCCGTGGATGAGTTTGGTATCCTGGAGAAGATGTTCCTCGATCGGCTTCTGACGCCAGAGGAGGTTGCTGCCTTTGCGGAGAAGCTGCAACCACATCAGCTGGCGCAGACGGCCGATGGTTCGACGGTGCTGGACAAGGCTGTCATTGAGCACAATCTGGTTGCTGCCAGCAAGCTCTACGAGAACATTACGACGGAGTCGCTGGGTACGATCCTTGGCCTCAAGGGTAGCGGTGATATGACGGCCGCGGATCAGGCGGAGGCATACGCAGCGCGGATGGTGGAGCAGGGAAGATTGAAAGCGAGCATCGACCAGATCGACGGCATCATATTTTTCGACTCAGGGATCACGGGAGTTGGCAGCACAGGAACCGTAGGAAGAAACCTGCGGTTATGGGATGCCGGCGTTCAAGGGTTGGCAGAGGATGTCGAGCGGGTGGCAGCCAGCATATCTGATGCATTTCCGGTACGAACTTTCCTTCCCCCGTAGAGACAGAAGAACATATGCTGACTCTGTCGATTACTCCAGGATTTGGTGGCTGGGCAGATGGTGCATTGAGAGAAATTTACGAGCGACGATTACAGATAATGGCATATCGATAACGAGCCACTAAAAAGAGAACGATAGATGTTTAGGAAGGACGATACCATTAATTACTGTGGTCTTTATATTCTCCAACAGGAACAGCGTATTTTCCCTCTGGATTTAGCTAGGAGAAAAGGGGAAGAGCAGTATCTTCGATATCCGATTTTAGCAACCCTCCGGTCACCTCCACCAGCAACTCAGTCGCTCACCACCAAACATGAATTACATAGTCCGTACTCGGCGTCACTGTCGGAATGGAATCAAACCAAGGACGGAAAGCCGACTTGCGTTACGGGAATCCATACACAGCTCTAGCCGATCCGCAAATATATTTTCCGTGCAATGAAAGAATTCCCCACGAATCATATCTCTTTACGATACGGCAACCCAGGAACATGGTTTCAAGAAAGGATTTAAATCTTCCCCGGAACTCAATCAGCTTTGGTAGGGGATAGCGTATATTGATCTCTAGACTAATGTTCTTGGCTTCTTTGTGGTTTTGTTTAGATGGGCAATTGCCGACGGGTGGAGGGAGTTCAATAGCCGATCGGGGGCATTTAGGTGTAGTAATAGCCAATTAGTTAAATCTAGGAACAAGGGATAAATGTAGACGAATATTGAGTAGTATTGCTGGGATCATTGTTAGTGATTTATTTTCCAGATGATTGTTACTATCTACTGTAGATATGTATTTTTCTCCTAGTAATGATTAACTGGAGTAAAGGACGAGGTGATGACGGCAGGGCCGTTAAGTACCTATGTATGTTGGAACTTGGCCGAGAAGAACGCTAGACTACTCCATACCCCACGTCGATCAGCGGGCGGCTAGCTAGCAGAGGACCTAAGTTAACTAACTGATTCTCTCGGGCGAGAAGAGACGTGATGGATGTCCGAGTGATCGATGCGTCCAAGGAGTTATGATGTAGATGAGAGAATAATAATATAGATAACATATAATACTGAACTAGTTACTCTAGGCTGTGGATAGTTAAATTGCAGGCAATATTTATGTGAATAACATGCTTGGACAGACTGGTACCCCCAGCCTCAGGCAGGAACCTCGGATAGCGAATGGGTACGTTTCCATATCGACTCGCTAATCAAGCCGGCCAGCTTAGTAAAACATGGCGTGACATTCTCCTCAGAAATAATCAATCATTTGGATAAGCCATTCATTCATGTGATGGTCGCTGGCATTTCACATGCCACGGGCTGAGACTTCTTCTCCAGACTTTCAGCACAGACAGTTCATTACTTAAGTAGTCTGCTCGATTAACTACCGTCATATCCCATCCGCAAGAAAGTAGAAGATATCGACGGACGACTTCCCCGCAAGAAGCCATTGAAGGCCCAAGGATGGAACACCACCACTATCCACAGTGGATAGAATAGTGAGAAGATGGGATTGAATTGTAATTGTCCCACGCAATTAGTGGAACCAGTGACGGACGGCGTAAGTAATAATTCAGGACAGCGCAAGCCGACGAGCCTCGGCCGAGTGACGCGCCGCATCCAGCATGCGTCGGCTGCTGAACGACCCCGGATTGCCTGTTTGCCCATACCCTGGCCCTTGCTATTTCTTCGCCGTCATCGTCCTCTTTCTTTCTTTCTTTCCTTCTCCTTTCCCCAGACTCTACCTTCCTGGTTGCCTTGCTTGCTTCTTGTTTCATCTCTATCCCTTCATCAGTAACCATGGCACAGTCCCAGAGAGTCATTGTTGTCGGTGGTGGATGTAAGAAGCTTTCCCCGCATCATCTTCCCTACCGATCCGCGCTGACGATGATTGCTTCACAGTGTCCGGTCTGAGTGCCGCGCATACCGTCTACCTGAACGGCGGCAACGTCCTCGTTCTCGACAAGCAGAGTAAGTGCTCCTTGCTTAGGCATCACCATGCCAAACCAAATAAACTAATGCGCGACAGGTTTCTTTGGCGGAAACTCGACAAAGGCCACCTCCGGTATCAACGGTGCCCTCACGCGGACGCAGGTCGATCTTGGCATTCAGGACAGCGTCAAGGCTTTCTACGAAGACACCCTCAAGTCCGCCAGAGACAAGGCTCGTCCCGATTTGATCAAGGTTCTCACCTACCAGTCTGCTTCCGCTATCGAGTGGCTGCAGGATGTCTTCAACCTCGACCTGACGCTGGTCTCACGACTGGGGTGAGCAGAGCACAGCCGTTTGCATATCTGGGACGATCACAACTAACAGACGCGCAGTGGTCACTCCTTTCCCCGTACGCACCGTGGTCACGATGCCAAGTTCCCCGGCATGGCCATCACATACGCCCTGATGCAGAGACTCGAGGAGCTCACAGAGGCTGAGCCCCACCGTGTCCAGGTCCTCAAGAAGGCCCGTGTCACTTCCCTCAACAAGGAAGGAAACACAATCACTGGCGTCACCTACGAGTACGATGGACAGACTCACACTGCTGATGGTGTTGTCGTTCTGGCCACTGGTGGTTATGCCGCAGACTTCACGGGGGAGAACTCACTCCTGAAGAAGTGGCGCCCAGACACCTATGGCCTTTCCAGCACCAACGGTACTCACGCCACTGGTGATGGTCAGAAGATGCTCATGGCCATCGGTGCCAACGGCATCGATATGGACAAGGTCCAGGTGCACCCTACCGGTCTGATCGACCCCAAGGACCCGACCTCCAAGTGGAAGTTTCTGGCTGCTGAAGGTATGTCTTTTATTACTCGCTCACCATACGGATCTTTCATGTTCAGATTTATCTAATGGTCTACAGCTTTGCGTGGTGAGGGTGGTCTCCTGCTGAACTCCGATGGCCAGCGTTTCTCTGACGAGCTCGGCCACCGTGACTACGTCTCTGGTAAGATGTGGGAGGAGAAAGAGAAGGGAAAGTGGCCCATCCGCCTCGTCCTCAACAGCAAGGCCTCCAAGGTCCTTGACTTCCACACTCGCCACTACTCCGGCCGTGGTCTCATGAAGAAGATGTCCGGCAAGGAGCTGGCCAAGGAGATTGGCTGCGGTGAAGCCGCTCTCAAGAAGACCTTCGACGAGTACAACGAGATCGCCGAGGGCAAGAAGAAGGACCCGTGGAACAAGAAGTACTTCCACAACCTGCCCTTCAGCATTGACGACGAGTTCCACGTTGCTCTGATGGAGCCCGTGCTGCACTTCACCATGGGCGGTATCGAGATCAACGACCGTGCTCAGGTGCTGAATTCGGAGAAGCAGCCCTTCGAGGGCCTCTACGCTTGCGGTGAGCTGGCAGGTGGTGTGCACGGTGCCAACCGCCTGGGTGGTTCCTCCCTGCTGGGCTGCGTCGTCTACGGACGTGTCGCCGGTAACAGCTCGAGCCAGTATCTGTTCCAGAAGGTCCTGTCAGGCGGTGCTTCGAGCGCCCAGCAGCGCCTGGGCCAGATCTCTCTGCACATTGACCCGTCGACCCCCGGAAAGATCTCTGTCGAGTGGAACAATGCTGGTTCTGATGGTAAGGACCCTGCCTCCGCCCGTGTCACAGCCCCTGCCTCCGCTGGTCAGGACACTCCCGCCGCGGCGTCTGAGGGTGCCAAGTCTACTGCCCAGCCGGCCGGCAAGTCTGAGCCGTCGAAGCCGACTGATATCTCCCAGTTTAAGGTTCCGGAGAAAGAATTCAGCATGGAGGAGGTCGCCAAGCACAACAAGAAGGATGACCTGTGGATTGTCGTCAAGGGAGTCGTGCTGGATGTGACGAACTGGCTGGATGAGCACCCTGGTGGTGCTCAAGCCTTGTTCAGCCACATGGGTCGGGATGCCACCGAAGAATTCGAGATGCTGCACGATGACGAGGTTATCCCCAAGTACGCCGCGCAGATCGTCATTGGCCGCGTCCAGGGCCAGACTCCTAGCCTCGAGTACTAAGCATCTCCCCCCTCTCTTTTCCATCCTGAGTTGTGGAATCAAAACAGAGAACCTTTGGACTTAGTGCCAAAGAAAAATGTTCCGCAGTCCCTTCTTCTCATCGACGCCTCTTCCTCTACTGACACATTGAGCCCGTCACACATCCTTATGGCCATGTCATCCGCTTCTTACTTCTGTTCTCATGTCTATTTGCTATATCACGATGTCTCTACGTTATACTCGGATCTAAGACCCTTGGAAACAGGGCGATGTACTCCTATATGAATACGTGTTTATTTCAGACTCTCATTTCCGTGTAGACATCTATCGTATGAGAGGAGCTCAACTCTTTCTGGAGAAGTAGAACAATAGCTTTACAGGTCTCGTATTTCCTGCAAGGTATTTGCCCAACCTCAACCCAGGAATCTCCCCGAGCACCCTACTTCAAATCAGAGCCCCCACCCCGACCTGACTCTCACATGCCAACCACCCCTGATTTAACGTTCGCAATCACACAAGCTGGAGCCACCGGGAAAGAACGCGGGGTATCAACCTGAACTCTCAGGGCTCTCAGGACTAACGTAGTTCCGCTATGCTGCCTTGGCCGTCCATCCATCGAAAAATGCACGCAATGCAATTTATTCTTCGCCTGCGCTCTAAGTTCTCCCAACGGAGAGAATTGTGGTCATAAACAGGTTATTTGGTATTTATGTATACTTCCAACAATGCAAATGGGTATTTTGTTTAGTGCTTTGATATGATAATGTAGTCAAAACAAACTACTAGGAGTTGAGAGTACTTAGCACTGTTCGTTGTTATTTTCTATGTCTATTTATTTACATTCTCATATGAATAAATATGTACCTGAGACTGTCGATATCGTACAATCTGTCTTTTTTCTTATTTGTTCATATTAAAAAAAAAAATAGTAGGGTATATAGAAGAAGATATATACTATACAGACCAAATATAGTATATCATTTCTGCATGTGTTGCAAGATCATCCGCAACCTCCGTACAGCAGGGCCCTCCGCGCTCGGAGGGGCGCCCTCGTTCTTCTCCTCGATCTCTTTCTGCGCAGCTTCGAGGGCGGGTCGCAGATGTCCCCAGACTTCGTCGTGATATCTCTCCTCAACAGCCATCCAGTCCCCTGCGCCAGGAAGATTCTGGAGGACCGAGTCACGGAGAGCAGCCGTGTCTGTGGCGGGGGAGTCCTGAGCTAGGAAAGCGTCGATATCGGGAATCAAGCTCGTCGATGTGATTCTCTGTTGCTGTCCCTGCGTCCCTGAAGCCATTGATGGGTGGCGCCGGAAGGACTCGATAATCTGCACCTCTGATGCCGTTAATGGCGGTGCTGAGTCTAGGTCTGTCGAGTCAATTGGGTCTTCTTCTGTTGGCAGAAGTTCAGGTTGGAAAGATGGGTCTGAGAGAAGGGACACGACGGCGGAACCGTCAGAGGGTAATATTGTTGGATGCGCAGTTTGCGTAATCGGGATATGTGTTTCCTGTACGTGATGATGGGCTTCCCACGTGGTGTTGAATGTCGTCAGATCACTGTCTGAAGAGGCTTCTTGATCTCTCTCTTTCCCCTTCCCTTTTGCATCGGAAACATCGACGTCGTTGTATAGAAAGTTGTTATCAACGCCACGCTGGAAGTCGTCCTGGGCTAATGGATCCAAACTAAACCCGCCTTGCTGTGTCACTCCTGATCGAAAGGGTGCGGGAACAGAGCTGTTTGCACCGTGCTCTGATGCGGTAGAACCAAGCCCGCTCGCACCCTGTGATAGAAAGCTTTCCGCTGCTGCTGATGAGCCGGCGGAGAGTCCGCGCGGGGCAGATGAACCGGCCTTGCTGCCGTTTGCCAGGGACTGTGCTAGATCTGCAGGTAGGCTATGTGCCCCAGGAGCAGAGATGGCGTTTCTGAGGAGACCAGATGCAGAGTCCTGGATTCTGCTGGCCATTGATTTATTGCCCGAGGTACCCTGTCCAGATGGTTTGTCTGACGCATCGGATGGCGGTGCTTTCCGCACTTCCTTTCCTTTCTCTTTTTCAGACATGATCGATGACTGCGAGTAGAGATAGAGTGGCTAGTAAACTGAGATGTTTTATTCCCCAAACAGGAAGAGCCGTTTGACACTGGCAGTTGTGTGCAAGGCCAACGCTAGATCCTATAATGATTCCAAGTGATTCGGCCCAAGGGAGACCCAGCAAGAGGGTATGAGACCAACGGAGATGCTTCAATAGTGTAGTCAGTAGCTTTGAAGAGATAGAGAAGTAGTAAAGCGATCCGGCATTTCGGTTAAAATAACCTTTAGAGTCAGCAAACGAAGCGATTCCGGCATGTGAGTGGTTCCCCCATATTATTATGGAGGAGAAATCGGGTGGTCCAGGTCTGGAAGTAACTATATTTGACTGTGGCTCGACGTCACGCTGATCGCCGTCTGTAGGAGCACAACACCAGACAAAGGCGCTTTTGTTCTGCTGTCTAGGAGGGGAATGCTATATATATAATATATATATATATATATCCCTTCCAAGATCGGGATGATCCGTTTCTGCTGCGAGTTCACTCTCTTTGGAGGCTTCAGAGTCACAAAGGTTTGGCAGCCGCCGGCCGCACGCGTCGAGCTGGTCCGGATCTCGGGCAAACTCCCCACCAGCGTCCACGAACCCGCCTCACCTCAACCACACCGAACCAAGACCGGAATCTCACGACAGAACCGCGTTGCTGCATCAGGTCAGCCTCACCAGATTCCCTATTTCCTGAGGATTATACCTCCCCCCGCAGAGTTCTTCTTCGCTTCCTGGTCGGTTGTTGCAGTGTCGCATCTCGCTCTCCAGGCCGTCCATCATTTGTCCCTCCAGCCTGTTGCAGTGACTGAGTTGGCCGACCCTGCCCTGTCTGACGTCGCAACATCAACCCCCCCCCTCTCCCAATCGTGCTCTTGCTCCAACCCTTCCCACGTCCAGTTCGCCGTGTTGAGCCATCCGCTGAATCTCCCAACCAGTTTGTTTCGCGGAGTAATCGCCTGTTCTTTACGCTGTTGCGCCGTCTTTTTTTGTCTCCGTCGGCACACGCTACAGCTTGCTACTGAGGGGCTACCGGGCGTCATCTCTTTATATCAGAAATCCTGAGAGGAAGCACATCTCAGAACCATTCCTCGCAGTGGCACTATCTAGTAAAAACACTCTGATTTTTTCCGTTCGCTACCCGACGAAGGGTGGTACTTGAAAGATGGTAGACGGAGATCCAGGTACTCCCACCTGGAAGTTTACGCAGTAAGTCTCCCGACAAAAAACACTTCTACGTTGCTTTCTTCTGCGAGACGGGGCCAGATACCTTCAAATGGACTACATCGGCAAGAAATCTCTGGAAGTACATGCAGATGCTGGATGGTGGGGGAGAGTGATGCCTATGGCCTCGTCACTTCCCCTCGTTGCGTTGAATATGATTGGAAGATCGATCCGTTGCTGATCCAGGATGATAGATGCTTTGGCGATAAGGGAGATGTCGAAGATATCACAGAGGGTACGTTCTTGGAACTTATTTCTACCTGCCCTTCTGTTCTGGACCGCGCAAACTAATGTGTGCTGCCGCATCCTAGCCGATATTATCTCAACCGTCGAGTTCGACCACACCGGTAATTACCTAGCCACAGGAGATAAGGGTGGAAGAGTGGTGCTGTTTGAGCGAAACGAAACGGTAGCGACCCCCAGATCGTCTTTGTGGACAGGATTGTTCTGATCACCCCCACAGAAAAAGACATGCGAATACAAGTTCCACACAGAGTTCCAGTCGCACGAGCCGGAATTCGACTATCTAAAATCGTTAGAGATCGAAGAAAAGATCAACAAGATAAAATGGTGTAGACGACAAAACGCTTCCCACTTCCTCCTCTCAACCAACGACAAGACGATAAAGCTGTGGAAAGTGTTCGACAAGTCGCTGAAGGTGGTCGCGGAGAACAACCTCTCGTCAGAACTGACTCCTGGCGGAGCTGTGGGAGGAGGTGGTGCTCCTCGCACACCGCGTGTGTCGTTCAAGGACCCCTCCGCGTTGAAACTCCCCCGAATGACGCACCACGACACCGTCGTTGCAGCCGTTCCCCGAAGGACCTATGCGAATGCCCACGCCTACCACATCAACAGCATATCCGTGAACAGCGATGGCGAGACATTCATCAGCAGTGACGATCTACGAATCAACCTATGGAATCTGAATATTCAGGACCAGAGCTTCAACATTGTCGATATCAAACCAGCTAATATGGAGGAGCTGACAGAGGTGATTACGGCTGCAGAATTCCACCCGACCAGCTGTAACTGGTTCATGTACGCGAGTTCCAAGGGAACGATCAAGCTCGCAGACATGAGGCAGAGTGCATTGTGCGACCAACACCAGAAACGTAAGTCATAAACCCAAGCAGGCTTTTTGGTGGTGGGCACAACTGATATTTAATTACTACAGTGTTCGAACAAGAAGAAGATGCCTCCTCCCGTTCTTTCTTTTCCGAAATCATTTCCTCCATTTCTGACGTTCGATTCTCTCATGATGGTCGCTACATCCTTTCGAGAGATTACCTGACCGTGAAGATCTGGGATGTCAATATGGAGAGACAACCAATCAAGACAATTCCTATCCACGAACATCTACGACCCCGTCTATGCGACACATACGAGAATGATAGCATCTTTGATAAATTCGAGGTCGTCTTCTCGGGCGATGCCGAAAACGTCATGACCGGAAGCTACAACAACAACTTCATGATTTACCCGACGGATCCTAATAAAGACACGGAGGTGGTATTGCAGGCGGATAAGTCCGCTTTCAAGGCGAAGAAGGTCGGAGTGCCAACTCCGATCAACAAGAATGGCAAGAAGGGTGGCTCGAGAGCTGGGAGCCCTGCGGGACCTGGCTCACGCATGAGGAAGGAGACCGACGCGGACCAGATCGATTTCAACAAGAAGATCCTACATATGAGCTGGCATCCGTTTGAGGATAGTATTGCAATCGCCGCGACCAACAATGTAAGTTTCCCACTTCCTGGCACACTCAGCATGGCTTGGTTCAATTGCTGTGAAACTAATCGTCTTCTAGCTCTTCGTCTTCTCTGCACTCTAAGCAGTCACTTTCTGGCAATGATGTGATGGATTGATGTCAGTTATTGACGGGACGTGGGGCGATGAGCGACCTTGAAGGTCGATATGATGGATATAAGGCCTGATACGAAGATAAAATGGTAGAGCAACAGGGACAGATTCAATCCAAGTTGCCAGTTCAGATAAACCTGGAATTCGGTCCATACCTTTCTCTTGCCTTTCCCTCAACTATTTTTTTCGGTCCATTGCCCCTTTGTCATCCTCCCCGCCGTTTTCCTTTGCGTGGTCTTCAGATATTTGTCAAGGCGTTATCTCTGGAGCCGGGGAGACGCTGGACTTTCATTTCCCAAGTCCACCCCTCAACGCGTCTCCCATCTCCCCAGAGTGTACTGCGCTTCTAGTAACACCGCCTAGCTTATAACTCTTGGATGTATCCAGATGCTTGGACGCCGAAATCATTGCGATGGTGGGGAACATAGAAAACAGGCTACGAAACCCGGTTCCACATCACGGTTTGGAGCAGAGAAATACATTGCATGTGTTCGATCATTAGAGATTATGCAGCTCCTTTTAGAATATACTTTCTGCTAAGCGGACAATAAGTGTATAGTTAGTTATTCCTTGGATTATTGCTTCTCTACTCTACTTTTGTCGGCGCCGAGTATTTCCCCAGAGATGCCGACCGAGCCAATCAACGATGGGCGGCATATTATGACCGGAAAATCATGACTCCGACCAACAGGCACTTTTCCGGATAAGGCTTAGTAGGATGAAGTCCTGACCACCGCCCTCCAGGGCCGACCCGTGATCGGTCGCGCGCAAACCATCGTCACTAATGGTTGCTTGCTCCGAGAATCCTCCTTCTCTTTCACTTTGATTCATCTATTACTAACTGCCCTCTCCTACTCAGCACGGGGTCTGGCAGGGAATACTGGTTATATGTCTTATCCCTCACTTTTCTAGATTCCTGCAGCGATGTTCCTGTTATAGATCCTTTGGGAACCCAAAGACCAGATCCAGCGAGAGAACATTCAAGAGCAGAGCTTATTGCAAGGCCAGCTCGGCCCGATCCTTACGACCCCTTCCTTTTCCTTTTTGCGCTGTTGAGACAACGCAAGGCTAGATCTTTGTGTGTCTTGAGATCAAGTTCATGCGTTGATAATGAATCCTTCTGGTAATGATAACTGGCACTCTGCCGGGGGGCCGCCTTCGCACCCGGGGATGGACCAGTTAAACCAACAGCCACGGCCCCTGGGGTCGTTTGGGTATGTGCTCTCCCTCACATTGGCTTTGCGCATTAGAGTCATCTGTCCATACCTATGAAAAAGGCCTCTGGCTGACTTTCCGTTTTCACTGTGCACAGTCAAAACCCGCCTCAGCAAGGACCATCTTCACAACCTGCGGGGCCCGTTCTACCGCCTCCAGCTGGTAAGAAATCGACCATCTCCATTTCTAGGAGCGCAAATAGAGTCTCGGGATTCTGGCTGACTTGTAAATTTGGTACTAGGTCCTTACCACCCTGTAAGCCAGCCTTCTGGCCATTCGTTGCCCGGTTTGGCGGAATTAAGCCAAGGCCCTGGTCCGCACCAACCGCCTCCGTTTGGACAACATCCGCAAGGCCCTTCTCATAGTGCTGGCCATTCACTCCCTGGAATCGGTCAGGCGATGCAGCATCCTTCACCGCAGCCGCTGAATCGAGAGCGCGAAAGAGACTCCAGGGAGCGCGAGATGATCGAGAGACAGCGGCAGGAGGAGATCGTACACCGGGAACGGGAGCAGCGCGAACGAGAGAGGGAACAACAGATACAGCAGATGGAACGCCAACAGCGGGAGCAGCAGCACCATCCTGTCCAGAGCCACACGGGTTCGATCCCGATTCACCAGCCCGTCGCCTCGAAAGTTCCCAACTCGATTCACGGACCGAATGGACTCCTCTCGAACCTCGGTGCAAACCCGCCGCCAAACCCGCCGCAGAGCGCGATGCAGTCTTCTGGTGGCCCGGGTGGTATGTACGGTCCGCAGATACAGCATGGCGAAGGAACGCCTAGACCATACATGCAGCATCCTCCTCAAGGACCGCCGGGGCAGCCGATGCTTGGTTATAACGGCCCAGCTCCTCAGATTCCCGGAGGCGTTGCAGCTTTAGCGCAGGGCCAGCAGCCCATTCTCAATGTGAGTTCGGACCTCTTCATATGGTGCCCCTCATATTCTCTCTTCGCGGCGTTCGTGATGGGAGAGCACTATATGCAGCACCGAAAAACTTGGGTGAAAATGAGACTAAGCTTTTACTGATATATTCGTAGGATGCGCTGAGCTACCTTGACCAGGTTAAGGTGCGCTTTGTCGACCAGCCCGATGTGTATAACAGATTCCTCGACATAATGAAGGACTTCAAGAGCCAAGCGTGAGTACTCTCCCCACCTGTCTGTGCGAATATTGCCTGACTCTTGTAGTATCGATACCCCAGGAGTTATCCAGCGAGTTTCCACGCTTTTCAACGGCCATCCCGCTTTGATCCAAGGATTCAATACCTTCCTCCCCCCGGGTTACCGGATCGAGTGTGGGACGGAGGACAACCCCGATGCGATTCGCGTAACAACGCCGTCGGGAACGAATACTCTGTCAATGACGCGCCCTCGTCCTTCCATGGAGTCCGCTGGTGAGTTGGGTCCTTCGGGTGGACTTCATCCTGGTCGTCCTGATTACTATGATCAATCTCGTCCTGGCTGGCAACAGGCTCAGCACCAGCCACAGCAGGGCGGAATTCCCCCTTCATACTCTCCTGGTGCTCGTATGATGGGACCCGGAATCTACGGGCAGCAAGGCCAAAACCAGCCTCAAGACGCGCATTACGAATATCAGAGCCAGCAGGAGCAACAGGCCTCTGCCGCGGCCCTTGCCCACCAGCAGCAGGAGCGTGGGGTTTCGCAGCTCCAGAGTGCCGTGTCAGCGGCCGCCGGTGGCGCTGGGCGTCCATCCATGATGCAGGCTTCCCCCGGGGCAGCCCAGGGTCCTGGCATCACTCAGCCTATGAGCAGTTTGGCTGGCATCGGATCTGGGATGCTCCAAGGCTCTCAGACCGATCTCAACAAGCGTGGTCCTGTTGAATTCAACCATGCGATCAGCTATGTTAACAAGATTAAGGTTAGCGGACGCGAGACACGTTGACATAGGATTGTAGATTGAGGGCTAACCGTGATTTTTTGTTAGAATCGCTTTTCTAGCGCCCCCGAGATCTACAAGCAATTTCTTGAGATTCTGCAGACTTATCAGCGCGAGTCAAAACCCATTCAAGACGTTTATGCTCAGGTAACGCAGCTGTTCAATACTGCTCCCGATCTTCTCGAGGACTTCAAGCAGTTCCTCCCAGAATCTGCAGCACACGCCAAGCAGCAAGCACAGGCTGCCCGCCAGGCAGCGGAAGATGCTGCTCCTGTGAGCAATGTCCGTGGAGAACCGGGATATTCCACTGCTGGTGTTTTGGCACAATCTCAGACGCCTAGCCGCGATGTAAAGATGCCACCACTGGGCCAATTCAACGTCAAAGACTCTGCAAAGGACAGTAAGAAGCGTAGAGGCGGGCCCGGTGCCCCTGGCACTCTGGGTTCAGTCCCGGGGCCTTCGACAGTGGACGCTGCACGGATGACAGATGCTCAAGCTCGGGCGCAGGGACTTCAGGTCGGAAATGTCAATAAGGTAAGTGAATTATTGTTCTCTTTGTTCTACGTCGAATGGAGCCGGTCAATGGTGGTGTTATTCATGAATGGCCTCAATGGCGTGTTACTCTCGCATCGAGTCATACATCGGGAAATACGACATCCCACTTCAGAACTCAACCTGCAGCGCGACATATTCTCTGCTACAACATACGTTCCACGCTGCGATACTTCCTCCAACCGTCTTGACCTTTTTCTTCACTATCTTCAAAAACTCGCAATCCAACATATCCACCTTGCTGGCAAGGTGAGATCTTCAGAGATCTCGAACGCGGCGAGTTCATTTTCTTTCTCCGCCTCCCCCTCGTGAGATCCTTGCTGGCCAAGGATCTGAACCATCGCCAACTCCGACTTCTCCAACAGAATGGCTCCCAGAAAGCCTGCGCCCGCCAAAAAGGCGGTGCCAAAGGGGGCAACGACCCCCAAGACAGCCACGAAGAGGACTGTTGGCAAGAAATCCCCAAAGACGGCATCATCTGAGGTGCCTGCTGCCAACCAGGGCACGGCCTCAGGGGGTTCGTCTTTGCCTCGGAGAACGACTCGGTCGATGACGGCCAGGCAGAAGGCGGGGGTCGCGCCAGCAAGCAACACCGCTTCGCCGGTCGAAGTGGTGGTCCCTCCTCTCGCGGAACAGTTACAGGTTCCGCGGAGGGACACTGGCAAGAGGGTGAGGTTCCTCCTCCCAGAGGAGCCAAGCCCCAGCCCCCAGCCTGAGCCTGCGCCCGAACCGTCCAGGAAGAGGAAGAGGGGACCAGAGACTCCATCTCCGGAGCCAGAGAGCCAGGGAGGCGAGGGAGGGGAGGGAGAGGGGCCAAACAAGCGGCCAAGAATCTACAATCTCGACCCCGATGTCGCAGTGATCGGGATGTTTGTCCTGAGGGAGGTGGCCCCTGTCACCCCAGTCAATCGTGCCATCATGGAGTGGCTCATGAAGACGGGGCCACCAACCCCTCTGCCATTGAACATCCTGGACGCATCCGAGGATGAGGACGATTCCGAATGAGCAGCCTCTTCGTCGAAGGCCGGCAAAGGGGCTGTTCGTTGCGGGCGACGAACAGCCCCCTGAACACCACGTGGAACGTTACCATCAATTGACCGGCGCCATTCTTTCAATTCATTTTGTCTTTTGTTGTTTTAGGTCCCATGCGCTTTGCTAATGTCCTTTCTTCAAGCGTGCCAAGGTCCATCATACAAAGCCAACGCAGATTGAGGCCCCTGCAGTATCACCAACTCTTGTTCCCGCTCTTCCAGAGCCAATTCCACCTACGTTCTCACTGACGCCCAACCATGACGAGTTCGCTTTCTTTGATCGTGTCAAGAAATTCATTGGAAACAAGCAGACCTTCAGCGAATTCCTCAAACTGTGCAACCTATACTCGACCGATCTCATTGACAGAAACGTTCTTGTGAAGAGAGCGGCTGGGTTCATCGGCTCCAACCAAGAACTCATGTCGTGGTTCAAACGTTTCATGCACATCGATGATCCAGAGGACAAGGTCATAGATTTGAAGCCCAAGCAGGACTCTGGCGTTGTCAACCTCTCTCATTGCCGTTCTCTGGGACCAAGTTACCGTCTGCTCCCCAAGCGTGAGCGCCAGAAGCCTTGCAGCGGCCGCGACCAGTTGTGCTACAGTGTGCTTAACGATGAGTGGGCATCTCATCCGACCTGGGAATCCGAGGACTCTGGCTTCGTTGCGCATCGTAAGAACCAGTTTGAGGATGCGCTACATCGGATTGAAGAAGACAGACACGACTATGATCATCACATTGAAGCGTGCACCCGTACTATCCAACTCATTGAGCCCATTGTCCAGCAACTGCTAGTCATGTCGGAAGCGGAGCGTGCTGCATTCAAGCTGCCTCCCGGACTTGGTGGACAGAGCGAGTCAATCTACCAGCGTGTCATCAAGAAGATTTACGATCGCCAGAGGGGACAGAAAGTCATCCAGGACATGTTCGAGAGGCCGTGCCACATTCTACCTATCGTCCTCTTCCGCCTCAAACAGAAGTGCGAGGAGTGGAAGGCTAGCCAGCGCGAGTGGGACAAAGTTTGGCGTGAGCAGACGCAGAAGGCTTACTGGCGTAGTCTGGATCACCAGGCGATCGCCAGCAGGGGTAGCGACAAGAAGCTCTTTGTGGCCAAGCACATTCAGCATGAGATCCAGGCAAAGTTCGAGGAGATCAGGAACCTCCGCAAGAGTGGCTACCAGGTGCCCAAGCACCAGTTCGAGTTCGCCTTTACGGACCCGGCCGTTATTGTCGACGCTACTCACTTGTTACTCATCTTCATCGATCGCAACTCTGCTGGCTTCGGGTCTGATCCCCAGAGGGTGATGGCATTTATCAAGGACTTCATCCCCATCTTCTATGGTATGGATCGTGACACTTTCCACATGTACATGAACGAGGTCTCCAATGACACGTCTCCGGCGGAAGAAGTCGATGAAGAGAGCGTGGCTCCCGAAGACGTTTCGACTATCCGCGGCAGGCGTGCTGTCAACGGGAAGAAGTTGGATCTTCTTCGTGACGTCCTGGAGCGTCGCACCGAGAGATCTAACCGTGGCGACAAGGAGGGCAGTGCCTCTGTTAGCCGCGACGGAACTCCTGATGCCGTGCTGATTCCGTCGACCCCCATTCCGGATCCCACGGAGCCGTTCGACGTTGCAGAACTCAAGTGGATGGAACACCCTGGCCAGGGCAACTTCAACCAGCAGCGAGAATACGCTCTTAATGAATCGTATGGGAAGAAGGTCCATCATCTGTATGCCAACCTCAACATTTATTGCTTCTTCCGCACCTTCGAGATCCTCTATTCTCGCTTGTTACGCATCAAGCTTCACGAGAAGGATGCGCACGAGGATGTCCGTCGCGCACTCCTGCCCAAGGCCGCGCATGACCTCGGCATGATCGACAAGTTGCCTACTGATTTACTGTATGACTGCGACCCGAAGGCCAACTTCTACCAGCAGATCGTGCGCATGTGCGAGGAGGTGATCAAGGGAGACATGGAGGTGTCTCACCTGGAGGAGACTCTGCGCCGATACTGGCTGAAGAGCGGATACCAGTTGTACAATCTGGAGAAGATGCTTGCTGGTATTGCTCGATTCGCTGGTGGGATTTTCAACAGCGATCCCAAGGATAAGAGTGTCGACATCATCAACCTGTTCTTTAAGGAGCGAGACCGGGAGGAGACGACACACAACCAGGAGATTCAGTACCGCAAGCAGGTGGAGAGGCTCGTGAAGGATAGCGATATCTACAGGATCACCTACGTAAGTATTCTCACCGATCCTTCCCGTGGGCGCATGGCTGACCGCAAACCCTATAGGACCCTGCTACCCAGCACGCGAAGATTCAGCTCATGACGGCCGAAGACAGCACGCTGGAGAACGAAGAGCTCAGCCAGGAGGCACGCTGGTCGTACTACGTTTCCGCCTACACGATGCGCGATCCGACCGAAGGGGTTCCGTTCTCTCAGATGCGTATGCCGTTGCTTAAGCGCAACCTTCCGCCCAAGATGGAGCAGGACGAGGAATACAACCAGTACTACCGTCGTCTGGTCAACCACGATGGCCTTGTGATTCGCATCTGCGCCAACAGCTACCACATCCTGTACGAGCCCGGTAGCTACGACTGGTGGTGGCGTCCACCGGCGCGCACTCACGAGTCGGCGGAAGAGAAAGCGCGAGGGGAAGCGGCCGTCAAGGAGCGCCGTCGGGACCGGTTCATGGAGAAGTTTGTCAACAACCCCAGCTGGGCGCACGGGCTGAGCAAGGACGAGGTGGACGAATCGAACCAGCGCTTCCGTTCGTGGATCCAGGGGCCCGACGCTGGCGAGTCTGCTGGCGCGGAGAAGCCGGAGGAAGCGCAGCCGAAGGAGAAGGAAGACACTGAGATGGCTGATGCCGAGCAGCCATCAGCGTCGGAGAGCAAGGAGTGACGGTTGGGGCCATAGTAGGGCGTTCACGTGACTTTATCTGGATCATACGAGGGTTGCTTTTGATTTGCACCATAATACCGCCATGTATCATGCATTCTTCCTATTTTCTTTGTGCCTCTCCTTTTGTTATCCTTTTTCTTGTGTTCTTCCAACGGGGACTTGGACCAGGAGTTGATTGATCCCGCCGGCTGTGGGAGGTTTAGGACCGTCGTGCGAGGCTGGGGGAGGCCCCTGCATGTCCGGTACTGAACCTTGTCTCCCACCAGCAGAATGTTATCCCCTCCGCGGGCGGTCCACAGTGGCGCCACTGATCTGGGGAGAGAGCAGGAGCAGAGAGGGGGGGAGGTGGAGGGACATGTAACAGCTGGGGGAGTTGTGGGGGTGCTCTGGGGAAAACACGGGCTGGAAAGGAGTCGTGGACTCTGGCATCAGGACATATATTGTGTGTAAGGAACCGAACCGAATGTACCGAATGTATTCTAGGGCATGTTTTCTCTTTTTTCTTGTGTTTTCTTCTTTCTTCTTTTGTTGACCGCCATGTGTCTTTTCTGTTCTGAAATTGATGGAACCGGGATCCATTGTACGATACGATGAGTATTACTATATTCTACAGGGTGCCACTCGTATTATTCTTCCTGCATTGTTTCGCTAGCATTGGCTGTTCAGGGGTAGTGATCAATAATAAAATCACCAGTAGTATGCAACTAGCAGTATGTAACTAGGTAGCAAGCAGTAGTAACTAATAATAATCACCATAGCTAACGAGGGTGATACTACTACTACTACCTATCCAGGATCCTCGGGAAGGCCGTAGCAGAGCTCCGTGTGTCCGAGAGAAGATAGCCGAAGGAACCGATTTCCATCCAACGCCCCGGTGGATTCGGTGTGGACCACGGGACGGCGGCAATAATGTCGACGGTGTTCACTTGACTCGAAGTAATGTATTTTTTGCCCATCAGAGGAGGGGGGGGGGATGACTTCAATGATATATACTGGGAGACTCCGGGGTAATAATACAATAATTGAAAATCGGATGAAATCAGAGCAAGTGAGAAATACCATAAATAAATAATTGAAGGCGATCGATTGGAGCAGGACAAAAGCCGGGGATCTGCCGCGGGTCCGGCCGGCCGTTCTGGTAGGCCGAAATTCCACCGGGCCGGCCTTTACGTCACTGTGTGGTTTTTTTTGTTTTTGCCACGAGAGAGAGAGAGAGAGAGAGAGAGAGAGAAAGAAGATGGAGAGATAGAGGGAATCAGAGGGGCAGAGAGAGAGAGAGATGAAAGGGAAGAAGGGAAGGGGGGGTGATATAATAGTATGATGTCGAATTGAGTCGCGTTGAGTCCATGATAGGATCATATGGTAGTTATATATGGAACCAGCTTTTATTTTTACCAATTATTATTCAAGTCAATTTAATTAATATTTATTATTCTAGACTAATCTAATTATTTATGAATCTATACAATACGGTAATTAATTAATTATCTACTATCTACCAATACGGACTAAAATCAACTACCTGCTGCTCCCGGATTCCCGCTCCCCTCCCATCCGCCTTCGTTCGGCCATCTCCACCTTTTTTTTCAATCTGCCCGTGGGGATTTGCTCCCTTTTTTCCTTTTTCTTGCGCCCCCCTCTCTGTCCTGCCTCTCTCTCTTCCTCCATATCCTCTGATTCTTTTCTCTTCTTCTTCTGGTTCTGACCATCTCCCCTCCAGTACTCGTGTGGAGTCGTTGTGAACCATCATGGCTGCTTCCGCCCTTCTGAAGAGCCGTGTCCAGCGGGCTTCGTTCCTGAACAAGCTGGCCAAGCCCGAGGACCTCATCGACCTCTTCCCCAATGGCACCTATATCGGCTGGTCCGGTTTCACGGGTGTGGGATATCCCAAGTGAGTGATGACCACCTTCTCATCCCATCGATACATATACCTATATACTATATGATATATCATTGTATATGTACGCAGGGCAGCTCGCGCGGCGCAACGGAAGCTAACAGGCAATTTTCTTGCGCGCTTTCAGGAAGGTTCCCACTGCTCTCGCCGACCATGTCGAGAAGAACAACCTCCAGGGTCAGCTCAAGTACAACCTCTTCGTCGGTGCCTCCTCCGGCGCGGAGACTGAGAACCGATGGGCCAAGCTCAACATGATTGAGCGCCGTAGCCCTCACCAGGTCGGCAAGGAGATTGCCCGCGGTATCAACAACGGTAACATCAAGTTCTTCGACAAGCATCTGAGCATGTTCCCCTCGGACCTGGTCTATGTAAGTAATCAACCCGACAGAGCAGAGCAGAAGAGAGAGCCACTGAGGTCAAGATCGAGTGGCTAACAAGCAATGATAACAGGGCTGGTACACCAAGGACAAGCCTGGCAACAAGCTCGATGTGGCCATCATTGAGGCTTCTGCCATTACCGCCGATGGTGGTATCGTTCCCGGAGCGTCCGTGGGTGCCTCTCCCGAGCTCATCCAGATGGCCGAAAAGGTCATTATCGAGGTGAACACGGCCAGCCCGTCGTTCGAGGGTCTGCACGACATCACCATGTCGGATCTCCCCCCCGGCCGCAAGCCCTACTTGATCATGGCTCCGGAGGACCGTATCGGTACCCCCTACATCCCCGTCGACCCCGAGAAGGTCGTCGCCATTGTCGAGTCCGACTACCCCGACATGACCTCTCCCGTCGCTCCCGAGGACGAGGTCTCCCAGGGTATTGCCAGCAACCTGATCGAGTTCCTGCAGCACGAGGTCCAGCACGGCCGTCTGCCCAAGAACCTGCTGCCCATCCAGTCCGGCATTGGTAACATTGCCAACGCCGTCATTGGCGGTCTGAGCAAGGGCGGTGCCAACTTCAGCAACCTGAAGGTCTGGACTGAGGTGCTCCAGGACTCTTTCCTGGACCTCTTCGACAGCGGCAACCTGGACTTCGCCACGGCCACCTCCATCCGTTTCTCCCCCGACGGATTCAAGCGTTTCTACGACAACTGGGAGCGCTACGCCGGCAAGCTGCTCCTCCGATCCCAGCAGGTCTCCAACTCGCCTGAGATCATCCGTCGTCTGGGTGTCATCGGTATGAACACTCCCGTCGAGGTCGACATCTATGCCCACGCCAACAGCACCTGTGTCATGGGTTCGCGTATGCTGAACGGTCTCGGTGGTTCCGCCGACTTCCTCCGTAACTCCAAGTACAGTATCATGCACACTCCCTCCGTGAGACCCAGCAAGACCGACCCCACTGGTGTCTCCTGCATCGTCCCCATGGCTACCCACGTTGACCAGACTGAGCACGACCTCGATGTTATCGTCACTGAGCAGGTAAATCAATCTCATTTTCTCATCAATGGCGAAATCGAATTCCCGCATGCTAACTACCGATATAGGGTCTGGCTGATGTCCGTGGTCTTTCTCCTCGTGAGCGTGCCCGCGTCATCATCAAGAAGTGCGCCCACCCCGACTACCAGCCCATCCTGACCGACTACTTCGACCGGGCCGAGTTCGAGTGCTTGAAGAAGGGTATGGGTCACGAGCCCCACATGCTCTTCCAGGCCTTCAAGATGCACCAGAACCTGGCAGAGAAGGGATCCATGAAGATCACCTCCTGGGAGTAAAGTCTTGGCTGGGTTTTGGTTCTAGTTCTGGGAAAGCGAGTGCATGAGTTTGGGCATGTATACTATACAATTCTTTTTTTTTTTTTTTTTGAGTTATGATCGAGATCTCTAGCGTAGATTTCAAAGCCATCGGTCTTTTCTGTTCCGCCGTCGTATGGAACTAGAAAATTTCATTGCATTTTCTTTTTGGATATCCAGTTGAATGAATGCTTGTCGTGACACGCAAACAGACATGATTTCAGCCTTGGGAATATGACATCCTTCCCAAATTACGTTCGTAAACCATATCTCCTCCCCAACAAGAATCAGATTCCAATCTGATGTTTTGGATATTCTCAATCCATCATCATCATCCATACAGACGTCGAACCCCGCGTCGGAAGGATCTGCCAGATACGGAAAAGCATACCTACGAAACTGGGAAGCTTCCAGCGAAACAGAAGGGAATAATAATACATTTTATCGAATCAGCGGAGTCATTTTCCAGCTTAGTTATTATTGATATTGACACAGTAACTAACTAGCACGGTTGATTTTACCCGCAAGCATAAGCATACAGCAGGACGGGACATTGGTCCGTTCCGTTCCTCCCGAGACACTATTACTGATATAACTACCTAGCTGAGTGAGTACATATGAATGATTTCTTAAATGAGTGATAACATGCGAATGTAATCCGGCTCCGAAGTAAGAACACGTACAAAGAGTGTGTTATGTTCATGTCGTGGGCAGACGAACTCCCATCTCACTACTAACTTGGCTATCCCGTTCCATTTGAACTTGTCAGTCATGAGTGAGCGAAGCGGTCATCGGCAGCCTCCGAAGCGGGCGCTAGGCTCCATATCTGCCAGTAACTACATAATAATACCGAGGTAGTCAATGTCAATTGGATGTCATGACTCTCATGATCGATTAAGGACAAAGTCAGCCTGACGCGAGGACGATTCTGACGTGCCAGAGTGGCGTTACCATTTCAACTTTTTGGCCGGGAAAGAGAGATCAAGCTCCGTCGATGGCGTCTCGGTCTTATTCCTGTTCTATTTTTTCTGCTTGTCTATATAATTTCCTTTCCATGAGATATGATTGTGATTATTCGACATTTGAGATAGTTACTATGTAGTTAATAATACTCCATCTATTAATAATATGTAACTTAACAGGATCCATTAGGTAGTTAATTCTCCTTCTGAGTGACATGCGGGGGACACCCGAACGCAGGGACCTTTTCGGATCGTCGTTGTTCGACCGGCAAGCCGAGAATCAATAATTAGAAAAATTGAACTAGTTGATTGATTGGATTTCGGCTTCCCAGCCCTGAGGCGTCGATCAGACCACTTCGGTTCTTAGTTGACTTCTCTGCGCTACTCTCCCGGTTTTTCCCTACGCGAAGCTCAGCCCAGCTCTATTCCGTCTTTTCTGATGGGTTGGTTTCCCCCGTATTTTGTTCGTTGGATGATTTGGGGAAGATGGATTATTGGTTCGCTTTCCTCTTCCTCCACCGACTGAACAATAATCGGGGCCATTGTGATTCGACCATCCGAGTCAGGAGACTATGGTATGGTACGTATTGAGCCTCTTCTTGTTCTTGTTCACTGACCTGACATGTCTGCGGTTGAAGACTTCTACTAACTATCTACGTAGTACGGAGTATACCGCTCTGCGGTGCCTGATCGTGCCTGTCTATCGTCATGTTGTATCTCGGCTTCATGCATCACCCGGTGGTGTGGTCGAGCTCTGGCCATGTGTTCTGCCTATCCATGTCATGCCAGATTGACTGAATGTATGTATGGACCGTATATACGGATGAATGAGTATATAGTATATATATACCCCATGATGTTCTTTTCCTTCTGGTACCTATTCATCAGAGACAATTGTCTATTTGATTATCATCATCAAGTTAGTTCACTATCGGGTGTATACAACTACCTCATCTCTCTATAAAGAAGATATTACCTCACACACATACACACACACAAGTCGGAGATCGACTTGAAACAACCGGCACACATGGCATCCCGGACGGCACAAACCGCAGCAAAGTCTGCGAAACGACAGAATGAGTTTGGAGCTGATCTCTGGGTGAAGGATCAGTCCAAGACCTATAGAGTATGTTCTCGCTCGTACCAATGTTGATTTGATACGTATCTGAAACTAATATGGTGTTGTTGGCATGTAGCATCCCACAGGTGGTCGTGGCATGTTCGCGGGTCTTCAGGACGCGAAACACTACAATGTCGAGGGTGGATGGGCGAAACGAGCCCCGGATGAGAGGCCGGGTTTCTTCTCATGGCTTTATAATAGGATGTAAGTAGGCCTTGTTTTTTCTTTTTCTTTTGACGATTTCTTGTCTTCACAAAAGGCAAAGTTTTACCCATCTATTGTTTGGTTTTCTGCAAATGATCACGGATGAACATTCGTTTTCAGTTTGACAACCGAAATCGAAGGGTCTAGCTGGCGGCAGATGCGGGCGTGGGCGACGATGATGATGGCAACGGCAGCGGCAGCGAGGGAGGAAAGCAAGATGAATCTCCAACCACATACGAGACCGATCTTGGAGCCCGTCAGAGTTCCTATCTCAAGAACGCAATCGCCATCTCCCATGGCAGCTCTAGCGATGCGGATGAGGCAGAATGCCCAGAGACGAACCATGACCACCATGGCATATCCATATCCATATCCATCGCCTTTTCCCTTTCTCGCTCCTCTATCACAAACTACTGCTCTTCGCCGTCACCGTTCCTACCCACGTCCCCGTCGACTGCCTGCTCGCGCTGCCATGCCCCCGTCGTCAGCAGCAACAACCCGCCTTAAACTTCCCGTTCCTCAAGTTTTGACAAAAACATTTCCGCTAACCGTTGTCTCTCTTGCTCTCGCGGCTGCAACAGCGTCTTGGGTGGTGTCTATCGTCCTACGTCCGATTAGTCATTTCCACCTTTCGTCGTCGTCGTCGTCTACATCAGCGTCGTCCCCCCTGGCTGACCCGACCAGCCCCAGACGACCTACGACTGCAATTCCGCCCCCTCATCAGATCTACGATGAAGCAATGTACAAGGACCCTGCATTCAGCGCTCTGATGACAGAAGAATCGGGCAGCCATCTTTCCCTTGGACCCGTTGCTTGTTTCTTTCTTCCTTCCGCAGGCGAGGAACAGCATGTGTTGCGCGAGCGATATGATTATTCTTTCTGGGTGGATGGGATGGATAGCTGAGTGAGTGGGCAGCTTGGAATGGATATTTGATGGGCTGATTTGGAAATATGCATTGCATTGCTTCTCTGAGTTTGCTTTTGCGTTTTAATCTGGTCTTGTCTTTAGCGGCGTCGTTTGCATTCGCGTGGCTGTGGTTATTTGTAGATGATTATTTATTGTTTGATGAACTTGTTCTGGTTATGTGGAGTATATGATGGAATACAAGATAAATATAGTATCAGGGACTCGAGTCAGATGTACTTCCTATCCCTGTATATCACGAGCATTGTCGGCTCAAGATAGCATGATTCAGATCTACAACTAGATAAATCCAGCCAATCATCACTGCTTACGCGATACTCCGAAAGCGGACAGACGATCATGTGGGCGGTGAAGCAACCTGATGAGGGGCACTGCCCAAAGGAGCCTAGCGAAGCGGCAGAAAAGCGTCCCGCTCCCGATAATTTTTGGCAGGAAAATCTTTCCTTTGAGAATTGCGGGGGAAGAAGATATCCGTCGTGAAATTCGTTCTTTTGACGTCCTGAGGCTGGCTGGTCTTGCAGTCTAGATTAGATACCGAGACTTGAGTTCCGCACTCGTTCGTCAGAGTACGATTTCGTTTTCCCAATTTTGAAAAAAAAGAAAGTGACGGTTTATCTTTCCCGGTCATAACTCCCTTCGTCATGGCTGCTGCTACTAACAATGCTGAGGCCGCGCCTCACGAGACTTTCGATACGATCTTGACGCTGGATTTTGGGTCGCAGTAGTATGTTTCCTCTCTGGGTGATTTTGCTATCCTATCTGGGTGATTTATTTATGCGATTTACTTCAAATGCGGCTGGCTGGACTTCATACGACTCCTTCGTGACATGCTCTGACTCACTGATCTTTCATAGTACTCACCTTCTGACCAGAAGGCTCCGTGAGATCAATGTCTACTCTGAAATGCTGCCCTGCACCCAAAAGCTGGCCGATCTGGGATGGAAGCCATCTGGTATCATCCTGTCTGGCGGCCCGTACTCCGTCTACGAGGAGAACGCCCCGCACGTCGACCCGGCTTTCTTCGAACTCGGTGTCCCCATCCTGGGAATCTGCTACGGACTGCAGGAGATCGCCTACCGATTGGACAAGACCAACGTCGTCGCTGGTGTCAAGAGAGAATATGGCCATGCTGACCTGAAGGCCACCAGATTCGGTGCCAAGGTCGACCCCCTGTTCGAAGGTATTGCTGGTGATATGACCGTGTGGATGTCCCACGGTGACAAGCTGTCTAAGCTGCCCGAGGGATTCCACGTCGTTGGTACCACGCAGAACTCCGAGTTCGCTGCCATTGTCCATGACACCAAGCCCGTGTACGGTGTGCAGTTCCACCCCGAGGTCACCCACACCACGCACGGTACTCAGCTGCTCAAGAACTTCGCGGTTGGCATCTGCGGCGCCAGGCAGAATTGGACTATGGCTGAGTTTATCGGTCAGGAGATCAACAAGATCCGCAGCCTGGTTGGTCCTGAGGGTCAGGTCCTCGGTGCCGTTAGCGGTGGTGTTGACTCTACTGTTGCTGCTAAGCTGATGAAGGAGGCTATTGGCGATCGCTTCCATGCTGTGCTGGTCGACAATGGATGCATGCGTCTGAACGAGTGCGAGCAGGTCAAGAAGACTCTGAGTGAAGAGCTCGGTATCAACCTCGTGGTGGCCGATGCCGGTGACCAGTTCCTGGAGGGCCTGAAGGGTGTTGAAGACCCCGAGGCCAAGAGGAAGTTCATCGGTGGAAAGTTCATCGATGTCTTTGAGGAGGAGGTCAAGAAGCTCGAGGCGCAGAACTCTGGAAAGATCCAGTGGTTCTTGCAGGGAACTCTCTACCCTGATGTTATTGAAAGTCTGAGCTTCAAGGGTCCTAGTGCGACGTGAGTGTAACTGCATTTGTTTGGTTGAGAGATAGTTGCTGATTCGTACCAGCATCAAAACGCACCACAACGTCGGTGGTCTGCCCAAGCGGATGACAGAGGGCCAGGGTCTCAAGCTGATTGAGCCTCTGCGCGAGCTGTTCAAGGACGAGGTCCGAGAACTGGGCAGACAGCTCGGTATCTCTCCTGAGCTTGTTGGCAGACACCCCTTCCCCGGTCCCGGCCTCGCCATTCGCGTGCTTGGCGAAGTGACCAAGGAGAAGGTCCGCATGGCCCGTGAGGCCGACCACATCTTCATCTCGATGATCCGCGAGGCTGGTCTCTACGACGAGATCGCCCAGGCCTATGCCGCTCTGGACCTGTCGAAGGCCGTCGGTGTCATGGGCGACAAGCGTGTGTACGGCCACATTGTCATCCTGCGCGCCGTGTGCACGACCGATTTCATGACTGCCATTCCTTACCCCTTCAGCCACGAGTTCCTCACCAAGGCCTCGACGCGCATCATTAACGAAGTGCACGGCGTTTGCAGAGTTGCGTACGATTACTCTCAGAAGCCCCCTGCTACCATCGAAATGGAGTAAGAGTAAATTTCTGAACCAATAGGCATCACCATCCATCACTTTCTGTGGATATAAAATATAACCGGGAAAGAGGGACCATTCAAAGGAGCGGAGATTATTTGTTTATTTCGGAGTTCAGTTGTTTTTTTTTTTATTTATATCGTTATTATTCATGCATAGAGAACCAATCTGCATTGCTTATGAGAAAATTTATGTCTTCGAGGAATCATGCAGAAACATAGGACTATACATATAATCTATGCTCTTTTCAGACTATTTATCCGTGCACTTATGTTTGAATCTCACATTGAAAGAATTCTTGAATGAAATGATGATTTATCTGGAGCGGGATCAAGAATAAGCTTTTATCTCTGTATCCCGCTCTTGGGAGCGAACCATGGAAAGAAATTATCTTGTTCACGTCAGAATCCTAACGACGGTAGCAGTAAATGACATACCCAAGGAAGCTGCCATGTCTCGCGAGAGCTCTGTGGCGATCAACTGATATGCTGAATATTTTACACCTGCTCCATTTCTGGGACTCGAGTCCAACCGGAAAAGCCGGAAAATATGGGAGCTCTTGTCAGACTAGATGGACGCTTTGGGAATAATAGTGCACGATTAGTAGGAGATTTGTTGCATTAATCGTTTATTAGTAGCGTTATTACTCCGTATATATCGTCTATTCGACTATCTAGCACCAACAGACGAGCTGTTATGTATTATTGAGATGGGACGACCACTCGGGGTTCGTATGGTAGTATATCACTGAAGGTTGTCAAACGAAAAGAGGTTACAGATTTCCTCTTACTTGATATCACTCCATACTCCAGACTAGATAGCCTTACCATGCGCCATCCCCAGACATATAAGATTAAGATCCTGCAAGGTCGATGCGGGGTAGATCGAAACCCGCAGAAACGTCAATCACGATGTAGATCCCCATACCTGATACTGTAATACAGAATGAAGATGTCCACTTCGGCTGGCGTTCCCGCTGCGTGGCGACACCAGTACCCGGTGGAGAAACTCATGCAATCTTATTAGATGCGGATGGAGCCGAGAGCGGTCGACTCGGATAAGATGACGCGAGAGCGAAGGATGTCGTTTTCTTCTTCGTTTGAGCGGAGATGGCTGGGATGATACGTAATGGAGGATAGTATATAGACAGAGGGTCGTGTTCATGTAGGATGGTTCCTTTGACAATTCTCTTCTATGGAGTAGAATTCACTTGCGAAAAATAGTTCTCAGCAGCTGGTTAGTCCATAGATGTTTAAGATGCCTAGATGAAGATAGAGTCTTTGTATGCGTTCAATCACATCAGTACTAAACCCCAGAATCCCCCCCCCCCCCCCCGGACCTAATAAGTCATTGGAGATCTTCCGTCATTTCCGATAAGCTGACGCTGCACCCTGCAGACCTATCAGAAACAGGAACCGTTCATCCAATTCGATTGTTTTCCAGATAAAAAGACGGATTAAGTGATTACCAGCTTTAGGGAACGTTCCAAGGCTTTCCCAAGGATATGACCGCTCGTGAGGAAGCCCATGTGATTCGTCCCCAGAAAGACTAGAAATATAAGTTCCATCTACGACCTACTAGAACGGAACTATATAGCATCATCGAAACGTTGCGGAGGTGGGGGACCAGACTCTACCACCCCGCATGTTCCCAGATTCCTTCCCCATGGCCCCCGGACAGAGATCGTAGAGGTAGTATGTGGGCGTACGGAAATGGGAGCGATGATAGCATTCCCTGCTTAGAGGTACTTGCTTATATAGCACGTATGTTCCCTGGTGCTCTCAGGGAGCAGAAGATGTGCGATCCCAGACCTCTTCCACTGCGTGATATCTGTGCCCCCCCCTTATTCGTGACGAAACAGAAGAGATAGTTCCCGTACTGCGCAATTCCCACCATGTCATTGCAGAATTCAGACGGAGGCCACTTCAATGGAAATGGAAAGGAAACAAACCCTGGGGGACATGGAAGGGTCTCACGATTCCCTCAGACAGTATCCAACGTCCCAATGCCGTCCACCCATCAGGCTACGGTTTCGCAAGTCCCATTTCCCCCGTATCAGAAACTTGCAAACCCTGGTCCTCTAGGCCTGCTTGGTTTCGCTGTCACCAGTCTCGTACTTGGTCTCTATGAGTGTGGTGTAGGGTGAGTTCTTTTCGAGGACAAGCAGTCCTCTATGGTACTAGTACTTACTTCATGCTCGCAAACTGACATGAACCCACTCTGCCAGATTACCAAACGAAAACCCTCAAGGAAACGTTGGACCAAACCAGGCTATACTCGGCCTTGCCATCTTCATGGGCGGAACAGCCCAGTTCATAGCTGGAATTATGGAATGGCGCGTGGGCAACACGTTCGGTACGACAGTTCACTGCTGCTATGGCGCCTTCTGGCTCAGTTATGCGATGTTTTTAATCCCATACCTCGACGTCAAGGCCGCATACAACAATGACATGAGAGCATACTCCTTCGCTATCGGCGTGTACCTGATCATCTGGTGCGCGGTGTCGTTTCTGTTTTTTATCGCGGCATTGAAGACCAACTTGACTATTCTCGCGGTGTTCTTCTTCCTTGTTCTGGCATTCCTGTTCCTCTCGATCGCCTCTTTTATCGAGACGGAGCATCCTGCCGCTAGTGTGAGAGTAAATAAGACCGGGGGGGCCTTCACGGTTATATGTGCAGCTTTGGCGTTCTATGCAGGTGGATCTGGGTTGATGCTGCCAGATACGACATTCGTGAGGTTTCCATTGGGGATTATTCCTCGCCATGACGATGAGGGTTCCTGAATTAATTTAATATGCTGGGAGTCGCACTAGCTTTGTACAACTGCGCCATCTGGACTCGGTGATTGATGAATGAGCCTTTGTTGTGGTATATATGTGATTCTATTTGTTGCGGGGGGGTAGTTTCATTGTTGTCGCGCGGGTCGATTCAATGGGGCTTGTACTGTACATTATTATATTGAAAGACCAAATGGGTGCTTCTAAAACCCTTTTACAGTGGAATTGTAAATCTACATATTTTGAGAGTGTTCCTAACTAAATCGGATATCGTAGTGGTAGTAGAATATTGCCCGAACCTGCTCAAGCTAACAAAGGGACAGTCATCATAAAAACCATGTCCCACAAGAAAGCACGAAAGTATTTACAGTAGAATATAAACAGCCATATACATCCAAGGACCCATACAACCAGGAAAGAAAAGCAACCACAAAATCTCTCATCACCTCGAAGTGGACGATCTCGACTCCCTCCTTCGCAGACTCTCAAGCCGATCCTCCAAGGAGGCATGTCGGCTGAGTGTACCATCCTCATCCCGATCCTGCACCGGCTCTGGAGAAGCAACCTCGCTCAGATTCCCGAACGGATCCGTATCTTCCCCGTCCTGATGGTGTCGAGCATTCTCTTTATTAGCCTCATATTGATCCTCCAGGGACCGACGTCGGCTGAGCCTCCCATCACCTCGATCCTGTACTGGTTCTGGAGAAGAGACTTCTGTCAGAGCTGCATTTGGGTCGTCTAGCCCTGATGATTCTTCATCCTGTTGGGGAGTATTATTATTATCTCTTTCGAGCCCCTTCTGGGGATGGTCAGAGTGACTATCATGGACATCGTCGTCATTTGTGCCATCGCTCTTCTTCTTCTTTTTGGTGCTGAAGATCTTGCGCAATGTTGAGAAGTGACACATGTTGGTGGTGGTATGATGTTCTTGTTTGTCTTCGTGGGTATGATTGTGGTGGTGGTGGTGGTGAATGCTTATTGTGAGGGGTGCTTTGACAAATGCGTATGTTTCGAGATACCACAGATAGCCGAGGATATTTGTTGCTTTGTTTTGTGTTTCAGTGAACCCCATTTGCTGGGATCGATACTTAGGTGGAGAAGGTTTAAGTATGGATGTTTCTTTTTTTCGTCTCGATCTCGTTTGGTTTGTCCGTATATTATCTGATAATGATAAGAAATGCCAGCCCTTTCTGTATTTATTTTTCTGGGGGTCAGATTATTTAGTGACGACATGATATGATTAGATCATTGCATCGCTTGCGCAAGACGACGCCGGCCTCTCCGCGTGTCGATCTGTGGATGATTCGGTCCCGAAGCTCATGATCGGTGGGAAATCCCTGATGCTCTAAGGTAGAAATCGTATGATCATCAACAGTGGCGTTGACGGATCGACCTATCGGATACTTCTCAGAGCTAAAGGATACTACTACTGTCATCAACAGTTACTAGTAATTACAAGCGAGGCATTGAGTGATTTCATTGATCACATGTATGATACCGTGAATTAGGTAGTTTGGATGGCTTTTAATTATCTGTTACTAAACATATTACCAGAGTAGAGTCATTCTTTTATCCCTATATCGACCATGATACTTCCGATATAAATGGCACATTGTGTTCGTCATTAAGCTGAACCTCAGCTCATCACGCACTCAACTTCTCTCCTGCATATACGTGGCCGCCTCTCTTGGAGATGATCTGGTCCTCTATGTCCATGAGGCGGTTATACTTAACGACGCGTTCGCCTCTGCAGGGACTGCCAGACTTGAGATGTCCGGCTCCGACACCAACGGCAAGATCGGCGATAAAGTCATCGGTCGTCTCGCCAGAGCGATGGGAGACGAAAACGCGCCATCCATAGCTGTATGCCTTTTGAGCGCTGTGTAGGTCTTCGAGTTAGTCGAAGGAGAAGGAAAGCAGTAGGAGCATGGTACTCACGCAGCAATTGCCTCACTGATGGTTCCGATTTGGTTAATTTTCAATAACATCGAATTGCACGCCTGGTGCTCCTTTGCTAGAGCAAGACGCTCGATGTTCGTTGCCAGCAGGTCATCGCCAACAAGTTCAACTGGACATGTCTTGTTGAATTCCTTCCAACTGTCCCAATCGTCTTGCGCGAAAGGGTCTTCCAGGAGAACTATCGGGTAATCCTTCAGGAGCCTATGGTAGAGGTCGATGAGCTCTTTTCTGCCCAGAGGCTCCGCCTGGTCACTCTTGAACCCGATGTCGTAGGCATCTTTCCTGAAGAACTCAGACGCCGCAGGATCGATGCCAAATTTCACTTTCCCTTCGTATCCAGCATTCTTGACTGCTGTCACAAGGAGGTCCAGTGCCTCGGTAGGGTGACGGATTGGAGGAGCAAAGCCGCCCTCGTCGCCAATTCCAGTTGCTAGTTGAATGGACCATCAGAATGATATCTCATTGAGGAGGATGGCGAATTGTGCAACTAACCAGCACTTCCAAACTTCTTCTTAATGACGCTTTTCAATTCTTGATACACCTCGCTTCCAATCTGGACAGCTTGAGTGATGGACTGGGCCCCAACCGGAGCGATCATAAACTCCTGGAACGCCATGCTATTTCCAGAATGCGCACCGCCGTTCAGAACGTTGAAAAAGGGCACAGGAAGCACGTATCCATTGGGCGTCGCACCTGTCTCCTGTCGTAGGAATTCATACAACGGTTCGTCCTATAAAACATAGCCATGAGTTAGAAGGAATAGAAAGAACTCTCCATTCAGAAGGAGATATCACAGACCCTCGCAGCAGCCGCAGCTCTCGCACACGCCATGCTAACTCCTAAGATAGCATTTGCTCCCAGATTACTCTTGTCCTTCGTCCCGTCAAGCTTTCTCATGAATGCGTCGATCTTGGCGAGATCACTTCGAACATCGAACTTCTGCTCGATCAATGCCGGTCCGATCACATGCTCCACGTTGTAGACTGCTTTGGTGACGCCGTTTCCGCCGTAGCATGCAGGATCACCATCGCGAAGTTCGATAGCTTCGTAATCACCCTTGGAGGCGCCAGAAGGAACTATGGCCACGAATTTTCCTACAAGCGACAAGAAAGGACATAATTGTTAGCTATACGGTATTGAAAGGAGATTCATATGATAGGACAAAAGTCGGGATGATCTGCGGTTGGTACCTTTCCCCGTACGAACTGTCACCCTGACAGTCGGCTTGCCGCGTGAATCCAGTCGCTGAGCAGCGCGGATTGAATAGATCATATTGGATGGATAGACTGATGCCGTTTCGGCCGGAGTTCTCGAAGGAGGGATGACAATTGACGGACCGAGGCTACCTTGGGGATCCATAATGTTCCAATGAGACAAGAAACTAACTTGATGTCCTTTGGTATGTTTTCACACGGAAATCGCTGGTCTTCCAGGACATCTTTAATATATCTGTAGACGGGTAAGGCGGATCGGGTGATCCGAATAATCAAGTCGTAATGCTTGACACAAACTATCGGATGGCATGATTCTGCCCCGCATGGATGGATTACTGGAGAGAATGTCCTACCGGGCACCACAGGAGGAGTAAAAGGTCATTGTTTTTTTTATCTCACTAGGATAAGGCAAAGATCTCTTACAGGGACAATTTACAGTAAAAACTATACCTGTGAACGTATTACTTGAAAAGGAGTTCAGTGTAAAACCTTTAAGAGTATGCTTATGCTATGACATCACAAGAGGTTGTTTACAAACAACCTTATCCGCCATTTGATTAGCGAGTACTACGGTCCCAGTACACCATCAATAAATTGGCTCCTCATGGAGTTTCCTTTTACACCACGCTTTGAGGAAACTGAAAGCTTTCCGAAGACAATAAACCCTCTCATTTCCCGAAGTTCCAAAGCTCCAGTCCAGCGATATGGTGGCTCTAGGAACCGATTCATCATGTCGTCAATGTAAACACATCTTCCAATTAGCCTGTATTGATCATTGGATATACTCTTAAGCATGCGAGCTGGCCTCTCTGTCGCGAAACCTTTTATTATCTTAGATAGCCGCATTTTGTCATCTTCCCGGACCAGTATCTAAGCAGATAGGACGGGTATTAGGCAAAAGTCCTAGTTTTTCATTAGAATGGTTCTTTAATTTTCTTTCCCCGTTACGTACTGCTGTGGTAAGGTCTAGGGATATCTGAAGAGACTTAATAGCAGCCCACTCTCGATAGTTAGAAAAACTTGTCATCCCTGCTTTCTCAAGATAGCACCCCTTGATAATACCGCATTTCGTCCTGGAAGGCACGTAGAGACAAAGTTCATCCATCGGGAAAAGAATTTAGAGGAAAGTTCTAATATGCCGCAGACTCAAACATTCCGGGGGAGATGCACTATCAGATAAAGAGTCTAACATATTACTTAATGCTCTTATTCATTTACCGTTACTGCCTTGATGCAATGATGCATGTAAAACCCGACAGGCCCGCCCTGATCTTCGCTGCCGCATACCATAGCAAGTCCCGGTCAAAATGTTGTCAAGAATCAACTCTGCATCCGACGTATCATGTGCCAAGCCTACTAGAAATGCGCCATGAGCACGTGGACTTTACAATCTGCATTCATCTACAATGCTATTCAATCGTAGGATTACCTAAAGAACCAGGGAGTACTAGGTGGTACGGCGAATCTTGGTTGAATGATCCTGTAGCTCACGATGTGAAGAACTATTAATGCGATATCATAGCTATATATGTACAATTAGTGCCCAATTCTGTTAAAATATTACACAGATTGCGGAGACTGCAAATCAGATCGGATATGCACTGGCTATAATAGCACAATAGAGTCAGGATACTGTTGTACTGTGTGACCCACAGCAAACCGGGAAACGCGGGAGCAGTGGGATTTCCCCAGGAACTTATTTATGTGTGGCTTTAAGTACTGTGGCTAATCAGACAACAACTGCTCGTGCAAATCGGGATGCAGTCCGTGTTTTCCGTCTTCCGTCCATTACCCTGTATCTCTTGAGGAAAGGCTGGTTCGCTATGATACTCTGAAGTTCCTAATCGGAGATGTGACGTCCTGTAGACATCCACACTATCCCGACTGGGTGGCAGCTTCCGAGTCTCCAAGTGCTGCAAGGAATCATGGATGGATTTTCTGCGGATGCGTTACAACTGCCAGCATCTGGGTACTAGATTTGTCCAACTCCAGGCGGCGACACGCCTATTTATGCTGTGGTACTAGCGTCGCTGTTCCATTGGCATTAGTGGTAGAGACTGGAAGTCTTCGGTCGACCAGTGGCTTTACGGCTCCCGCCTGCTTTGTGTAAATAGACTATTGCTTCCCACTACAGGTACGGAAGATGGGAGAGTCTTCTATTCGCAGCTAGGTGCTCTGATGCTGTTTAGACTTATCGGAAGTGGGTGTGTACCGAAGCGATGGATGGGATAATGCGGAGGTGGATCTAGCTTATCTCAGCAAGCTCAGACCCTCTAGCGAGGTGCCCGGTGGGCTTTTTGCTGCGACGGCCTGTATTAGCGCATACACTGAGGAATTAAGCCAATAAGATTAGGTAAATTAGACCCACTAACTCCTGGACCAATAGTAAGCTGTCTAGCAAAAAACCTCGCAGAGGGTCTGAGAACAAATGGTCGCGATTTATAAAGGACAACTTATCCCCCCCATATAAAAATCAAGCATCAATCTTCAATCTAATACTTTATACCCTAAACCACGTCTATTTGGATTAAAATTGGGCTTAAATAATAGGTTTTAATATCCCCTTTCCCTAGCAGTTAACAAAAAGGACTAATACATTGCAGATAGATTAAAAAACGGGGGTTTAAAATTATCTGATTTTTGCTATATTGGCTTACTTCGCCATCTCTACCCTGCCATATTGGCTTATTTCGCTACCTCTACCCTGCTATATTGGCTTATCTCGCCACCTTTACCCTGCCATATTAGCTTACTTCGCTACCTCTACCTATTCTCTGCCTATAATCTCTGCTATTTCTGCTACTTCTATCACTTCTATCAGCTCTATACTAGATCAGCTAGGTGAGCTAGGTCAGCTAGATCTGCCAGGTCTACCAGGTCTACCAGGTCTGCTAGGTCTACCCTACCAGCTCTACTAGCTTTGCTAGGTCTATTAGATCTGCTTCGCTAGATCTGCTAGGTCTGCTCTATCAGCGGAATCAGCTAGATGGCTAGATTTACAAGGTTGAGAGGTCTTATAGGTTATAGGCGTTCATGATGAGCTTTCGCAAAATCTGATCTGATAACTTTAATAGTACAGTTCTATATCAACAAATTGCTTTAACCTATTAATATATATATGAATTTAAAGAGAAATAGCATATAAATCCACTGCAGTTAACTCCTATTGAATATCTTAATAAATAGTGGAGTTATTCACCTTCAAAGTTAGATGAAGGTCTTGAAAAATGGCCAATTTGGTGAGCTTTACTAACAAATCGCGACCATTTGTTCTCAGACGCTCGCCAAAGAATTTTTCACCTTCCTATTTAGGTTTAGCGTAGCCGCTTTAATATTATTGGTCAGTAAATTACACTAAACCACTCTAATCTTTGGCGAGCGTCTGAGCTTGCTGAGATAAGATCTAGCCGCCGCCGATCTGGGGTATTATCCTTATGGGTCTGTCCAGGAAATAGATTTCTCACACAGATGCCATACCGAGAAGGCAGTTTTCAACTAAGCTTCAGTGAGACCGATGATTATTATCGCCTATTTTGTTGTTGACATAGTGCCCGGTCTGTCATGGCATTTTCGTGTCAGACTCCTGTGAAGAGGACCGATAGCTCGATCGGTGATGATTTTAATACCGCATCTACATCGGTACAACCCGAAAGCGAATATATTAGAGCCATCTGATAGATTGACCTTTATGTCTGAGGAGTATCGCTCCATGTTATACACCTTACTGCTTGGCGTCCTATAGGAAGGATATTACCGGGGACGGATAATATCCAGCCACTTACCGTGTCGTTCCACAGCCCATCGACGCGGGGTAAGCTACACTATGGCAATGGAAAGCGGGATCTTTCCAGTCACTGTGAAGATTACGGCACGAGCTTGACTCCATAGCTCTCAAGGTACGGAAGAACATCCGCAGGTAGCATGCTGTGCAGCCGATCTTCCGTCTAGAGCTCACAAAAAAACCAGCGAGGAGATCAGCTGGCATAAATCCCTCATAGAACCTGGAACCATCACACGGTACTCGACTTCGAACAAGATGACTCTCCCTGTGTATCGAGAATGGAAGTAACTAGAAGCTGTTGCTTTGGGTGTGGTTGCGGACAATAGACCCTCTCTGGTGGCCTGATACACGTAGTCTCCTCCAACATCGATAGTATAGGAAGGTAAGAAATGACAAGAACCTCCCTTTTGCCTCAATCTTGTGAGGAACCTCCTGTGATTTGCTCATCATGTAGATTTTGCTTTTCCTCTGAAATGGCAACATCGTACCACCTTCAGCGACCGTGTAGGATCGATAGATCAATCCGACCAACCCTTTATTTGAGAATCAAGGCTTAGAGGAGAGACTCCAACTCTCATATCAGAACAAGTGGAAAACTAAAGGAACAGGCGTATGGATAGTTTGATCACGCGAACACTTCTCGGGAAGTCTGTCTTTGGAATTCATCCTGTAGATCAGATGCAGAATCCCTGTAACAACGCGGTAGAGGCGGAATTGAGGACAGCGATGGATAGACGCCCCTTCACAGCTAGCGGATAAAGAGTGCTGCATGGATGCTCACTTGTACTTTGTGAAGGCGGAAGCAGCCAATCTGTTGGCATCTTGTCCCGTGACAAACACAAGGCTTCGCACATACAAAAGGAACGGTGAAAATCACTCACACCCTGCCCTGTCTCACTCCGTTCTTTCAAGCTTCTAACTTCAGGTCCGTTCTTGCACACAATGGCTCCTGCAAGTGAAGACGCGGAGAATGGGGCAGTAGGTGCTGAGCGTCAGAGATCTATCGCGTTCGAAAATGATGGATCCCTGGATGAGTATACCTCTTTAAACCGGTACATCTCGACTTATCGTGATTCTCGCTATGCATCATCAAGCCATGATGGAGCCAGTGACGTTGCACACGATGAGTCTTCGAAGAAGCGTCGTTGGTTTACACCGTGGAGACGCAAGTCTGATTCAGGAGACGATGGATTCAAAGTACCTGATGAATGGCTTCGGACTGATCCGAAACTGGGTTTGAATGCCCATGATATTGAGCAGAGACGCAAAAAGACCGGCTGGAACGAATTGACCGCCGAAAAGGAAAATATGTTCCTCAAGTTTCTCTCATACTTCACTGGCCCTATTCTCTATGGTACGTATACCCTGCAATGTGTAGCTGCTGTGGACAATCTATCTGTGGACAATCTATGGGCTTCTCTAACTAACGAGACGTTTAGTTATGGAATTGGCGGTGTTCTTAGCAGCAGGCCTTCGCGACTGGGTTGACTTCGGAGTCATCATTGGGATCCTCATGCTCAATGCGACTGTCGGCTGGTACCAAGAAAAGCAAGCTGCCGACGTCGTGGCCAGCCTCAAAGGGGATATTGCAATGAGAGCACACGTAATACGGGACGGAGTCGCGCAAGAAATTCTCGCTAGGGAACTGGTTCCAGGAGACATCGTATGTCTCTCACTTTTGAACAAGGAGTTCTGACGAGCGTGAGGCTGACAAGTGCGGATATATATAGGTTATCCTCGAGGAAGGATATATGGTTCCGGCCGACGTGCGTCTGATATCCGCTTATGATGATCCGACGGGATTCGAGAAATATCAAGAAATGCAAAATTCAGCGGCGTACGATACGGAAGAGAAAGATGTGCCTGAGAGCGGTGACGAGAACGATCATGGGCACCACACTGCTGATGCCGTTTCCATCGTGGCAGTCGATCAATCAGCGATTACTGGGGAATCCTTAGCTGTCAGTAGATACAATTCATAGTTTTCTGTTATTTTGGAAGATCTGACTTTTCTTAGGTTGATAAATACATGGGCGACGTCTGCTACTATACGACTGGTTGCAAGCGGGGCAAGGCGTACGCCATAGCCATTACAAGTGCTCGATCTTCCTTCGTGGGCAAGACTGCAGCGCTTGTCCAAAGTGCAAAGGACCAGGGACATTTTAAAGCCATTATGAACCAAATCGGAACATCATTGCTCGTGCTTGTGATGTTCTGGATCTTGGCCGCCTGGATCGGCGGGTTCTATCACCACCTCAAGATTGCTACCCCGGAAAAGTCGTCTCAGAATCTACTGCATTTCGCCCTAATATTACTTATCATCGGAGTGCCCGTTGGACTTCCGGTTGTTACGACTACGACCTTGGCAGTTGGGGCAGCATACCTCGCGAAGCATAAAGCGATTGTGCAGAAGTTGACTGCGATAGAAAGTTTGGCGGTAAGCTTGACGAATATCCTCGCCGTCCCAGCTTTTGGCAATGAATGGTAATTTACTGATGTCACAATAAGGGCGTGGATGTTCTTTGCTCAGATAAGACTGGCACCTTGACAGCGAACCAGCTTAGTGTGCGCGAACCATATGTAGCGGAAGGGGTGGACGTGAACTGGATGATGGCAGTCGCGGCCCTCGCGTCCTCACATAATATTAAGAACCTGGACCCGATTGATAAAGTCACCATTCTTACGCTCAAGCAGTATCCAAAGGCAAGGGAAATCTTGCAAAGAGGATGGAAGACCGAGAAGTTCCGCCCGTTCGACCCAGTCTCCAAGAGAATTACCTGCGAATGCACTCTTGACGGAGTACACTACACGGCAGCTAAGGGAGCGCCGAAAGCGATATTAAGGCTAACCAATAGCTCCGAGGCAGAAGCGAGGATGTATCAAGATAAAGCTCGCGAATTTGCACGACGCGGTTTTCGGTCTCTAGGGGTCGCTGTCCAGAAAGAAGGCGAATCGTGGCAACTGCTTGGGATGTATCCGATGTTCGATCCTCCTCGTGAGGATACTGCTCATACTATCGCCGAAGCTCAGAACCTGGGAATCAGTGTGAAGATGCTGACCGGAGATGCAATCGCCATCGCAAAGGAAACATGCAAGATGCTGGCGTTAGGTGAGTCCCCGCGTGTGGTGAATGCACTCTCAAAATCCTTTGACAGCACTATCCTATTTTCCGAGCATTCCTGACATCTAAACAGGAACAAAGGTCTATAATTCCGAGAGACTGATGCACGGAGGCCTGGCGGGCTCAGCACAGCACGACCTAGTAGAAAGGGCGGATGGATTTGCAGAAGTGTTTCCAGAACATAAATATCAAGTGGTCGAAATGCTTCAACGACGAGGCCATCTAACCGCTATGACTGGGGATGGAGTGAATGATGCCCCATCACTGAAGAAAGCAGATTGCGGAATCGCCGTCGAAGGAGCTACAGAGGCAGCTCAGGCAGCAGCAGATATCGTGCTTTTGGCACCGGGATTAAGCACCATTATCGACGCGGTCAAGGTTGCACGACAGATTTTTCAGCGGATGAAGGCCTATATCCAATATCGTATAGCGCTTTGCCTTCATTTGGAGATCTATCTGGTTACTTCGATGATCATCATCGACGAGACTGTTGTCGTGGACCTGGTGGTATTCCTGGCACTCTTCGCCGACCTTGCCACAATCGCTGTTGCTTATGATAAGGCATACTCTGACCTTCGACCGGTAGAATGGCAATTACCAAAAATATGGGTTGTCAGCATCGTGTTAGGGATCCTCCTTGCTCTCGGAACCTGGGTCATTCGGGGAACGCTATTCTTACCCAACGGTGGTATCATCCAGAATTTTGGCTCCGTGCAAGAGATTCTTTTCCTGGAAATCTCCTTGACAGAAAACTGGCTGATATTCGTGACCCGTGGAGGAAAGACGTGGCCATCATGGCAGCTAGTTGGTGCTATCCTGGGCGTGGATGTCATTGCGACGATATTCTGCCTATTCGGCTGGTTATCAGGTCCTGGAGAAGTCAGTGATCCTGATTCGCACGCAAAGTTCAGAGCGGACGGTTGGGTGGATATCGTGACAGTCGTCGTGATTTGGGCATATTCGATCGGTGTCACGATCATAATTGCCATGGTGTACTACGTTCTCACGGCCATTCCTTGGTTGGATAATCTGGGTCGACAGAGCAGAAGCAAATCAGACACGAAGATCGAGAACATCATCGGGCACCTGTCGAAGCTTGCGATCGAACACGAACTAGACCATCAAGGTAAGGATCGCTACCATCTGACGACGAAGACTACGTTGGAGGAAGATGAGGAGTGATCGAATCTGCCAAGGGTCGCGGTTAGCATACAGTATGAAAGAAGAAAAAAAGCCGAGGTACGGACCGGTTGATATGCGTCCAGGATGGGCCAGAGAAGGAGAAGTCACTTCAACTTCCAATTTCCCTAGTAACTCATGTTGAGAGACTGTGAACGGGAGGAGAAATATCATGAAAAGAAAGAAAAAAAAAAAAAGAAAATACCTGTTAGAATATTTCACTCAGAAAGGCAATCTTAATGACAAGAGATTCGTATCTATGATCCCTCAACGCGCGTCTGGATCAGCCTACCTATCGCGTCAACAGAACAGTAACTTAGTAGAAGTCGATCCCGCAGATCCCATCGTAGAGTACTCGTAGAGTTACAGTCCTAAAAAAAAAACGACGAAAGCACACATCTTTTCAAACTAAAATCACCCGAGAGAGATCAATCAACTTACAGTAAGAAACGAACGACAGAAAGCCCATCAGATTAGATTTCTGATTATCGGTTATCAAGGAGGCCCCTCCCTTCCCAATTCAATTACCAGAAACCATGGGACGATCAGAATAACAGTTAACTACTCAGTTGTAGTAGTGTGAAGAAGTTTCGTAAGACGTTAGAGTAATTATTCTGTAAGGAGGGCGAGGATAAGTTAGGTATGTACATGTTTTTCAAGTCATGATTACTTTTGGATTTTGTTACAGTACAATAATGCAACCTGCAAAAGGGGTGAAGGTCGAGTCTGTTCAAAGTTTAAACTATGTTCTCGTAAAGGGGTGATTATCATTAGTTAGTTAGGTAGTTAACTATCTTGCGCCCTGATAAAGTGTCTCCCACGTGCCCGTGCCTTTATCCCTTTCTGTGAGTACAGTTTATCTATGTACAGTACTAGTAACTGGCTATGCCATGTGGATGTCTTGTTCTATCCCTTTCGTGTGCTTCGAATTCTGTTCTTTATTTTCCGGCTCGATCGAAGAAAGAGAGACTAGCTTATACTTGTTATTGTTTTCTACGGAGTAGTCTGTTGTTCGATAGTCTCCAGCGTTGGCGGCGGGACTTGAGGGGGGCCGCGTACGCGGTGAGGCTTGTCTGTCTACGCACTTCTTCTCCAGCTTCTGCGCGGGCGAATTTCTTATTCCAAAATAGGAAGTTGAGTCCACGCATTCACATATATTTTGATTTCGATTGTTACATCTGCGCGCAGCATGGTAATAATAATGATAATGTTGTTATCTCAAATGGAGACAGAGCAGCGGAATAATATCATCAACTCTCTTAATTAGACGCAGCTGTTAGACGCCGCTGTCTTTCTGACAGCTAAAAGTGAGACATGTGTTGGACCGGTGTCCTGAACCTGACCGAAACAGGAAGACGTTTGGAAGCAAGTGCGTTTCCGTCAGCTAACTCTATACAGAGTGGGTAACTTATCTATATCTCTCTGACCGGTGGCGGGATATAATAGATATCTAGAATTCCTCTTACTCCGTACTCTCTAGACACACAGACCGATGAGAATAATAACTCGATCCAACCTACCTGTCCCACCGGTTCAGACTCGGTGGTAGGAGGACAAGCTATCGATAGTTAAATTTGGATATTCGGGTCTAAACGTTGATGGATCTGCCGATCCAGCTACGGTTGGCCATGTCGGGCAAGATTGCAGTAGTTCCTGTGTGCACTGTGAACTCTGAAGAATCGCTCCAGCCGGCAAGCGTCCTGATAGTCAACCACTACGATTATGCGGGACATGATCGGCCAGATCAGTTCAAAAAGAACTCAACCTCGAGGCGTGATACGGTGATTCACTGTTTCGCTAGCAATGGTCGCTCTTGCTGACGTGCAGCTGAGAGATCGTCTAATACATAACTGTGATTCTAGAAAATAATGGTTTGTTGCTGTCTCGCCTTACGAGTAGATATGGAAAACCTCCGCAGCTGGATATCCTGAGGATGACTTCTTACCATATCACCCCGCTTCGCAACGGGCACTATCAGATTACCCGTACGGAAGTGCCGGGGGCTTTGATGAGACGAGCGGAACAGAGCGGAGCTAGTGATAGCAATCTCGATGAATACGCAGTGGCAGTAGATAGAGTAATAATGTACTACTCGATAGCATTCGTGGTGTCGTGATTGCGACTGTCCATCTTTCGCAGTACTGTCAAGTAGTTATCCTGAGGGGGAGAAAAGGACACATAGAATGCGGCTGGGTGGCTCGAGAACGCGACGATTATTGTCTGAGTTGTCTTCAGAGCTCAGGATGGACGAGCGGCCGACTAGAGTTGGGACTATTCGAGGCTTAAGCTGAAACTTGAGGCCGGCAAGGACGATCGCCGGAAATTAAGATCCCGACAGGGAAGGCGGCTAAGCGCAGAGAGGGTTAGGGCTGCGGAGACACGGGTCCTGCGTGGCCTCCAGGGGCTTCGCTGCGACACTGGACAACGACCAAGTGCTCGTCTTCACTTGCTGGTGGAGTGCCATTTTAGACACGCTTCGACCGTTGATGCCCTTGTGGCTAGCTCGACAGAGAGCAATAATAATAATATGTCCAGGAGAGAGCGCTCGTTCCCTCGTTCTGGCGGTCTGGCCGTCGAACTGGGACTTGGACACAGGTCCAGACTCGCCTGCAGTCTCACTCGGTATCCATCTGAGACACGAAACGGTGTAAATATGTGACCGGGTGGTTTGGCTGCCAAGCACGATGGTAATAATAATCAGCTCATCAACCATGGAGGCGGTGATGGCAACGAGACATGATGTTTTTTGACTGACTTCGCACTGCAGACTGGACACGCCCAAGACGCCAACCGCAGAGGCCAGTTTCGCGCTTGAACCTTGCAGGTAACAACAACAGAAGCACCCAATTACTTTAACAATCGCTGTCATCGTGTCCAATGAGCATTGTCGCGTACCTGGCCGGTGGAGGCGTACGACGAGCCGGCGCTCAACGCCCAGCGACGGCGCCAACAAGCGTGGTGTAGAGCGTCTGCAAGGCCGCTCCCCTGACCATCCATCCTCCAACTCCTGTGCGACGGCAGACTCCAGCATGGCTGCCATGGCTTCTAAATTAGTCGATCTGGGGATGTGCCGCGACACCAAAAGGGGACAATCAGCCACCACGGGTCCCCTGTCCGATACTATGTGACGAGGATGCGCCTAGCCGGGATCCTCCACCGTCTCCCCTGAACCCTGAGTTGGCTGGCCTTTTTCTACCGCCGTTTCCCCTCGGACTGCTCTGTTCTGTTTCTTCTCCGGATCTTCCAAGGCTCTGCGTCCTCCGCAAGTTCGTTCTTTCAGATCCTTGACCACCGCTTCACTCGTTTAGCGGGCATTCCTTATTCCTTGACGACAATACCTCTGATTCAGAAGCCTACCAGGACCTTTTTACTTTCCTTGTCAGCTTTAATTTTACTTGCGGTATTGCCAGTATGAAGGGCGCTTTCTTGACCGCCGCGGCGGCTCTTATGGGCTCTGCCCTCGCCGATGGCCACATGCGCCGTCACGGCCATGAGGCCTTCCACCACCGCCGTGCTATGGGAACCGGCCTCGTCGACGCTGCTGAGGAGACCTGTGGCTGTACCACCAAGGTGATCACCTACTACGGATCCCCCACCTGTGAGTGCCTCCTATTTCTTTAGTATGAAAAGAGGGATATGCGTGGAAACCCGGTGTTAGCGACAGGCTGGGTGAGCAAGGACGTGTCGAATGTCAGAAACAAGAACAAATGCGATGGATATGTGATTGGCGAACAATGCGCGCAGAATACTGATTGCCATAGTGGTCCCTGTCTCTGCTACCTCGGCCGCAATCCCCTCCTCTGCCGCAATCCCCTCCTCTGCCGCCGCTGTCTCTGTCTCCCCCAGCCCGACCCCCTCGAGCAGCCCGGTCACCACCAGCAAGGTCACCACCACCCAGAGCTCGACCAGCTACAGCACCGTCACCGTCGAGGCCAGCTCTTCCCCTGCGCCTGCTCCCGCCAGCGTTGCGCCGACTAGCTCTGCTGTTGAGCTCCCGACCCCCTCTGTGACCGTGTTCCCCAGCACTGGTACCTTCACCATCCCCGCGACCACCATCACGGTCCAGGACACTACCACCGTCTGCGGTGCCACGTCCACCTCCGTCCCCAGCGGTACTCACACTCTCGGTGGTGTCACGACTATTGTCGAGACCTCTACCGTTGTGACCTGCCCGTATGCCACCGTTAAGCCCACTGGCAGCACCGTGACCAGCGTCATTGAGACCACGACCTACACCTGCCCGGCTGCTGGTACCTACACCGTCGTCCCTCCGTTCACCACCACTGTCCCCTCCAGCACCGTCATCGTCTACCCGACCCCTGCTACCATCACTCCTGGTACCTACCCTCGTCCTGCCCAGATCGTGACCGTCACTGAGACCGACTACACCTACACCTGCCCCTTCGACACTGGTCTCCCCAGCAGCACCCCCGCCGTGACCCCCTCCTCTGTGCCCGCTGTCGCGACCTCCAGCCCCGTTTCCGGTGTCGCTGCCGTTCTCACCTCTTCCAGCCCCAGCCCGGTCTCTGTCACTCCCAGCTCTGTCGCCTCTAGCTCCGTTGCCTCTGCTACTCCGTCCGCTTCCTCCGGCAGCAGCAGCAACCGCTATGCTATCGTCTACGGTATCTACACCAACGACAGCGGCTGCAAGACCCAGGACACCATCAACCAGGAAATTGCCGATATTGCCAAGAAGGGCTTCTCTGCTGTCCGTGTCTACTCCACTGACTGCAACACCCTTCAGTACGTCGGCCAAGCCGCTCGTCAGAACGCCCTCAAGATGATCACTGGTGTCTACATTGCCAGCAGCGACCTTTCTTCCGCCTACGACCAGCTGAACGACCTCATCTCTTGGGGTGAGTGGGACCTTGTCGACGCCATTGTCCTCGGTAACGAGGCGATCCAGGGCGGCGCCATCGATGCCAGCGGTCTCTCCGGATTTGTCCAGGCCGGAAAGGCCGAGCTCGTCAAGGCCGGATACACTGGCATGGTTACCCTGGCTGAGACCCTTAACGTCTGGCAGCAGTATGCTAGCACCCTGTGCGATGTCGTCGACCAGCCCGTCGTCAACTCCTACGCCTACTTCAACGGTGCCATCTCCGCCCTTGGTGCCGGTTCTTTCGTCAAGTCTGAGCTGGACGAGCTCAACGCCCTCTGCCCCGGCAAGAGTGACGGTTGGGTTGGTGAGTCTGGCTGGCCTAGCCAGGGTGACAGCCTTGGCGCTGCCATTGCCAACACTGTCGAGCAGAGCATCGCCATCCTCGCCATCGAGACCACGATCGGCCACAAGGTCGCCTTCTTCGAGTATGCTAACGAGGCGTGGAAGCCTGCCGGCTCTCTCGGCGTCGAGAAGTTCTGGGGCTGCTTCGACGTCTTCAGCTGGCTCCTGTAAGCGTTCAGTACTATTGACGCGAGTCTAATACCCTTTGTTGAGGACTTGGTCTCCCCCAGGATGGCTCGGAGTTTTGGCACCTTTTGATATGTTGCCGTCTTGGGGATATTCTTTCTGTTCTATATAATTTACGCTTATGTAGTAGATATATATCTTCTTACGCTGTATCTCTACGGAGCAAGCTCCATTGCTTTCCAGCTACCACTAGTAACTCTTCCTGTAGCTATAATAACTAACAATCTAGAATGCACTAGCCCTTGGTGTTTCTAATGCTTCTATCTATCAGTGCGATTTTGCGCAGTATATTATCTTCCTAGTATTGCACATATTGTTGTATATATAAAAGTCCGCGTCTTAGATAAAGTAGCTGCTTACACGCATATATGCAGAATACTATCAGTTTACATATAGTCACGGGGAAGGCTCCTATACTATCTTGAATGTATATTATTTTGTCATTATTAATTAACTACACAGTTTTCCCTTGTAACTTATTGAATTTTTAGTGAAAGGCTATAAAAGCGCGGCATTTTCAGTCATTTTTGCCTATTTTCACTGTGAAAGCGAGTGCGAGCGGGGTATAGAGATATTGACTCCTGTATAGTTCTTCACCGTGTGCTTGTGCGGGGTAAGTAAAGGGCTATAAATCCCCCATTTTTGCTCCGGGACCTTTCTCTTTTTTCTCTTCTTTTTTATATCACAAACCCGATCGGTTTAATATATATTATACCTTTATGCATAGTTATTCTGTTACTTTTTGAATAGTTTTAGCTTTATATACTTATACTTATATGCACCTTGTATAACTGTTAGCATTATTATACTAGCTCTTTTAATAGTTATTCTTCTTGCATAATAATATAATACTTTCTTTATCTATTCTTATTATAAATGGCTTATTTGGATAGCTTATTATTTGCCCTTAGTAAGGGCCATCTGGGACCATGAATGCAAAAATATTGCGTGCCCGGGGCCGGGGTTTATCTCCAAGTCTTTCTAGTCTAGCTCAGTGCTTACTCTTAACGGGGCTTCTGGAGGCGTTGCCACCAAAGAGAATCACACTTTCAGTGTCATAGTGGGATAAAGACCCAGGTACCTGCACTCTCTATCCTTTGTCAGTTCCTTTATTCCCAGACTGCACTGCTAGAATTGTTTCGCTTGCGGCAACCCAAACATATAGATCGGAGTATGCTAATTTCTCAATATCGTTTCAGTTCAGACTTGTCTATACCTCTGCAATATCACCCCCAGACTGTGATGAAACCTTCTGCCTCTATTGAGTGCTCATCTAGATGTCCTAGAGATATACAGTTTGCTCTCCATATACGTTTCTAGTAAACGCGCTCGAGAAACCGGAGCCGGCGGAATTTGCGTTGCCCGCCGCTTGTCAGTTCCTCATTTCAAGGATTGGAGTTTTAGTTTTATGCCGCTCTTTTCTTTTTCTCTTCAGACCGGGATGCTCCCAGGATCTGCTATATTTCATTGCGGATCTTCCACAAAGAGCTTTCCAGCCGCTATATTCGGCACTTTGTTTATACTAGCAGGGCCGATAAATATACAGTTGTATGCTGCACTGTATTTATCTCTGAGGCGTTTTTTGCTCACCAGTTTGTGACGCTGTCAGCTGCCGATTATCACTGGAATGATCTTCAGCGGCAGACAATTTCGCTCCTACTGATTGTATGTAGTACTGCCCCTTTCTGTGTTAAATAACCTGCTTTGACATGTTGAAAAGGATGAGAGCTGACAGTGATACAGCCAAAAGCCCGAGCTTTGATAGTTATATTGTCTGTCGTGTCTCCTGCGGTATGTGTCCTGGTGATTCTGTGGTGTTTTCTTTTGACGAGGCTAACTGATACAGACATGGTCTCTACACATAGTTCAGACCGTGCTCTCTCTCCGCGCTTTTCCCCCTGAAGCCGTATCCAGACCCAGCGAGGTGCCACCGGCAGCTACCAACGAGGCGCTGCAGGTAGTCGACTATGCGGCGTGACTCGCTATGACAAATGGAAGGCAGGTTCACCACCTGACTGGACTGGGATTTCCACGTCAGAATCTTCGGGACAATCCCCATATCGCCGCCTATTGGTTTCATTACCGCTGTTTAAGAGGAGAATTGTTTTTGGTGGCACTGGCGTCGGGCAAGTGCCATATTGATCACATCTGAACGTTTTCAGCTATGCTGCCCTGCCCACCAGGCAGAGTTCTGCGGAGAGACGGAAATCCCGGCGAGCCAGGCCTTGACAAAAAATGAACTTGAGCATCATCGTCACCAGTTCACAACAAAGCAGAGATATATTCTCTATTACCACACCTGCAAACACGAGCTTGCGGAGAGATAACAATAGTCTGAGCTGAGCGGCTGGTCGCAATATGTATATTCAAACTTACTACGCTCAGCCACTTCGACGTCTATGGGAACTATATACAATATCTACACGGGATCGTTTCTCTCTTCTTTCCAGATTTCCCTCCAGAGAAATATGGTCGGTTGATATATGACCTATTTTATCACTTATTTCCCAAATTCTATATTGGCTTCTTGCCGTGTCATTCTTGCTTCTTTGAAATGTCTGGTATCTTGCTTTCCTCAGGGTTGAAATCTCGGATGCATGAAAAGCCTCGACCCAGCAGTGCTTTTCTCAATCTTACCGGATCTTCTCATCTCTCTATTTTCAATAATCGATGGACGCTGGGCTACCTCGTCCCTGTCGTCATGGCTGCCCACCTTCATCTATCTCAGGGCTGAATGGCTGGGTGCTCCCTGCTCAATCGACCATTACCTTGAGGGATTGTGAAAGGGTTGATATATAGATGATGGTGCAGAATGCTCTTTTGGTTCATTATCATTTTGCGAGTTTATTCTATATTGTGGCTATCTTCAACAATATGCTGGGGTGTAATTTGTTTTCATCATCCCTGCCTGAACAGAACGCCCGGCTGAATACAACCACTGCAGGACCATGCACCACGCGGGGGATTGGTTCTCGTGTCGCAAAAGCTCGCTCCTAGCGCTGCATTCCGATCAAAATCGTTAGTTGAACTTTGTGTCTCTGGCTGGAGGAACCAGGACCTCAGAACCCGATAACCAGGACATGATGACCTCGCCCCCACGGCAACAGCTAAGATTTCGCTAGCAAAGGAACAAAAGCTCACCGGCCTGTTCTTCGAGAACTTCGTTGACCATGAAAGAGTGAACATGAAGTTATCCGTTTAATTCGTACGGTTGAAGGCTCTTTATTCCCGGATCATGACCCGGGACTCGCATTTCTATAATCCTATATATACTTCCAGTCATTAAATAATTACTTATTCTGAATACATTGAACTCGAAGCTTTGGGTACAATATACCCCCTTTTGGTGAACTATGGGCCCACATGGGCGTGGGATTTCGCCTCTGCTTTACTATGGGAGAAGAGGGGAGTCAGAAGTTTCCAGAAAAGTAACTGGAGGCCAAACTCCTGATTTAGGAAACTTCTCCTCTTCATACAGTTCAGACTGTTCGTCACGGAACTTTATCTCCATGGCTCTTGCATATCAATATGCTCCCATTTTCTAGACAGATGAAGTGGAGCGACAGACAGTATCCAAACATCACGCAATAGTCAACGGTCATCACTACATGACATCCTCTCCACGGTGCCATCACAGTGCTCGTGGCCGAGTATTCGCGCTGCAGAAGTTCCTGGGTCTTCTAGAACGGGGACTAGACGAATAATGGCTCCTCCTGCATCCACCAACGGATGCTTCTTTCTTCAATATCAAGGGACACAACGTTTTCTTCCTTTTTCGATCCCCTTTCAGAGGGACGTTGCCCGCGCAACTTCCAGTCAGGAAGTGAAGCCTTTTTATGATTATCATTTGAGATAATATCTATTATATACGCACCCGGGCTGTTCCAGCTGTTCTCACAGCTTCCAGTCATGCCAGGACAAGGGAGACTACTTCCCATCGAAATGGAAGAGTGTACACTAAAATACCTTCCTGGTAACTCTTTGCTCCGGGGGAAGTTCATGCGGTAACAAGATCGAAGAGAAGCTTCGGACAAGGTCTCGGGAAGGCATCAGAGCAAGACCAGGGTCCATCGTGATTTTGAAATCGAACACTGATTCTCAGAGTCTTCATGATGTGCGAGTGTATCTCTTTCATTCGCAGCTCGGGATGGCGGCTCTCAACAATAAGAGACGGGGTCGTTCCTTTCAGCACACAGATACAGCCATCGCCCGTGGGGAAGAAACAAGAACAGATCACCTATGTATTCAGAACTTGAAACAGAGAGCGCTATCTTGCCCAAAATCGGCGCAGATGGCCAAAAATGGCTGCTCTGGCCTATTTCTTCAATACTGACGAAGATATTGGAAATTTTCCATCTGGATATCGTGGAGCCATCACTGTTTTCTTTCTTTGGCATCCAGAAGCGATCCGTTCACCATCACCTCCACCGAAACTGCTTCGGGTGGCTCCCCATAGCCCCTTCCCACATGACGGTACCAAACTGCTTTTCAGGTGGTCCTTGATGTCGTTGACTGGGTGGGTGGTGTCCATCTTCTTACGAGCTACGTTTCTGCATCGGAGATAGAAGAAGCTCCCATCCACTTTATTTACCATTGTGTATAAACTGGAATGCTGTCAATATCAAACAGGAAGAAGAGACATTCGCCTTCGAAGAGGAGAAAAAGGTCTCGCCTGTCGAACGATGGCTGTGGCCTGGGCTCAACGAATCCTCGCCTTTCCCCTCCATTTTATTTATTGTGTATAACTGGCATTGCCCAAAAAAGAAGTGTCGAATAAAAATTCGATGGTCTTCGAAAAAGAAGAGAAATGCAATGTGTGCTTCATCGACAGATGGTGCCTGTTGTTGTGCCTGGCTCGTCCTGCATCCACCAACGGATGCTTGCTGTCTTCCTTGTCTCTTATAGATATTTATCCTATTGCCATCAGATCTTCAGAGATTACAGATATAGGGAGATCTAGACTGTTATTTCTGATCACCTTGCATGTTTGTGATTCGGGTTTTCAGCAATAACGATATCGAAGCTGGCATCACTTAACGTCACATTTATAATCGTTTAGTTTAACGTTTA